AGCCATGATGATTTGCGTTATGATGCGATCGTACCCGAGTTATGATCGACTCAGGTATCGGGAGTGAACGAGAGGTCTCTGATAGGAGTCTCTTGATGCGATCGTCGAACGTAGGAGAATTCGGAGGCCGTTTCGTAGTACGCGAAGTCGTTACAGAAGGTTCATTTATAATCGAAAATCAGTGATGGACTCTCGGTAATGTCCTAGTCGGCGCAAATGCTCAAGTGAAAAGAAGAGAAGAAAAAGTCTGGTTAGTGTAAAGTTGACGCGATGTCTATCGAGTCCGTCGAAGCGAGAGTTGTACGGCAGCACGAAGGGGGAGTGGTGAAGGCAAATCGTTTGCACTGGACGTCGGGAATCAATGCGCAGGTCTCACGGGCTCGAGCGACTCGGATGACGGCAATGACTCGGTTCGGCGACGATATGTAATATTGAGTGCGAATGCGTTAGGGTAAGGCGACGGGATATATCCCATGGGGGAGTGTCGGCGTCGGGTGGGAAAAGTTGAAGGTAGTCGATTCCTGGATCGGAAGTCGACTTGGACTTGGACTTGGACGGAGAGAGGTTCTGTCTGGCGGTGCCGCAGCGGTAGTGAATAGCGTGCGTACTGTATGTGTATGGGGCCAGCGGGAGACGGGAAGCTTAACAATCGGAGGTGTCAAGCGGAAAGCGTGGGTCGTCTTGGGGCCTTGTGTGGAATGCTCCAGGGCGACTCAATAGAAAGTGGATTATTCGGTGGTATCGGAGGATTTCGCTTGATTGACGCCCAAATGCCTTTCGCACCTCCCTGCAATGCAATGTCTCTCGCCTTTTTTTTTTTTTTTTTTCCTTCTGGTGGTTGTTGTCGTGGTAAGGTAGGGAGCGATGGTAAAGATGGGTAGGAGGGGAGAAGAAGAGAGGAGAAGGGATGGGATTGGATTGGAGAGGAGAGATCCAGCTGCAGAGTGTTTGTAGGCCGGGATTGGGGATCTTGGGGAAGGGGGAGTGAAGGAGGGGAGAGGGACGAGATAGGCCCAGGCACTTTGAGGTAAGACAAACTGACTCTGAGCACGCCTACCTACGTCTCTGCGTGTGAGTGTGTGGTGTGGGTGTGGGTGTGGAAGGATGGGTGTGTGTTCCGGACAGGGAATAGAAGAGGAAGGAAATGGGTAAAAGGAACTAGGACCGTGACGAACGAGACCAAGGAACCGAAGGTAGAGCTGATGAAATCGAAAGGAGAGGTTGAACTGGAAAGAGTCAAGGCTCAAGACGTAGAGGCAAGTTGGAAGGCACGGTGCCTGGCTGTGGGCAGGTAATAAACCAAGCTGGAAGTAATGGAACCGTGGACGGTGGACGATGGAACGCACCTCAGAGGCGAAGGCAAAGGCAAAGGTGAAGGCGGAGGCGGTGGGTGGCCCTGGTTTTCGGGGGAAGGAAAGGATGCAGTGAGGACGGGACGGGAAGGGCAAGGGGGGCACGACGGGACCGCGCTAGGAGGAGGTGCGCCGAAGAAGGCCTGGGCTCAAGACGATGTGGGTAAAAAAAAAAAAGGCAAGTACGGAGTACCTAAGGTAAGCTGGTACCGTACCTTACGAGGTACAGCGCCTTCCACGGTTGTAGACTGCATTTTAGGAGGGAAAGAGCAGACCGTGGGTCCAGCGCAAGTGCAAGTGCCAGTGCCACCCAGGTCACGGTGCATTCGTCTTTCTTTGTCTTCTTTCACCACTTGAATCCAACCTGGAGAATCCAAAGTTACAGCCTACTCTGTATATGGAGTGACGGGTTACTGTCTTGATTTGGTAGGTGGCACATTATGGACCCGGCATACCAACCGCGAGTGAGCGAGAGAAACAGAGAGAGACACACACGTACACACACTCTGGACGGAAGAGGGAGAGAAGAAGGGGCGGCGAAGAATGAATAGAAGGCGCATTGAAGTTGATTGACCTTGGCGCAGTCAGTCCCCAAAGTAAGCCTGAAGGTACCTTTACATTGCCTTACCCTACCTTACACCGGACTAGGGAAGAAAGAGTTGTGATCTTTTGGTACGGATACAATACACGCAAGCCGGAACTCCAACAACACTTCTTCGACTCTACACTCTACCTGTATTCGAGCAAGCCAGGGAAACGTCGTCTCATGTTGAATCGCCTACACAAAGACACTGCCTACTCTTTCTCACACCGCCTCCAACCTTGCACCAACACAACCACCGTCAATATGGATTTCTTTCTATTCAGACACCGGCACAAGCTCAGGCTCGGCCTCATGATTCCCAAACAAAACAGATTTTTATTCTGGGTCTATTTCTAGCGTTGTTTCGTTCCCTACTCCATCTGGATAATACGTGGTGCCCTTCTCTGAACTGACACCAACCCTCCTTCACAGCTCTGACACTTGACACAAGAGAGCCGGCCTGGCAATCTACCCAAAGCGCGCATCGTCCAAGACACACTACCCCAGCATACCTTGTCTATGTGCTAATACGAATAAGCTACGGAGACACACAGCACTTTGAACTACCGGGGAACGACTGCCAGCCACGCACGCACACACACTCTCTCTTAGTCTCTCTCTTCTCAGGAATATCAACATCGGCCGGTCGTATTAAATGGGACATCAACATTTGTGACATTCTCATAATTTCGGGAACACCTCTATCACTGGAACGGCGGTTTTCCACTGGCTCTGAAACCGTTCTGAAAACGAAGAGGGTTCGACGGTGAGGGCATTCTCGGCAACTGGCAACTTTCTCTCGTAGGTCTTGGCGGTTGGCTCGCCGATTCTGTCAGCCCGTTGTCGCCACGGAAGAGTTCGAATGCGGACGTAACGAAGCGAACAATGTCACACCTCAACGCTGGTCGCGATCGGGCATTTAAACGCTGTCATTACTTCCACGGCCTCCAAAGACCATTACTGCCCGTACATACCTACGCATGACCGACTCTCGGGTCTATTGTCTTTTACAAGCTAACCAAGACCAGCTGACAGATAGAGAGTGTGTGTGAGAGTCAGAGAGAGAAAGAGAGCACGTCTCACATTCTTTGGAGTCGCCGCAAACAATAAACCACATCTCTGCCCTCCGGGGTGGCCTGCAGGGTCCGAGTTAGCGGCGCTTACATGCCACCAACTAGTGTCCTCGTCTGCACTTGGGAGGCACCGTAGTGGGTATTCGTGACGTCGATCGGTTCTTTCATGCCAAAGTTGCGACCGAGTCTGTCTTCGCTCTTCAGGCCCGAGTCGTCCAGCGCACTCACCCATTGGCTTGTCTGGTGCCATCTGCCCTTTCAAGTTCCCACACCTCACTCAGCCTGCGATGGGAAAAGCACAATGGCGCAATGGGGAGTCTGGCGTGTACGTACTCCGTACTCCGTACGCACGCCGAAAAGGATCTCGCTGCGTCTTTCCCCGGTCTTGAAGGACAGCCACAGCCGCCCTCCCATCTCTGAACCCTGAGTGTCAGCGCTATTGTCTGGGATGTTGTCTTCCAAGGTCTTGCAGGAACAACCAATTTCGCATAGTCAACGTACTTTGCAACTATCGACTCATAATTCGAGCCAGGTTCCACCGCAGCCATGCACACGCGACGGCGCTCTGGCCTACGGATAGGTGCTTTTTCGATTGGAAAAGAGACGACTTCTGACCCTGAACCCAATGATACAAAAGCACTACGAATACGGATACAACAACTCGCCCACGTTCGCGGAGCCTGGTGGGCTGTTCGATCGCGCACGGAACATGGTTGGCTCGCCAGCCAGAACCCGCTGAACAACGAATACTCGTTCGGGTTTCTACGGTACCCTGGCACTGTTAATCTGTTGGTTTAGCCTAACAAGTTTTGCTTCAGGGGATTGCATTACCAGCTGTAGCCAGCAACACATTTTCACGAGTTCAACCGCATGTCTCTTTGACTAGAAAAGGCCTGGTTGTCACCGAGAAACTGCAGATCCTAGGCGCTATGTCTAGGCAAGTACCGGTTGCTGTCGAATTTACTACACCTCCCTACTCTTAAGGGAGCGATCGTATTGTTGGTCCCGCGTTCCTCAAGTATAGGTATCCCTCACTCCTAGTATGTTTGCGATACAAGACTGGGAACTTTCACCTCGATGTGTGCGATGGGGCCGAAAAGCAAATCTGCGTCTGAACTGTCCACCGAATGCGACAGAGAAAAGCTGCCAAACAGTTGGCCAGATGTGGCCCGCAAGTGCGTAGCACCAGTCTCCAGAGGACCATCCATTTGCGACACTGGCGGCTCATGCTTCAGATTTACCTCAATGTTACAGTGAAGGGGTGTAGTTATCCTTTTGCGCTCAGGCCCATTGGGGTTGACTGTCTCGAAACCCAAGTTCTCCTTGCTTCTCAAACATCGGATTGTTCAATAATGAGAGGATAGGCAATGCCAGCTTACTCATGGGATGATCTGGGTCTGAAGAAACGCAATAAACCAGCAGATGCGCAGTGATCCAGATGCAGCGTTCAGCCCTGCAGATCTTTTCTCTTCGACGTGGACGCTGCGGATACTTTCCCTCTCACTCCCTTTGAACCTCGACCTCAGGCCCGAGGCCTTGAATGTTGGCCTACTGGGTAGTAACCATGAAGAGCCCAGCTTGCTTTCCGTCGCTGAGGACTTTCCGCGCCCTGGCTCGGACAAGGACAAGCGAATGCGATGCCAAGGGCCGTCAATCCTCTTGAGCCAACCGATGGCCAGGAGGCGGCGCCATGAGCGCCTCGCTGGAGCCAAGGTCGTCGTGCGAACTTGAAACAGCCCGACCAGAAACCTTGCTCGACTTTGGACGCTCGGTCGACAAGGGCTTCCCTGGCGCCCGTCGAGCCGGCCCCTCCCACTCTTGCGCCAACATGCTGTACTTTGTGCTTACTACTGTGTACAGATAGGTAGGTCGCGCTCCTCGGCCCCGATCAATGGACCACCGGGTCAGTTCAAAAGCTCAAATTGGTTCCGGGCCACTCGACTCGGACTGCAGCTTCTGGAACGTGTCGAAGCGGGAATTTGAGACTACCATGCGTTCTATAGACATTCGAAAGCGCCTCTGGTCGATCTAATAGTACAGATTCCTAAAATACATCATCTGGACTTATTCCCTCCAGAATCAGAGACGAACTCAAAGTTATGGAAGTCTATACAATCATCATCGTCATGTGTCAGAAGGACCTGGGCCCCTTCGGTTTTGGGTGCCACGATTTACTCGTACAAAAAACCCCCAGCATTGCACCTTTTTCATCTCGAAAAAACAAGACTCCTTTGTCCATTGCGCAGGCAATTGTTCAGTGGTGATGTCCAAACTGGGTAAGAAGCGGCAGGAGCATGCCAGCGACTGTCGCAAAAGTATCACGCATCTGCGGCCTCTGCTGGCCCCTTTGTGCACCATTTCCGTCAGCATAGCCGTTCATGCCACCGTGTTCGTGCTTTGGAGAACCGCTGTCTTCCTGCATGGCATGCATCGCAACAAACCTTGTGGGTTGTTAGTCATTGTTCGCGCCTCAACGATGGGCTGTCGTTCAACTTACAGAAATGTTCCTGCGGAGAAGAGTAGAAGCATACCCGTCCACCACTGACCAGATTCGCCCTCAAAATTTCCACCGCCCAAGATTCGAATGATGGCCCACGTACTAAGAGCTCCAAAGGGAGCAGCCAGGCTGAAAACGATGAGGTGTCCTCTAGCCGTTCTTTTGGACAAACCCTGCTTCAGAAGTACCGATGTCAGGCCAAATGCCGCTGGCGCCTTGTGAACCATGATGGCAACGAATATTATAAGCCCCAACTTGGTATTTGACGTGGACGTGGACGCGCCCATTGCGATGCCGTCCGCTGCGGCGTGGATCACCAACCCGATGGTGGTAGCTAGGCTTCTGGATTGCTTTGGTGGAGGTGCAAGAGAACCGAGGAAGCCTTCCGTTTCCTCATCGCCAACGCTTGATGAAACGCCTAGGTTATCCAAGCTGACGTGACGCATCTGCGGCTCGGATCCATTGCCACCTGCTGCGTGGCGGGGCAGTCTGTCGATCAGGTACATGAGGACGAAACCGAGGATCATGGACAGGCCGATGTAGAAGGTCGGTACCTCATTGTCGTGCCTTTGCTCGTCGTGGTGAGGTTCGGGGCCGGGGCCGGGTGCCGGAGGTTGCTCGTGGCCATGCTCATCTTGCTCCTCCCGACCATGCAGCTTTGCAGTGTATTCCACATCACGGCCAATGGCTTGAAGCTCTTCTTCAATAGTCCGCGCAGACTTGGTGATACCTGCCAACTGAGATATATCTCCGTCTGTCATCCACCGAATAGCCGGGCTCCCTTGCTTTCCAGCCGTATCCACCAAACTCCTCTTGCTGTGCGAGTGCCCGCCGGTGGTTGTGACGGCTTCGATGCCCTCGGGTATAATCACAATCATGGATGTTCCAACCAAAATACCGACGCCCACGCTGGATATCAATCGGAGTTGCGACTGTGTGAGGCTGATTGCGAGTGGTAGTGAGCCGGCGAAGAAGGACCTGAGAAATCGCGGGATACGTCGTCAGTTTTACGGAGGGTTCGGAAGGCTGGGGGGAAGCATCGCCGTGTGCAACCTACGCCAAGGCCATGACCGTCTATCGTGGAGATGATTTGTTAGCTTTCCATCGTGCATAGCCGTCCAAAGTGTACCGCCTGGCCGGGAGCTCGAGTTACGGGCAAGGTAGGTAGACTGGTGTAAGAGAATGGTGTGTACATACGCTCAGCAAGAGCAGCAGCAGTAGTCCTCCCATAGTCGGATAGGGAGTGTCGATCGTTTGCGATTCGGCGTGCGCGGAATTGAGGGGGCCGGATGAGATGGGAGAGAGAGGAAGAAGAGAGAGTGGAAGAGGGTTTATCGAGACGTTGTTGGATCACGCCAGCATGTCTGAGGTTCTTCAATTGTCGACGGCAGCTCTGGCGTGAATGGACGAGGAGAGAAATGGACAGACGGCAAAAATGATGGAGCTGCTCAAACTCCTGCCCTGGACTCTTCTTTTTCCTTTGAGATTGGATTTGAGCTAGGAGTGCACAGGGAGAATTATCGTCGAGGTTGGGAGAGCTGAGCTGGCTCCCAAGGTGCACGTACCGGGACAGCGGGCGCAAGATCATTGGTCGCTGGGCATTTCCATTGGCTTTTCCAAGGTTCCTTGCTTGCTCGCTCTCTGTGTCGTCCCCTCCCCCCTTCTTCTGGGCCTTGTCACCCCATGTCGTAATCTGGTGGGTCCTTCCCGTCGCTGCTTCCTGCTTGCTGCCACGCTGCTTGCTCCTTCTGCGGCTGCTGCGAGAAATGGACCAGAGCTAAGGCGTTTTCAGCACTAGCGCCCCTCGAAACCGCTGACAGCCGATTTGATCCAAGAGGGCTCGGCAGCACCTGGACTGTCGTGAGCCACTCAATCCGACTGCAGCGGGTCTCAATTAACTCACAGGCGCGTCTCGTCGCGACACTGCTCTGGACTGCGCGTAAACCCCCAAGGCTGATTCCGTCGCAAAAAAAAGAAGCTCCCAGTTGACCCTCGACGTCAACCTCGACAAGCAAACATCACCCGAGCGCCGTTTCTTGAACCGCGAAACGACAAGTACTTTATCGCAATACTTCTTTATTCGCATTGGAACGCCCCAGAACAACCGCAACTTGTGCGACTCACACCATACCTATATTGATACCATGGCTGAGACGGATGAGTGTATGAATCTCAACTTCTTCATGACCCCAACGTCGCAACGATCACTGACATGTTGGATAGGGTCGGCCAACGCCACCGAATCGCTGAACATCAGCTTGATCGCACCTGCTACCGGAGCGACAAAGACGATTGCCACATTCAACCCTAAGTTTACCTACTCTATCTTCGGCGACGATGAGCGCATCTTCGGATACAAGGATCTGAAGATTAATCTGCGCTACCGCACATTTGACATGCGTCCCAACGTCCAGGTCTCATACGGCAGGAAGTTTCAGTCCGTTGGAGAGACTGAGGCGGCGGATGTCGACGCGACTCTGAAAGAGCACCTCCCCCTCGGTAAGTCACGCTGCTCCGTCGCGAAGAAATCATTTCGCTAACCGTGAACCTATCATAGTTGCCTTTCAACCCGCACGCGAGTTCAACACAAGTGCCCAGAGCCAACCCGCCGACTGGACCCCTCCTGGCAGTCTACACTCTAGCTTTGAGGGCGATGACGGCACGTACGAGGTGTGGAAGGGAAGTCTTGCCGACCCCGCTATCCGTCAGATCGTCACCCGAGTCGAAATCATGGTCCCAATGTTTATTGAAGGAGGCTCGTACGTCTCTCGCGATCCAGAGAACGAGGAGGACCCGTGGAAGGTCCTCGAGGATGCCAACCGTTGGACCACATTCTTTCTGTACAGAAAGCAGATATCCCCGGAGACCAGCGACAGGCCTTCCTACACATTTGTCGGCTACTCAACCGTCTATAAGTTCTTTTGTTTCAGACCGCCCACTCCACCGTCGTCCGAATGGGATCTACCAAAGGAGGAGTTCAACCTGCTGGAGGAGCTTCCCTGCCGGTCTCGGCTGTCGCAGTTCTTGATCTTGCCGCCTTTCCAGGGCAAGGGCATCGGTGCTCGTCTCTACAAGATCATCTTTGAGCACTACTACAAGAACCCGCAGACCCTGGAGTTGACTGTGGAGGACCCCAATGAGGCCTTCGATGACATGCGCGACTTGGCTGACATCACCTTCCTGCGGTCACTGCCGGAATTCGGCAAGGTTAAGATCAACACGAGCATTGCTATTCCTAGCCCTCCTAGCGGCACCGTACCCAAGGACCTAGTAGACCAGGAGCTTCTTAGAGGCCTCCGTCAAAAGACCAAGATCGTGGAGCGTCAGTTCAAGCGCCTGGTTGAGATTCAGACAATGTCACAGCTTCCCGAGTCTGTCCGGGTAGGATTCGGCGATGAGAAGAAGCCGACGCCTACCAAGGAGGATAAGCACCTGTACCGCCTGTGGCAGCTGTTTGTGAAGCAGCGCCTGTACCGACAGAACGCTGATGTGCTCGGTCAACTGGACCAGTCCGAGCGGTCAGAGAAGCTCAATGAGGCCTTGGTCAGCGTCGAGCTCGAGTACGCTAGAATTCTTGACTGGCACGCGCGCTGGGTGAAGAACATGGCTGCATCTGCTGAGAATACCGTCGACTCGGACAACAAGCGCAAATCTGTCGATGATGGCGAGGAGCAGGGTGCGGTCAAGAAGGCCAGAGTGGAGAGCGCCTAGCGTGCTGCATTTACCTTGTTGATGCCCAAGAGCACGTTGGGATGGACTGGTTGGGATATGGAGTTCAGGGTGGTCTTGGAGTGTATTTTCGGTATGTAATTCTACGCGCTGGCTATGGCGGCTACGGCCCGGGTTGATACCACATAAGAAGGTCACGGCTAGCTTCACAATACAATCGAATGTGATTGGCAATACGTTGCTCGATATGTGTCTAACTCTTCACTTTTGATAATGCACATTCTTTTTCAATGCCGCCCTGACTAAGTAACAAAGTAAGAATAATGAATCCCATTCCAAACTCCTTTTTTCTTGTCCCTAAATCACCAAAACACGTAAACTTTTATCTTCCTGTTCCCTATTCCTTGTCTATTTTCTTCACGAATTGACCTCGGCAAACCATGTCCTCAACAACCCAGCCAACGCGCCAGGCAGGTCCTCGAGGTTATGCACGATCAAGTAGTACTGGAACGGGAAGGTATCAAGATACCGCTCAATAACAACCCGACTACCGCCGTGCTCGTCCTTGACGAATTTCGCCTCCTTGAGATCCAGCACGCTGTCGCCCTTCTTGTTGCCCGTGTCGTCCATGACGATGAAGACGACCATGATGCGCTCCTCCATGGCCTCGCGGAGCAGGCGGCGGATCGGCTCGTGCTGGTTCGACGGCGTCAGGCCGTCGGACAGGATGAGCGCCAGCTGCCAGAGGTCCTCTGCGCCGCCGCCGCGCGACGGGTTCTGCAGGCGCGCGGCGCGGAAGTGGTCTATCGTCCTGCGGACTAGCAGGGCGATGTCGGTGCGGTCCTGTTTGAAGTGGAAGTGCTGCAGGACTTTTGCGCCGGCGTCGTGGGAGGCAAAGGGGGACGCCAAGTCGTGCGCCAAAAAGGTGTCTGCGCCGAAGCCGAGGACGCCGACCTGGCCTACTTCGAGCATCGTCAGGGCGCGGGAGACCATGACGAGGGACTCGAGGGCGAGGGTGCCGGACGAGGACTCGCCCATGCTGCGGGAGTCGTCGACGGCGAGGAGGATCTGGTAGGAGCGTTTGGTGGGCACGGCGCGGCGCATCCAGATCTTGTCGCGCTTGTAGGAGGAGGCGATGTAGGGGATGATTTTCTTGATGTTGAGGCGTTTGCCGGTGCGGTGGGAGCCCGAGAGTTTGGTGGATTGAGAGGGGGTGAGGATGAGGCGGAGCTGGGAGGTGAGGGAGAGGGAGAGCGGGTGGGTTTTGGTTTGGAAGGATGTCCAGGACTGCAGGGCTTCGGAGAAGTCGCCGAGGGGGAGGGTGTTGTCGTCCTCGCTGATGTGTGTTGTCGAGAGCTGCGTCGAGGTTTCCTCAATGGCTTGCTCCTCCTCCTCGTCTCCGTCTCTCGGGACCTCGTCTTCCTCGGGCGACGGCTCGCGGTCAAAGTTGCCTTGTCGCGTCTTGACGCCCGATCGACCGTCGTCCTTGTCGGCGCCGTTGTCCTTGTCCTGCGCCTCGGGGGCTTCGTCCGCCTCGGTGTCCATCTTGTCGGCGGCATCCTGCTCCATCTCCACGTCCTCGTTCTCCGGCATCACGCGGCTCTGCGGGTCCTCCTTCTCCTCGTCAATGGCCATGGCCTCGTCGATAGGCTGCACTTGGTCCTCTGAAGCGGCGCCCATGGCCTGCGCGTCGACGGCGGTCTCGTCGTCCTCGAGGTGCTGGAACTCGCGGGCGCCGAGGTCCGCGCTGGTATCCTTCGGCTGCTTCTGCTCGCCCTCCTTCTCGTCCTGCTTCTCCGGGTCCTTGATGTCGTTCTGCTGACGGTGCCAGCGCTCCAGCGCGTCACCGAGCTTCTTGAAGGGGTCCTGGCGGCTCTTTTCCTCGGCCGAGTCGTCCTGGTCCTGGTCGGTGGGCTGCGCCTGGTCGTCGGACCGGGAGAGCTGTCCCTTCTTTCCGGCGCTTGTCTGCTGCTCTGCGGAACCCTCACCCGCGTCGCCATCGTCTCGCTGGGCGGCGTTGTTATTGAAGTCGTTTTCAACGTCCATCTGATCGACGTCTTGATCTTGGCCGCCGCCCTTGACGTCGCTCGGCGCAGCGTTGACATCGGCGTTGGCGTTGTCCTTGGGCGGTTCCGCGAGGGCATCGGGTTGCTCTGGCTGGGCGGCTTCTTCTTCCTCTTCCTCCGCCTTGGGCTCCATATCGAGCTCGGGTTCGCCCGCGAGATCTTCCTCGGGCGCTTCCTCCTCCTTGCCATCCTCATCTTCCTCCTCAGGACCCTTCTCATCAGGTCGCTGAGTCTCTTCTTCTCCGTCCTCAATGTCGGAGTCATGCTGTTCTTTAGCATCTTCCTTCTCAACGTCGGACAACTTGTCAAGCTCCTCGTCCTCTGAGCCGGCATCTTCTCCGTCCTCCTCAAAGTCAAAGTCCATCTCCTCAGGCATCTCAAGAGCATCGTTCTCTTCGACGTTCTGGTCTTGCTTGACCTGGTCGTCCTCAAACTTGGCGTCCTCTTGCTCCTGACCAGGCTCTTCGTCCTCCGCCTCCTCGTCATCGTCCTGGTCCATCTTGTTATCATCCTCGGCGTCGTTCTCGTCAGCATTGGCGTCAGCATCGGCGGCCATCTGCTCATCCTTCTTCTGGCCCTTGGCCTTCTCGCCCTGCTGGTCTTTCTCTGCTTCCTCCTCGTTGTCTCCGTCCCACATCTTTTCGTCAACGGCAGTGGGATCAAAGTCATCAACATCGCCAACCTCCTCCTCCATGTCATCCTTTTCACCGTCCTCGCCCTCTCCGTCTGACTTGTCTTCCTCGTCATCTCCGTTAACACTGCCCATTTCTCCTTCCATCTCCTCGTCCGCCATATCGACCGCATCCTTTTCGTCTTCCATCTCTCCATCCTTCTCCTTGTTGGGTTCTTGGGCGAGCTCGGTGAGGTCCTCATCAGGTTGAATGTCTTTGCTGATATCCTCCGCTCCGTCTCCGTCTCCAAGACCTGTTCCAGATTCCATCTTTCCAGAGTCCCCAGACTGCTCGTCTGACTTTTCTTGAGGAGAGCAGAAGCCCTTGGCGGCGAGCTGAGTAAAAGTCTGCGCCAGGTTGTATGTCATGTGGCCAGTGGCCGCCTGCAAGCTTTGAAGCTGGGACAGGCTCTGGCGACAGGTGAGTGCGTACTGCCGAAGAATCGGGAGCACAATGGAGAAGAGCGACGAGGCAACGGCGCCCATCTGGTCCTTGTCCAAATCGACAAGCTCCAAGGCGGAGAAGCAATCCTCGACCTTGCTTACGATTGCGTTGATATGAAGTGCACTCAGTCCGGCGCTCCGAACGGTGGATGTCTTTGCCAACCAGCCTGCATCATCGGATGAGCTTGGCAGATCAGCCATGGCCTTCTTGTATCCTTGAACCGCGACAAGGACGGCATCACAGAGGCTGGAGATCGCGTGTTTGAACTTCTGGGCGGTAGCATCGAGGGCCGGCAACTCACGGCCAAAGATATGTGGCACATGGATCCATCTTCTGACCTGATCCAAGATGAAGTCAAGATCGCGGCGACTAGTAGGAAGCTCGCCATTCAACGTTTGCGTCACAGACTCGTATCTTGTCTGGATATCGCTGTGCGATCCGTTGGTGAACTTGTCGTGCTTTGAAGCGGATGTAGACCAGCTCTCCGACAGGGTCTCGACTTCCTGCAGCGTAGTCCGCAGGATGTTGGAAATGGCCTGATTGTCGACAGATGCCAACTTGCCGTGGATATCCACAATTTTCATTCCAAAGTCCAGGATTGGCTTCATCCAATTCATAGAAAGTCCTGCGCGAGTGCTGGTGGTGTCGTGTCCGATAGCTGTGCCCTTCAAGCTGTCAACGGTGGCAATGGCGCTATCAAGAGAAGCAATCGCGGTGCGAGCAGAAGACAGAGAGCTGTGCTGGCCCACCAAAACGGCCATCATACCCTCCATGAAACCGGTGCTTCGTTGCATCTCGGCGCCAGTAAGATCGCCCGAGTACTCATGGATCGAGGCTCTGACCTTGGGTGCAATGTCGACGACCTTGTGGAAGTAGTACTCGGCGGCGTCATCGGCGCTGCCCTCCCGAATAATGGAGGCGGGCGAGCCGGCGAGAACAACGGCAGCAGACTCCTGTCGGGCTAGCTCGTCGGTTCCAAGGTTATATCGGAAGCCCATCTGCCTCAGGATCTTGAGCACATCGGCATAGAGGTTGCGCTTGCGCGTCTTGAGGTGCTTGACCTGGTCCTTGGTCTCATCGGTCAAGGTGCTGGGCGTCTCCTTTCGCAGCTCGGCGATGGAGGCGTTGAGTTCCTTGACATACGAGATGATCTCCTGGGTGGCGTCCAGTGGGCTCTGGTTCGCCTGGGCAGAGACGTTGGCCATGATGGACAGCGTCTTTGAGGCGTTCGAGAGACGCTTGTGTTGAGCGAGCCAGCCTGGCAAGCCTTGATCGCAGGTCTTGATGGCTGCGGGATCGACCTTGATGTCAATCGCGTCCGCGGCCACGGCGTCTTGGGGAATAGGAACGTCCTCGTCAGGGATGCCCTGGTCCAGGATAGGCTTCATCGGCTGTCCGAGAAGAGTGCGGAATTTACGAACAAGACGGAAGAGCTTCAAGTGAGACTTGCGTGCGCTCTCACGCAGGGCGTTGATGTTTGTGTCCTTCCAGCTGGCCAATAGCACGACCTCCTTCATGGTCTTTTCGAACGGCGCCCGCCCCTTGACGATTGTTTGGTGGACAATCTTCTCGAAGCGGGAGTAGAAACCGATGAAGTTGATGGCGGCGTCAGAGACCACAGCCAAGGAAGGGTAGTCGACCGTGAGCAGCTCAAGGTGCTTTTGCAGCTGTCTCAGAAGCGTGAGGCGGGCCGAGAACTGGCCAATGATTGCGGTCGAGAAGTACGTCTCGAGCTCTCTGACGAGATTGACGGCGTAGTCCTTGAGCTCAGGGGAGTCGACAAGCGACAGAGGTGTGGCAATGAGGACCTGGTAGGCGACGAAGAACCACGAGTCGGCGTCTGCCGTGCACTTTTGGGCCTCCATGTCGAAGAGCTTCGCCCACGTCGAGAGCTCCAGGCGTCTCCAGCTGATGATGGTATCCGTCAGCGATGTGTAGAGAGCAGGAGCTCCATAGATGGCGGGAGCGTAGCCTCCGTGCTGCCACTCGTAGACGATAGCGTGCAGGGTCTCCAGTTTCGGGAGGATCTTTGCCAGGGGCTCCGAGTGAGTGAGCTGGAGGAGCTGGTCGCAGGCTGATCGAACATCTGCCAAAGGCTGCATGTGACCGATCTCGTCGACTTGTCGGAGATCTCGGAAGCGGGCCTCGACCTTGTCGATAAGCGCGATCAGGCGGCGAACCTCGGGCAGGTTGGCTTCGGTGTAAAAGTTGTACGTAGCGCTGACGCCGTTCGCAGTGAGGGTGGTCATTTGCTCGTCGATGGACCAGAGAGTCAGGGGGAGGAGACGACGCGTCATGTTCGGCAGGACAGCGTACTTGTCCTTGTTATCCGCCGCAACGCTATTCCCGACCTTCTTGCAGACGTTCTTCAGTGCTTCGGAGGGGGCTGCTTGCTCCAGGAAGACCTTGCGATGAGATTCGGCCAGGCGGACTGACACATCGCGAACCTTCTGATGGCCAATGGCGGGCTTCTCTTCTTCCTCCTGGTCATACGTGGGGAAGAGCTCATTGAACTCTTCCTCATCAACCTCCTCTTCGTCCTCCCAGCTTCCCTTGTGCCGGTAAAGGTTCGTTCTGGCCTCCTCAGCCTTACGGTCTTCTTCAAGTTTCTTGACCCATTCTTGGTAGAACCTGTGGACGCATTCAAAGAGCGCTTCACGGACACCAGCGCTCAAGTTCGACAAGCCCTCGACTGATGCAACTAGACCAATGTAGTCGAGGAACTCCAAGCTCTTATTCGGGAACTTTTTGATCCCGTGGTGATACGGCGTACCGCCAGTGAAAGGCGTGAGGTACATGAGGTTCTCCTCCGGGTCCAAAGATCTTTGAGCATGCTGCCTCAAGGTGATGAGCCCAGCGCTCAACGAGAGACCGACTTGAAGACAGCCGAGAAGATTGACGAGAGGCCGAGTCATGTCTTGGTAGGCATGAAATCGATTAGCAAGGCGGTCGATCATGAGAGCCAGGTTCTGCTTTAGGAGATCGATTTCCGGGGCTGGTTCATAGCCGGTTGGTAAATAGACATATTTGGCGTGGGTGTTGTAGAGATCTTGGTCTCTGACCATTTTCAGGACGTTGTTGAAGTCTGTCTGAACATAGTTGAGTTCTGATCGAACCGGTCGGTAGAGCAGCTGCGCCGGTGCCGGCGCAGGTCCCAGTGCGGTCACTTCCTCTTGCGCAAGCTGGATGCGGAGAGAGGTTTGCTGTCCAGTGAATTGGGTCTCAAAGTCAAGCAAAGATGAAAGCTTGTGCTGCAGCTGCTTGGTCAACTCATCGTGAACGTCCTTTTCGAATTGTGGCCGAAGTTGCGGGTCGAAGGATTTGTCGGGCACGTAGAGCCTGATGGCGCCGTTGGCGAATTCGGACCAAGCCATGGCAGTAAACGCGGGCATCATCAACGCCTCGTCGGTCTCAGACTCTTGGGGCCTGTCATACAAACTATCAGATGCTACGACGTAAAGCATCGCCGTACTGAAGTGGTTCTCGACAAGTTGCGGCAGATGTTGGGGCCAATCGTTGCACTGAAGTGTCTTCCCAACCCCAATCTCCATGACTTTTGTCACAGCCGTCACAGCTTCCTCTTCCTTGGTGTCCTCGAACATTTGGTTGATGCGGTTGTATAGCGTCTCACAGTGGACGTCTCCTTCATCGCTATACAGGCTGAAGACATCTGCGAGAAGTGACTTGACTACCCTGTTGAGAGCAACGATTTGGTTCTTCTGCAACACCGGAGCCAACGCGGCCACGGACCGGCCCATAGCGGGGAGCTCGGTCTCCAAAAGACCCAGGGAACGCAGACTAGTTGATTGAATCGAGTTGAGTCTTGACAAGAGCGACGTTGCGAGTCTGCCGTTCCACACATGAGTGGCCGGGTCTTGGGAAGCCAGCTGGCCAATCGTAAGTGAATGCGCCTCTCTGACTTGGAAGCTGCCCAGGCGGATCTGGTCGATAGTATTCTGGTTCGACAAGACCTTAAGTTCAGCCTCGTTAGCGCCGTATGGCACAGCCTCGAGGTATTGGCCGGCATGAGATTTCAAGAGCGAGGCCTGGCGGAGGGTTTCGAACTCTGCCGCGAAGAACGGCTTCACTTCGCTGGTCTCAGAGCCAACCTTGGACTCCAACAGTTCAATCTCCTTGGAAAGGTCATGGATGAGCTCAGTGGCGTCGAGATCGGTGCCGCGCACAATCTGGTCGGCCTTGACGAGGGTTGTCATTGCCCTGGCGAGGTCAGAGACGGATGCCTTGACCTTCCACTTGAGCTCGTCAAGTCGAATGCCCAAACGCTCAATCTCTTGACTTGTCTTGAGAGTTTCCTCGCTCATGATGGGGAGCGGCTTGATGCGCTTCCACATGACCTCCATGCTCAGTCCAGTAGTAAGGCGGAAACCAGTGGTGAAGTCCTCTTCCACGGTCTGAAGGTAGCGATCGGCAAGTTGCCTGTTGATGGACTGCGTTTCTGACGAAAGAAGTTTCTGCACGGCCTCAACGCCATGAACCAAGTGAGCCTGGAATCGTGCTTCCTCAAACATGTCTCCGGTGGTCAGGTGGAGGGTTCGCCACCAGAAGTCCAGCATGTTCCGGATAACTTGGGCCCGTTCCTTCCAGCCTTGAGCTGTCGCGAGGTTGGACTGGATGAAGGTCTTGATGACCTGGAGAGTTCTTGATAGGAACTTTGATACCCTGACCGTCGAATCCTTCGCTACTGCTGCGATGCGGTCCGAGACGATGGATCGCTGGAGTCGGTTCAAAGAGGCGAGCTTCACCGCCTTGGCCTTGGTGGCTTGCGCAGAAATGACAGATTGGCAACGTTGGACTTCCAAGAGGAATTCATAGCAGACAGACAGCCAGAAAGGCATTTCATCGTGGTTGTGGCCCAAGACTCTCACCATGGAAGCGTTGTGAAGAGGGTTCAGAGGCTGAGCTTCTTTGAGGCCCGAGTCGGAACCAGGCAGCTTGGTATAGAGTTGGGAAATTGCGCTGCGAAGGCTAGCTGTATCGGCAGCATCAAGGAAACCGAGTTGCTCATTGAGGGAACCTTCGTACTTTTCGAGTCCGGGCCAGGTAGGATCAGCGAGGCCACGGCGCAGAGAGTGTGAGAATCTCTCCATAAGCGCTGTGTCTCTCAGAGACAGGTTTCCAAATGCGGCGTGGCTGACATCAGAGGAGTCGTTCGCGCTCAAGGCCGAGAAGGAAATGTCCTTTGAGGAGGAGAATCGTTGCATGCTGCTTTCCACATGAACCTGAGGCCCGGAGCTGTTCACACTCTGCGCCTTCCGCTCACTGAGATGAATCTCGACGGCTCTGTTTCTCATGGCTCTCGAAAGTTCTCCGTATCTGGGATCGACCGTGAGGAAGATTCGGAACTCTGGGTGCGGTCTGATGATGCGAGGCTCCCCGTTAGGTCCGCAATGCTCATTGATGCTCAAAAAGCCGTTAGGCTCGAGCAGCGAATTGAGTCTGTCCAGAACAGAGGCGTTGCACAGGTTAGCATTATCAAGCACCAGCCACTGTCCCGTCTCCAAGGCCTTGACAATGACACCATCAAGCCACTCGAAACGAGGGTTGCTGACGGTCAGGGGGTTTCGCAGGACCGAATGAGCCGTGTAAAGAAGAGCTCCGATGTCCGATTCGCTCGACACTTCGGCAAGCAGTTGTTCGACTGCACCCCTGAGGGCGGGAAGGTCATCGGTATCTCCACGGTAAGTCTCCAGAAGGTACAGAAGGGCCAATGCTGAAGACGGAACTTGACTTGGCACTCTGGTCAGGACTGTGGTCTGAAGGCCCTCAAAAAGCTCGCGCAAAGTAGCGTTGACTTCGCGAAGAGGGTCTGACTGCTCAAACCCACCGACCAAGTCCATTGTGTCGATATCAGCGTTCAGAGGGAACACAACGAGAGGCTTGCCGACGAGGGCGGCGACATGCTCGAGGAGCACCGACTTTCCGCTGCCAGAGGGTCCACTGAGAATACATGGGATGTCTTGCTTGATGCAAATCATCAGTGACTCGATCTCCGGCAGTCGCGGTATAATGTCGATGCCGGGCATTTCCAAAAGCTGAGAAGTTTGGTTCCTGGGCAGGAGTGCATTTCCGACTTGAGAGAAGGCCGCGTTAGTATCGTGATAAAGGCTGTGGCCTTCCGGCTCTCTGGCAAAGACCTCGGCGAAGAGCTTGTTCACCTCTTCACGATCCGAAGAAGATCGGAAGCGTTGGCGGATGATGAGGTCGAGGAAGTCGTCTGGCTTGCCAGTGGCCAGCAGGGGGTCCTTTGTGGCTACGAGATGCAGCCATCTCAAGATGTCTCTCAGGTTGAACTCCCAGGGGCTGCCGTGTGCGCCAAATGCCTTTTCGATTGCGACCTGGTGATCCAGGCGAGAGATGAACTGAATGACTCCGCTTACGACATCAGTGGCGATAGTCGGGAAGTTGTGTTGAGCGATAAGTAGGAGATCTTCCGCTGTGAAGGTGTCGGCGTAAACGACGATGAATCTGTTCACGAAAGAGCTGGGAAGACCCTTTCTACCTCCTCCCTGGTGATGAGGGTTCTGTGCAGCGAACAGCCTGAAATCAGGATGCCTCTTGAAGACCTGATCGAGCTCTGAAATGTATACCTCGCCACGATGGTCGAGACAGGCATTGAGACCTTCCAGAACAGACTGAGAGGCCAAGTTCATCTCATCAAGCAATACCCATTCGCCATTTTGCATGGCCTGGAGGAAAGGAGCGTCGCGCCAAGCAAAGTTGCCAGCTTCGGCGCCCTCGACAGGCATATCCGTACCAAAGAGATCCATCAGATCGGTCTGGTCTGACAAGTTGATACGAGTTAGAGGACGACCGCACACACGAGCCAATGCAGCCACGAGGGTCGTCTTGCCGACACCTGGGCTACCTTCGAGCAGGATGGGCTTCCGCATTTGGAGGGAACGCATAACTCGCATGGCGTTCAGTCTTGTGGTCGGTGCATTGAATGCGAAGCTGGGATCTGTGGAACGGCCAGCTTCACGGGGCAGACCGAAATCACCGATGGACAGTCTGTCGTCGGTCAAGACGACCTCGGGCTGAGCGCGGTAGACGGCCGTGGTATCGTGCCCAAGAAGCTCGCTGAGCTTGTCGAGACACTTTTGCCTCTGTGAATCGAGCGCCTTGGGGTCCATCGCCAGTAATGCCGAGGGGTTGGCACCTAAGCTGTCGATGAAGACGGTCGCCGCACCGTGGACAATCGCAAACTGGGGCGCGGCAGGGCCGCACAAATTAATGAAGTTGACCCAGATGAGGATGTCACGGATTGAAAAGGCGGTAGAGGAGGACGATCTGAAAGTCTGGCCAAACCAATGGGCAAATTGTACCACGGGCTTGCCGAAAGCCTGGAAGGACGGATCCAGCTTCGAAACAACGATGTCAAGCATGTCGTCCATCTCAGACATGGCGGGGACCCAAATCTCGGTGAAACGATTCCTCAGCGCCGGTGACAGTTCTTTCTTGCCGAAATCGCCGCCCGGGTTCATGGTGGCGAAGAACTGGAAACCGTCTGCCGCGGTGACGAACGAGTTGTCGATACCCTTCTCTGCCAGAAGAAGAGAGCGCCCGGGCTCAAGAACCGAGTTGAGACGCTCCAGGACCGAGTCATCTGCAAGGGAAATCTCGTCAAGAAGGAAATATTGACCGGCCTTCATGGCGTGAACGAGACTTCCGTCAGACCACTCGAACAAAGCTTTGCTCTTGGCTTCTAGCAATGCAATCTTCTCCTGCGTAGCAGCATCGACGCTAGCCATCTTATCCGCCGCAAGACGGTGGTACTGTTGCACCAGAACGTCCAGGGGGCCTGACACGTCTTCGCCGAGCGCTCCGAGGAGAGCAATCAGATCGCTCTTCAGAGTCTCTGAGATGGCACCGCGATTTCTCACGGGTCTCTGGGAGCCGATGAGATCTCCCGTCTCGGTGTTCTGGTGAGCGTTGACGATGTGCAGCTCTTTTCCAAGTACGTCGCCGAGAATCTGGCAAACGGTGGTTTTACCGCATCCAGTTTCGCCCACGAGAAGGACTGGCTCGTTGTTGAGGATGGCAGCATGCACCAAAACATAAAGACGACGCATGGCACGAGTCCACACCACACCATGGTTGTTGGACTTGCCCAGAACCTCGGTCAAGATTGGTGATGCGTTGGCAGTGTATAGAACGTCCGGATCAATCTTGACCTTGAAAACGGTCTCAATGACCTCTCTGACCGCAGTCCGCTCCTCGTCGACTCGGACTCGCTCGGCAAGAAGCATGAAACCATTGATGGCAATTTGCTCTCGTGTGTCTGCCTTGCGCAGGGCCCATCGGAACAAGTCACGGAGCGTTGCGAAACTGTCCTTTTGCTCAAACAGTCGACTCGTCTGGCGAAGGCGGGAGAGCTCCTTGTAGACTGTGACGATTCGCTTGCAGTCGGAAGGTGCGGTGTTGATGCTTCTGTTTTGGAGGATGTACTCCAACTCGTCCTCGGGGATATCGTCAAAGTGCAACTCCAAGAAACGGTTACGGAACGCACGCGAAAGGACCTTGCGGCCACCGTACAGACCAGGAGGGTTTTGAGTGGAGAACAACATGAAGTTCTCATGCGGTCGCACGATTTCCTGTGTCTCGGGGATCAGGAGCTCTCGGTTGTCGTCGAGCAGACGGTTCAGTGCTTCCAGAACGTCAGTGGGAGCCAGGTTCAACTCGTCCAGCACGATCCAATGACCCTGCCGCATAGCTTGTACGAGGAGACCCTCCTGGAAACGAAGCCTTCCTGACGAGTCTGAGACATACGTTCCCAGGTATTCTTGCAGGTCCGTGTGTTCGTGGTTGTTGATGCGCACGAACTTGTTGCCCGTGAAGTTGGCAAGGTACTCAATCATACTCGTCTTTCCTGCAGATGTCGGACCCTGGATGAGAATGGGGAATCGTCGCGTAGATGTCGCTCGAACGAGGTTGAGAAGGTTGCGTTCGACGTAAGGTGTGATGATGTAGTCGGTCCGTTCCAGAGTCTTTTCTTCTCCCTGGGCAAGCCAGTAATGACGGTCCTTGGCCTTGTTGCGGAACCGCACATACTGCTTACCATCATCCGGTTGTCTTGGTGACTGTGAAAGCAAAGACTGCGGATTCGAGACTCGGCCAAACAGGTGAAGGTCGATCAACGGCATGACCATCTGTTCCGAGTTCCTGTCGAGAAGCGTGAGGAATCCCATGGAGAAACCCTCGTACAAGGCCCGACGAATGCCGTAAAAGGGGGCGATGTAGTTGACAAATGTCAAGACTCGGGTGAGAGTACGGAGACTGAAATGCGGCACTTCGTTGGCTCCATCCACGATCCTCTTCTCCTCGGCGTGTCTCTTGGTGTTCATGTACAACGCCGCAATGTCGTCTGCGGCGTGTTCATCCTTGATGCTGCTATTCCTCAGGTATGTCTTGACGATGGTAATCAAGTCCTTGACATCCTTGTCAGGACTGTCAACGTAAAGCTCAGTGAAACGGGACCGGATGCCGATGGGAAGATCGCGCTTGCCCACATCTGTTGCCGGGTTCATGGCGCCAAAGATGCGGAAGTTTGGGTGTGCCCTGATCCTCTCGATCTCTCCTGTTTCGGACAGTAGAATGGAGGGTATGTCAACAGGCCCCGTCAGGAGATCCGCGATGGCTTCCAAAGTGTCAGGCGATGCCAGATTAATCTCGTCGAGAAGTACCCAGTCGCCATTCCGGGCAGCCTTGATAATGTTGCCCTCCACGAAAGAGAACGCGAACGCGGTTGAGCCCCCAGACAGTTGAACCTCGAATTGATCCAGGCTGTTGGAGAACTTATCCCAACGAGGGCTGAGCTCCATAAGGCTCTGAAGTTTGGACTCGGTCTTGCGGCGCTTCGTTGGCTGGCCTGCCTCGTCGCGGGCTTGGCTTTGCTCCCTTTCTCGCCGGGCCAGTTCGTCGACAATCTTCTTGAACATCTTGGGCGCTTCACGCCAATACTTGGCCGCCTTGGCCCACTGTCCTTTTGCGAATGACTTTCCTAGCTGTTCGAGGTAGCGCTGATTCTTCGTTGTCGAGATGCCGGTTGCCGAGAACAGGTCTTCAAACTCCTCCTTCAAAGGAACAGCCAAACTCCTCACGTTGACAGGCTTGAAGCCTCCGAGAAGATCTCCAGCTTCGCTCTGCTGGGACAGATTGATGGCGACCAGCTTGTGGCCCAGCGTATCAGCCAGCTGCTGAACGACAGTCGTCTTTCCGATACCGGTCTCACCAACGAGGAGAATCGGCTCGCCCAGGTTTACAGCTACCGCGGTCTGCTCCAACAACTTCTTTGCGTGTGTTGTACTGGCAAAGGGCTTCTTGGCCAGGGCGGCCTTGTTCACGCGGTCCTTCCGCTTGCGCAGTGTTGATCGGCCAATCTTGAACAGGCTGTCGTTTTGCTCAAGCTCCGGGATGTAGCTTCCCAGATGATGCTCGACTAGCTCCCTCGGCATATGCATCTCCTCAGCGATGCCGAATATCAAGTGCTGTTTGGCCTGGACGTCGGGGATACCAGCAACGAAGCAGTCAATAGCCTCCTTGAACATGTTCATTCGGATAGTGTCAGTGACAGGTTCCTCGCCAGTTTTGCAGCCTGCCTCGGACAGGGTGGCTCCAAGGCGTCTGCACCACCGCAACAGATCTCGCAAGCTGGTTTGACGGTCGGCCATGCCGCGGCTGGACGACAAGGGGACGTTGCCGGACATTGGCTTTGACAAGCGCTTGTATACAGCAAGAATGCCAGGCGCAAACTTGTGTAATATGGGGTGGGATCCAACAATGATGTCTTGTAGCTCGGTCTCTGTAGGAGTCTGTACTGCGAGAAGTTGCCAGAACCGCATACCCAGCAGGTTGGGAAGCGTCTCGCGGCCATGCATGCCGCGTGAACTTCTCACGGTGCCAAAGAGACGGAATCCGTTGGCAGCCTTGATACGCTCACCCCTGCTTGGGATGAGGAGCTCACCGCGCTCGATCAGGGGGAGGAGTGTGCTGATGACTTCGTTCGGTGCTCTATCCAGGTCTTCGATGAGAACCCAGCGTCCTTCTCTGACTGCGGTTGTCAGCACACCGGCTCTCCATGAAAAGGTTCCGGGTTTTGAGTCGGTCGAATAGAGTCCAATAAGCATCTTTGCGTCTGTTTGCTCGTTGATGTGTAATGTCACCATCTCGGAATGCTTTCCAAACTCCTTTGCAACTTCATGGACCAGGGAGGTCTTTCCAGAGCCAGGCAGGCCATGAAGCAGAATCGGGCTTGCATTCTTCAAAAGGCCAGCCAGACTCTCGAGGTTTTTGGTGGTGGTGAACGTCAGTACGAGGGACGATGTTTTGTCGACGGGTCCCGACGGTCTCGGCAGTATTGTCTTGCCGTAGCACGCAACATAGGGAGTGAGGGATTGCGGTGGAAAAGAGTGGATTTCATTGCTCTGTGAAGCATCGCAAAGCTCCCGGCGCAGGGCCGATACCTTCTTGATCCGTGCACCTTCATACAGACTCAGGAACCCGTAGTCCACCTCGCGCCCGTCAAAGTCAGCGAGGACGGCCTCCGTCGCCCCGACGTGCTCGGTGATGAGAGATTCCAGCTTCGAGTCGGCTGCGCGGAGGAGCTGGGTGAAAATCCGGATGGCCAAGTACCGGACGGCGCGGCTTTCATGTGAGAAGAGAGTTTGCATATGTGTTGGTGAGACCAGGATGCCGTAGGTCCTTTGGTCGAAACAGACGAGCCGCCATGCTGCTAACAATAGCGTCAAAAGGTCAGAGTCTTGTGTGGGAGAAGAAGTGGTGAGTTTGGGGAATCGGAGGGTGAGCGTCTGGATAGTATCCGACGTCGCTTTCGTCAAGTCGTCTCTCATGACATGCTGGAGAAATTCCGATAAATACGGAGCAAAGGGTAATATCCTTGCAATAGACGCAAGGATTTGTCTATTCTTGCCATTGACGGCTTGGTTGTCGAGGTGGAGGAGCCAACGTGCGCAGATATCGGGAAAGACATTCTCAAAGTGAATGAAAATTCGATCTGTAAGTTGGGGAATGAGAGCGGCCTCTGCAACGACGTCGAGGAGGTGTGAGGAGGTGTGATTTCTGATAACTTCGAGTATTTCGGTAGGTAGATGCTCCAGAACAGTCGCATCGTTCAGGAGAGCGCTCCTCTGCGTCGACACGTCTATGGAAGCCATGGTGGTGGCTCAATTATGAGATATGTCGACGGCGGTGATGTTCATGGACGACCAATTTGCATGTACCTCCAACTTTTTTTTTTTTTTTGGTCTGGTAGGTAATTACTCCAATGGAAGAGAGGACCCTTTCCCGGCGCGCGCCAGCCAAAAGGCAACTTTTTTTTTTTTTTTTTTGCCATTGATGGGGCGCTGTCCAGTGTCGACAGGGGTCCCTGCAGTTAGCGAACTCCATGGGGCGGAAGGCGGCACTACAAAGCCCCCGAACCAATCAAAGTGGAGACGACTCTGCACCATTCACGCGACTGGAACCACCTCATTCGCAGGAGCTCGAAAAACTTCAAGCCAGAAGATATCCCGAGCTAAAGAACCTCCTCCCTGTTGCTTGAGGCCGAATCTCGAATCTCGACGACCATCCCGCTCCGCTCCAACAAACGCCAATTGGCTTCGTCTCCTCCCACTTTCTTCATATCCACCCTCAACACACACACACACACACACAGGCATACAATGGCCCTCTCTTGCAGATACGCAGCCCAGAGCTGCGCCCGTCAGCTTCGTGCCTCTGGTTCGCTGCGTGCCTCGACATCCCTCTTCCAGACCCGAACTCCCGCAACCGCACGAAGGTACAACTCGACCGAGGCCGCTGCCCCTACGAACCCCAAGATCGCCGCCATTGTCGACCAGATTAGCACCCTTACTCTCCTCGAGACGGCAGACCTCGTTTCAAGCTTGAAGGTTAGTTGAAGAAGTGGACTCGTCATAGGGACGGACGTAGGGGGTTAGAAAAAGGATCATCATGGGCCGAATGCTGACCCGACTTCAAATCGCAGTCCAAGCTCAACATTCCCGATCTTCCCGTCGGTGGCTTCGCCGCCGCCCCCGCAGCAGCTCCCGCCGCTGTCGAGGAGGCTGAGGAGGCCGCACCGGCGGCCGCCGAGAAGAGCGTCTTCAACATCAAGCTCATGGCCTTTGAGGCCGGCTCCAAGCCCAAGGTCATCAAGGAGATCAAGAACCTGTTGGGTCTGAGCTTGGTGGACAGCAAGAAGTTTGTCGAGAGCGCACCGAAGCTGATGAAGGAGAACGTGGCCAAGGACGAGGCCGAGAAGATCATCGCCGCCATGAAGGAGCTCGGCGCCACCGTCGCCATGGAGTAAAATGGTCCTAATGGCCGGTTAGGCTGTGCTGGCTGACGTAGACTTGCTGGAGCGCGGCCCCTCTCCTTGGGAGGAGATGTAAAACTCGGGGGGAGCATTGTGTTGTCGGACATCTGGAGTCGGATTGATCTAGACAGACGTGTATGAGTGTATAAACACCCATGTAACAATATTATCACAAAGACATACACCACCTTTTTTGTATTGCCATACTGAATAACTCCTTTTTGCAATTCTAGACTTTGCCTCAAGCTACCTTGCCCAAAAAAAGAAAGAAAAAAAAAAGATACTTGGGCTAACGTTCATGAAAACACTGACCCTGGTGCTACCTGTGGTATTTGTCGTGTCGCGAAACCAGACCCTCGAACGCCCTTTTTTCCCTTTTCCCCGAAACGCCAAGATATGCTCGTAGCTTGGAAAGCCCTTTACTCAATTCTTCTTCCCATTCGCAATGCGCGTACTAGCAGGACCGACAGGCGGCTTAGGAGGACACGAGTGCTTCATAGCCTGAGAACACTCGGCAAACTCCTCCTCGCCCAGGATATGGTCGTCATCTCCAAAATCGCTCGTCTCATCCCAAATCTTGTCAATCTCGGCGTTCCCTTGCGGCGGGATAGCCCATATGCTCTCCCGCAGCCGCTTGTGGCGCTCGCGGTCCTCCTCGATGCGCTGCTCAATCTGGCGCTTCTCCAGGCGCGGGGCTCCCCCGCGACCATTAGTCGGGATCGCGTGGCTGGGAGGCGCGTCGCCCATCTCGACATCGCCATTGACGGGGGACGAGAGGCCTGCGTCGTGGGCGCTCGTCTCGCGCTCCTTGAGGACTTCTTCAATCTCTATGACTGTGCGGGCTTCGAGGAAGTCCTTGTCTTGGAGACCTCGGAGGACCTTGGTTTTTTTTTTTCTCATGTCAGTTACACATGTCGACGGTACGGCTTGGAACAAAGCTAACTCACTCTTCGGACGACCTTGACGTTGGCAGCGCCGGATCCGTCATCGGGAGCAACAGCGTCGACGATGCGAATGATGTCGCGCTGCATCATGCGGACGTAGTCCATGTGCTTGTCCTTTTGAGCCATCTCAAGGAAATGCTCAATAAAGTACATGATGTTGGCGCGTGTATTCATATTGTTCTAAACGAGCATCATTCAGCCATGGTCTCATCGTTTTTCTCATACACTTCAAACTCACCCGCTCCAACTGCTCCAGAATACAAGAATGCAGATCCTCGTCCATATCCTTGTACTTGAGGGCATACTGGGCCGCTTTCTGCGCAGAAGTGACGGAGGCATTCAAGTGCTGCAGCGAGCTGCTGAAGCGCATTCGAACCTCAAAAGGATCCGCCATGGTGATATCAGCGGACTTTCGGTCCCGGTCCTGATCTCAATTTGGATCGGGCGACGACTTGAAGTCGGGGGTTGAGAGTTCGGGATGATGTTGAAAAGCGGCTGGTGATGCTGGGGCTGAGTTGAGGCTTGTCTTAGGTAGTGTAGGTACGGAGTATCCGTACTCACGTACTGTATGTACCCGAATCCGAGCTGTCACCTCTTTCCGACTAAATTCGCTGGGGAAGTTTCCCACAGGTGGACCCTGTGCTGTTGCCTCCATTTTTGTCAGTGTTCTCCCTGTTTCTGGTGTGGTCCGCCCTGTGCGAATAAAGGGAGCAGCAAGCTAAGCAGAGTTGGGCTTAGCGCTGAAGAAAAGCCAAGTTCAGTGGACGAAAAGCTGTGGACGGACGATATCGGAACAGTGGAGAGCTTCTTTTTCTGCAAAAGGAGGTGGATAATATTGGCCAGGGGACTCTTTAACTCAGCCTTCATTTCCAATCTCTGTTTTGATAAACTTTGTTCTTGCGCTCAAGAGACATTTCTCCGTAACTGAACTCGTTTTGCATATCCTCTCTGCTTTTCTGGTGTTTTTCCTTGGATGATAAGGTAGAGGCAGCATCCTTGACACGGTAGAAATCCATCACTTACACCGCATTCTCATCTTTTCTCTCATACTGCTTCTTCATCATGTCTGTTATGGGAGATCACAGCTCTTCGGAGCTCACCATGACCGTTCTCGGTTGCGGTATGTAAAAACACTCATACTCATAATGAAGTTAAAAACAAAAAAACATTCTGACTCTCAACAGGAACCATGGGTATCGCCATCCTCAACGGCATCTTCACTTCCCTCCTGGAAATGCAGGCTCCCAAGCCTCTTCAGACCCTCCACACCCCCTCGGCGTCAGGCACATCCACACCCTTAGGCGACGAGGTCCCCCACCGTCTGCCCTCCCGCTTCATCGCCTGCGTCCGCCGTTCCGACAGTGCCAAAAAGGTGAAGAAGGCCTTGTGGGAGCACTCCTCCATCCTCAAAGTCGTCCAAAACGACAACGTCAACTCCGTCGCCCAATCCGACGTCGTCATCCTCGCCTGCAAGCCTTACATGGTCAAGGACGTCCTCAGCGAACCGGGCATGACCCGCGCCCTGCACGGCAAGCTCCTCATCAGTATCTGCGCCGGCCTCACAGAGGAGCACCTCGAAGAGATCCTCCACGGCGCCGTCCCGACAAAGGACCCCGAGGAAGACGGCCGCTGCCGCATCATCCGCGCCCTCCCCAACACCGCCTCCCTCATCCGCGAGAGCATGACCGTCATCGGCGCCCCGACCTACCCCTTGCCCCGCGACGCCGCCAACCTCGTCACCTGGATCTTTAAGCGCATCGGCGACGTCGTCTACCTGCCCGCCGAGAACATGGACGTCAGCACCGCTCTCTGCGGTTCCGGCCCGGCCTTTTTCTCCTTGGTTCTCGAGGCCGCCATCGACGGCGCCGTCGCTATGGGTCTGCCCCGCGCCGAGGCCACGAGGATGGCGGCGCAGACTATGAAGGGCGCCGCGGGCTTGGTTCAGAACGGTGACCACCCTGCTCTCCTTCGCGACAAGGTCACTACGCCTGGCGGATGCACTATCGGTGGTCTGTTGGTGCTTGAGGAGGGTCGTGTTAGGGGTACCGTCTCGCGTGCCGTGCGTGAGGCGACTGTTGTTGCCGGTCAGCAGGGCCAGGGCATCCAGGGGGTGAATGGCACTCGTTTCGTTTCGCAGTCGGGATACCCTCAGTTCTAAGATGGTTAGATATGGCGATGGACTTCTGCGCAAAAGTACATAATGTACAATCCTCATGAATAATGAATAAACATTTATTATCTACCTCAATCTATGCAGCCAACACCGTGAGTACTGACTTTTCCCGCTTAATCAACATCTAGCTATCTGCTTTCATTCTAGATGGTACAATTTCGAAGAGCAATGAAGGAACATGCAAGTCTCCATGAAATTTAGGCTGTGTCAAACATTCATTGCCCTGATTGGAGAAGAATCCGAGAATAATCAATGGCAGTGGTGGTCCTTTATCGTGATTACTATCCGCCACCTACAGCCACAGGTTTGTTCTCCGTACTCTCCATCTTTGCATATTGAAGCTTCAAATCAAGAGGGACAGTATTTTATTATTCTAATCACAAAGTAGTAGAGTAATTTGATGATGAAACCGATACCATCCATCGTTGGCAATGTGTAGCAAGAATGCAAAGGCTCGGCCCCCCTAACGGGGGAACTGCGAAACTCACTGTGGGGTTCTTATTCCTCAAGTATAACGATGCTAGTGATTTTTCACGAGGCTTAAACTCGCGACTTGTACAAGCGGGGCAATTCACTCAGGACTTTCCCCGTTACGTCACAGTTCTTCATGGTAATATCGAGCAAATTCATTGATGATAGAGGTATGGAGACGGCGGGCAGTGAGTAAATTCAGAAGGGGATGGTGATGGTTGGGATGAAAGGATGCGATGTGAGGTGGCTGCAACGTCCAAGTACACTTGGGTATCAGCCTTGCGGATTGCTATAATCACATTGAGCCTAATAGAGAAGTACGTGGTATTATATTTACATGCCGGCTGGAAGCCCGGGTTACCCCCTCTAATCTATCATCCCTGAGGTAGTCGCCTTACTTTGTCCATGTCTATCGCTAATCTCTGTGTAGGCGAGTTGCCTTGGCCTGTCCTGGCCAACATCGTACATCCTCTTCCAGTCGCCATCCACTTCTGAAAAATCCAAGATGATCCCTTTGAGAGCGACCTCTAGTCGCACACGCGTTCATATCGCACAACGCTCAAAATCGAGAAATGTCCCTTCCAAAAACCCACGTAATAAACCAGTAAACCGGAACCAGAATCTTGTTCCGGATACTCATCGATTTAGTCAAATAAGCACACCGCCACAGAATCCAAGCTGTACGACATCCCCGTTAGCTCATCCAGTCTCAGCACATGCAAAGAGTTGAGTAAACATACCTGCTCTCCCCTTCAACTCATCCGCAGAACTCTGGTGAATCGCCCGCCAACTTCCCAAATACGCCATCGCCCCAAGATTCCGGAACTTGAACGGCTTACCCTCCGGCCCGGCCGCCGCCTTGTTGAGCGCCTTGGCGAGGTACTTTGCCTGCTGACTCGCAACCTGCGCCGTAGCAGGCAGCGTCTGGCCCTCGAGGACGGAGCAGTCGCCCATCGAGTACACGTCCGGCAGCACGGCGCCCTCGTTCTTCGGATCGTCGAGTCGTACCCTCAGATTTGCATCCGTAACGATCCCACCGCTCCGCTCCGCCTTGAGAATCTTGACCATCTCACCACCACCAGCACTCTGCCCTTCACCCTCAGCAGCAGCAGCAGCAGCAGTAACAACAGCATTCGGATTCCGCAACTCCTTCTTCATCAGCGTCTGCACAAGCGGATTCTGCATCAGCCCCGTGCTCCAGACCACGATCCCCGCGCCGACCTCCTCCTCGCCGTGCTCCTGGATCTTGAGCCGTAGCGCCCCGCGCGGGTCCGTTTCGTCCGGGCGGATGCGCTGCAGGTGGTGGTTGGTTTTTACTTTGATGCCCTGACGGCGGAAGAGGTCCTCTGCGTAGGAGGCCAGCTGCTGGTCGAACATGGGTAAGACTTTGGGTGCGATGTCGTAGATTGTGATGCCGACGAATTCCATGAGGTGCGGGTAGAGTTTGGAGAGGTCGTCGTGGATTAGGTCGTGGAGCTCAGCTGCGAACTGCAGAAGAAATGAGTAACGGAATAATCGGGAAAAGGAGGCTGGATAACTCACCTCGATACCCGTTGGGCCTCCACCAACAACAGCAAAGTGAAGCAACTTCCTCCTCTGCTCATCCGTCGTCGTCGGCCAATCCGCCTTCTCAAAGCACTGCAGCACCCTCAACCGAATACTCCTCGCATCCCCAATATCCCTCAAGAAATTAGCATACTCCTTCACCCCCTCGATCCCAAACGTCTGCGAATACGACCCCACCGCCACAACAAGCTTGTCGTACGCGACATCGACCACCTCCCCTTTGGCCCGCGAATGCACATCCCTAGCCGGTAACGTTTTGGACGTGGCGTCCTCGGACGTGACCTTTTCGATGCGAATCACTTTCCGGGCGAAATCCACGTCGTCGGCCCAGGCCTGGTGGAACGAATCCAGTTCCAGGCGGCGGACGGGCTCGAGGACGGAGCGGAACTCGAGTGTGCCGACCGAGGTGGATGCCAGCAGGGGTGTGAAGACGAAGTAGGAGCGCGGGGAGATGAGGATGCGTTCGTATTTTTTGGGGTCGAGGTCGCGGGCGAAGGCGTAGCCTGCCCAGCCTGAGCCTAGGACGACGACTCTTTCACGTTTTGGTTCTGCCGGGTCTCGTGTTAGTGGGAGTTTTTCCTTTCCAATGGCGCGATGAGAGTATGGAAGGTTCGGGGAGTAGGAAGTAACTGAGATGCATGTGTACCTGTTGGTGAACTGGAACTCGTACTGTTGCGTTGGTTGACGAGACTCGTGTTAGTCAGAGCCTCAACCTGCAGCGCCGTCCCGGCCGGCCCCCGGCGTCCGAGTCCGGGCCGAGCCAGGCTCCTCCAATATTGTTGTGCAACTTTCGATGAGGCCATGATGGGGTTGAAATCACACCACCTAAAAGTCAGCGGTAAAGAAAACGGGGTCCAGTTGTTGGTTAAATAAGACAACCGCAAAGGGCCCTTTCACTCTACCGGTCCAACCCACTCCTTTTTCTCTGACTCTGACTCCCCCAGTCCTCCGAACCCGTTTCTACGGCCGTTCTACGGCGGTGGGTTAAATCCGATGGCTCAACGTTAGGCGTTTGGGCGGTGTTGAGATTGAGAAAGGTGGGCACGATAATAGCCCGGAGTGTCGAGGGCGCTCGGTGTATCGGAGACTTGCCAAAGAGCGTGTACTAAACTCCTAAGGTGAGGTAATACGGGACGGGACGGGACCGGGTGCCTTGACATCCAGAAAAAAAAAGTCTTGGGACCAGTTGAGTCAATGCGCTTATTTCGTTCGCTAGGCAAGCGGGTTGATTGATCTACAGAATTCAAGGGAGGGGGGAGAGGGCCTTTTTTGGACAGTAGAATTAAGGTTGATTCTTGTCTAACTCAATTACATCTTTTCTCACGTCACCAAGCTGAGAGATTTAGACCTTAGTATACACGGCGCCGACGGAACGAGTGACGTCCCCCGTCTCCACTTTTGCCCGTCCGGCGGCCCCGGCGTGGCGTTCCCGCTTTTTCTTCTCCTCTAATCGTCCAAATGACGTCCCTAAAATTTCACTTTTGTGTTCCCATGCATCGAATAAAGGTGCACACGGGGCTGAGTTGTCCGAACTTCCGTCCGCAACTATCCCACACGGCTCCCGTAGCTCTCTCCAATTTTTTGGTTTAGACTTTCTCTACTGCAACATAGAGTCCAAGCTTTCGCCAAGGACTCCCTCGATCTTGACGATCCACTGGTGCGTCTCCCGCTCGACCGTCTCGTCATCGTCGTCCTGGAGCTCGCTGATGTAAGGGAGCATCTCGGGCAGAGCCGACAGCCACTCCTCGCCGAGCTTCTCGGCAAGCTGCTGCTGGCACCTGACGGCCGCCAGACGGACGGGCGCCTGCTCGGAGCGGAGGTGGCGCAGGATGGCCGTGTTGAGCTCCTTTTGGTGCTCCTGCGAATCCGCCGCCGAGGCCAGCTCGACCACCGCGGGGATGAGCTCGGCGGTCAGGTCGATGGATGAGGAGGCGTGGAGGAACTGCGCCGTCAAGACGGGAGCGACCTTGCTAAAGTGGGCGGGCGCCTGCCAGAAGTCGTCCTGGTCATGCTCGAAGCACCTCGCCAGCGTGGACAGCACGCGCTGCCAGAGCGCCTTCTGCTCGGGCATCTTCAAGTCGGTGCCGTTGATGATGTCGACGGCGTCGTCCACGATGTAGGTAGCGTAGTTGGTGACGATGGACTTGAGGCCCTCGAAGAAGACCTGTAGGAACCCGTAGACGCTGTAGCGACGCAGAGCACGTCCTGTGACGTCTTGCTTGGGCAGCTGCGTAGACCACTCGACGATCTGGGTGAAGATGGGCCTGAAGGCCGCGTCGTTGAGCTTGTAAATCATCTTGAGCGTGACGTCGTTGATGGAGGTCTCGATCTTGGCCACACGCGGAGCTGTCGCGTTTGTGAGCTTGCCCTTGATCTGTTCCCGTCTCCGAAGGTCCAAAGAGTTGAGCAGGATCGTGGACAAGGCAGTGACGTTCTTTGTGACAACGGTCTTTGGCTGGCTGTCAACCACAACACCAAAGATGTCGACCCATTCGTCGGTGGCCTGTTTGCATGTTAATATAGCGTTGCAAATTTCTCTCGGCGGACAACTTACATCGAAACCAGCCTCGGCTGCTGGGATCCAGTTCTTCTGCAGGCTGGCCAACATCGTCTTGGCCTCAACCTTTCTGGCAAGGAATCTGAGACAGTTGGTGCGCTCATCGTCGGCTTCGCCATCCAGTTTGGCTTCGGCTGACTTGTTGGAAGCAAGCAAGATGTTTTCCAGGTGCTTCTCCGAGATCATGTAAGGCAAGTGCTGCGCGAGCGCAGTGATGAATGCAAACGCGGCATTGTGCAGTTCGGTGGCGGCCTCGTCGTCCTCCACGCTCTGCTCGATGTAGAGAATTGCCTGGGAAATGGCAATGTTGACAATAGGCAGGATACCGTCTTGAAGAACATCAACCAAAGAGGCAAGGCAGAGCAAAGCCATGACACGGAGGCGAACATCGGGCTGGCCGAGGCAGTGGGGTCCAGCAATGGTCGCGGCGGCACCCGCGACAGCCTCGACGTCTTTCTTGCCGTACTTCTCCGCGATCTTGTCGATGCATGAAACTGCAGTGTGCTTGTACTTGAGGTCGTCCGTATCCCGGATTGCGGCGGTGAGCTGTGGCAGGAAGGCAAGAAGTGCCGTCCTGGAGGCAACATCCGCGACACCTTCCTGGTCCACGCGAACTTCGAGAGCACGGAGAACCTTGCGGCGGAGGTCGATCTCGGTGCGGTCCAGGAGGTTCTCGACCGACTTGATGAACTCGCCGATGGAGAGGAGGTTGAGAAGGTTGGCCAGAGCGTTGCCGCAGCACTCGTGCAGAGCCTTCTGTTGCTTGACGGTCTCCGCAAGGGCCAGGACGTCTCTGAGAAGAATAGCATACAAGTCCCGAATCTTTGAAGAATCCATGTCGTCCCTCTCGGTGAGAATGGTGATCTCCTTCCGCAGCTTTCTGCTGGAGAGCAGAGCGGGGAATACGGTCAATTGCTGGATAGCAATGGCCTCGGGCTTCTTCTCTGACAAGTCTTCGCCAACTCCCAAAAGGGTGGCCGACAGACCTAGCTTGGGCTTGAAGATGTCACTGATCAAGTCCAGGAGCTTAGCCAAGGTCTGAAGCTGCACCTCAGCACTGTAAACGCCGAGGAGCTCAGAGGCAAAGGCAATGAGGCTGTCGTTGGGACCGTATCTATCGACAAGCATAGCCAAGAGAGCGAATAGGAACTCATCGGGTCCGAGGGTGTTGATGAGAGCGACAAACAGACCCTGCTTGCGATGTGCAGGGATATGCTCGTAGGCAGTGACGAAGCTTTGCAGCAACTCCGTGGCACCCGCAATGGGATTTCTCTTGCCCTTCTTGAGCGACGCCATCAGGGGCGGTACGACCTCCTTGATAGTCTGGTTGACGACGTGAGCAGAATGATCATCGTTCTGGCGGAGGACCGAGGCACCCATGAAAGTGAAGATGGGCATCACGCTATGGAGCACAAGATCAGGAGCAGCGGTGGCAAGGCTGGCGATCAGGAGAAGGGCCGAGTTTTGCACAATAGGGCTGGAAGACTTCTGGATGCAGTTGACAAGCAAATCGCCGTGGCCTCCTGAGCTGTCAATCTTCAGGTTCTTGTTGTCTCTGTAGGCAGGGACCATGGCAATCAAACTTGTAAGCACCAGGTTTTGCAGGTATCCAAGCTCTGATCCAATGACAGTACGGAAGTGCTGAAGCTCGGAGAGCGTGCCAAAGAGGCTATCCAGCAACTCGGGGTGAGTAGCCGGCTGCGAGCCGTCAACGAGCTGGAGGACGAAGGTGACGGATCTCAGGGTTGCGCTAAGCTCAGCACTGGCTTGAGCGCTAACTTCCCGCTTGGCCTCGGAGGAGCTGGTCCGGCGTCGCTTGTTGGCAGGGGGCTCGGTGATGAGCTTCGTGCCGGTCTGGATAGACTCGAGGAAGTAAGCCAAGATCTCTGTCGTGAGCTCAACATTTCTCAGGAAGTCAGCCGCCTCGTCAGCGATGATGTCCTCCTCATCCTGGGATGCCTGTCGTGCCTGAGAGAGCTCCAGCATCGTCTGAGCCACGTCAAATTTGGTGTCGGCCTTCATGGAGCCCCAGATAGCACGAATGCGCGCCGAAATGGATCTGACCAGCTCCGGTCGCTTGGCGGAGGCGGAATCCTTCATAGTAGAGAGGAGGCATTCGAGGCCTTCGTTGTCGTTCGGCACGACAATCTCGGCAAATGTAGTATGCAACAATGACTGATCGACTTCCTCGGCCTCGGCGAGACGGTCCGCTTCCTCGACAGACAGCGACGCCCACCATTGAAAAGCCGGCAGCAGGACCTTTGTTCTAGAGGTGGATGATACTCCCCTGATACGGTTGAGAATCGAGAGCAGGTTGGACTTGACCCTGATGAGCGGCGTTGCGACGACGTGGCTAGCAAGGAACGAGAGAATCGACGCTCTGCCCGAAGAGCTCAGTGCCTTCTTTCCTTCGCTGCTCTCGCTCTTGGCGCTGCTGTCGAGAGTAGAGTGAAGGACGGCACGAATGTGGTTCTCATGCATGATGCACTCCTCCAGAGCCGGGAGAATGACGCCGTGCAGGAGGCGAGAGACGGTGTCGGCATCCAACCACTGCACCTTGTCGCTGTCATCGTAAAGCTTCTTGCCACCCCAGACAGAAGCCTTGGCGGCCTTGGACTGGTGAGGGAAAAAGTGGCCTATTTGGATGAGAAGCTCGGCCGCGGCACGGCGAACCTTCTTTGAGGAGTCCACAAGGGCAACGAGGCAGTAGGGGATAAGGGCCTGGAAGTCGAGATCATTGCCATCGCCGTCGCTCAAACGTCTCCTGACAGTGTCAACAGCGGCGGCGCGAGCCAGAGTCGGGTAAGGACCGGACCAGATGCGAACGAAGAAGGTGATGTAGGTGTGGTCGCTAACTGCCGTTCGTCGACTCAAAGACGGCAGCTGGTCGAAATCGGCCAGAAGAGTTGGGTCTTCAGACTGCTGAGACACGACCCGGAGGAAGAGTCTACTGAACTCGTCGTAAACGTCGCCAGTGCTCGTAGAGAGGCACGACGGCAACGCACGGGTCTGGCTCGAGAGCTCCTGTATAGTCTCTCTCAGGTTCTCCTTTGTCGGCGCTGCGGGTTGGGATCCGTCCATCTGAGTATCTTCTTGGCTTCCGGGCAGGGCCTTTCTTTGGCGAATGGAAACGTCGAGTTTCATCTCCAGCTCCTCCACATCGAAATCGACCTCCTCGAGAACCGTCCGGATGATCTCGCTAGTTTCTCCAGAGAAGCGCGACAGGTCAATCAGTGTCGAGCCAAGCTCCTTGCGGATTTCGCCGTCCTTGTCGACTTCGTCGTCAAGTCTGTGAGCAGCGAGGACCAGAGATTTGAAGATGACGGCAATTTGTTTCCCCTTCAAGATCTTGCTCATCAAGATGACGCGAATGATTGGCAGCCCCCGAGCATCACCCTTCTTGCAGAGTCTTTCAATAAAGGCGATGCACAGTCCGTTGGTGAGCTTGTCAACCCTCCTTTCCTGGCCCAGCTCAACGAGGATCTCTCCAAGGTTCTGCACTTTCAACAAGGCCTTGGTGACCTTTCCAGAAAGCTGCTTCGCGGACCGGTACTGCGCGAGGATGCACAAGCAAACCAGGCCGGGGCGCACAGTCTCGCTGGTCCAGCCGTGAACAATCTGCTCCATGAATGCCGATAGAGTCGCGTCGTCGAAGCTTCCCTTGGCCGCAACAATGGTGACAGCCATGTACGAAGCAATCTGCATGTTGGGGACCTTCTTCATGGTCATTGCCTCGGCGAGGGTAGGACCGACGCGGTGCAGGAATGATTCGTTGTTGTCCTGCTGAACAGCCTGGCGACCCGAGCGCATGTTCTCGAGAAGACCGTTCACGGCCTCCGTCATGATTCCGCCCCAGAAAGAGATCAAGGTAGGGTATTGCTGCTGGTTCCTGCAGGCCTCGAGGGTGTACTCGGAGAGGGTGTTGAGAAAGCCGGCCTTGTGGATCGCTTCGTGGACCAAGACAGATCGCGGAGGCGAAGTGAGGGACTTGATGTAGGGGCTCAAGAATCGGTACTCGTGGGGGATCTTGGACGGCAGGATCGAGAGCAAGGTAACGAAGGCGGGAATCGAGTGGTACGGGAGGAAGGTCGTGATGAGAGATTTGGTGTTGTTCTCGTGGATTCTGTGGCAGCGTTAGACTGGGTATCTCGGCGAGCATAAAGGCTGGACATACCTGAATCTTCGCACAAGCCATTCGAGGGCACGAAGCGAAGGCATAAGCCTCAGTCTGCTTCCAACGAGGCGCAGGAAGGACTCGACCTTCTTGTCCAACTCGGTATTCTCAGCGGCAGTCATCTGGGTGCGGTCTTCGCTCATGCTCTGCTCGCTGAACAGCGTGAGGCCAAACGGCTTGAAACGGCCATCAAGCTCGCACAGTTCCTCGAAGCCGTCCAAACATATCGTGTAGAGCGCCTGGTAGCTCTGTGTCGCGGCCACTCTCGGCTCGAAGAGGAGAGACTTGGAATGGGCAGCCTTTTGCGCCCTAACATCCAGAGATGCCTTTGAGTTGGCGGCGATCTGCGCCAATTGCGCAGCAAGAGAGGACGCCATTGTCTAGAGAGTTTGCGGCATTCCGCAGTGATCGAATACTCAATGGCGGGGGAGAGCAACGAGACTGGGGTTGTTTTCTCTTACAACATTTTCCTGGAGTTCTGGATTTTTTTTTCTGACGGGGATTAGTTCCGCCGACTTTTTCTTGCTGATAAGCCATTGAGCGAATCGCCGGCTTTGTAGATAAGACGGTGGGTCTCATCGACAGGCGTCGAGCCCCGCCAGTCCACCTGGTCAACTTTTGTTACCTAGCACTGCCAAGGGCCCTGCTTTGGGCGTTGCTCCATGCCTCTGATGCGCCTCTCTTTTGTGAGTGATGTGATGAGGAAGACGATTGATTTGAATGATGGTTTGGGTACCCATATACTCTCTTATTTTTGCCGGACGCCTGCCACGGGCCATGGATCGCTGGGTACTCAGCAGCAGTCTGTCGCTACCATTGCTGTTAGTCTAAAGAGTGGAACCCAACTCCTCTCCCAGAGCTCGGTGTTAGTGGTACGGCCATCTCGTGCAATTGATAGGCCGACAACCGCAGACTGCAGGCACCTTCACACAGCCTAACCAGTGAGGATATCGTGCTTTCGGCTAGGCGGGATACTTTGCCGTGCGAGTGGCTCCGTTGTGGTGTTTGTAAGATTGAGGGGAGGAGTGTTTCGGGCTCCCTGCAGCGAGGTCACGGAGTCACATATAAGCCGGGCGAGCCTTTAACACCATGAACTTGGTCGCGATTTCCCCTATTGTAGCGATATAGTATTGCCTAGTAGCCACCAAACAACATGGCTGTAAGTGACCATAGCGATAAAGGCACTCTCACATTGCTTACAATCATTGCAAGAAACCATACCCTCAAGTCGTGCTCTTTGGAGATTCCCTGTTTCAAGGGTCCGTGGTGACTTTTGAAGGCTTCTGCTTCCAGGCCGAGCTTCAATGTCGTAAGTTTACCGAAATCTGGGTTGCGAGGGTTCGGGATCAGACACTTACACGCGGCGTCTAAGATGTGAATCGCCGTTACGACGTAGTCAACCGTGGGTTTTCCGGCTGGAATTCGGCGAATGCTCTGAAATACCTCCCTGAGATGTTTCCCCCTCCTTCACCTTCAGGACCGCAGCTGAAGTATCTGGTCAGTACAAAGTGCATGCCGACGGGCTTCGAATGCTGAACCTAGCTCTCCCTAGTTGGTCCTCCTGGGTGCAAACGACGCAATTCAGCCCATGCATACGACAACCCAGCATGTGCCCCTAGAAGACTACAAGCAGAATCTCGTCAAGATCGTCACGCACCCCAATATCACAGCCCATAACCCCAAGATCCTCCTCGTCACGCCGCCGCCCATCGACGAAATCCGCATCACCAAGCTAGATCTGGCCTGGGGCCACTCAAAGCCGATCCGGACCGCCAAGATAAGCGCAGGATACACCCAAGCGGCTCGCGACGTCGCCGCCGAGGTCCCCGGCGTGGTCTCGATCGACTTGTGGCAGGCTCTCATGGACCACGCCGTCGCCAAGACGCCCGACTTCAAGGCCGGAGGGCCCTTGCTCGGCACGCCGGAGCTCGGCGAGCAGGGCGGGCTCGCGGACTTACTGCCGGACGGCCTCCACTTGAGCGGCGAGGCGTACAGGGTTTTCTACGAGACGGTGCTGCCTCACATTGGGCAAGAGTATATGGGTTTGCCTGAAGACGATCGTACGGACTACGTTTTTCCAGATTGGCGGGATCTCAACCCTCCGGCGTAGGTGAGGCGAGGCGAGGCACTGGTGAGGTAGGTGACTTTGACTTGGACGAAGGAAGCTAATAGAGCGGTCCATGCGATGCTGCATATTTTCTGCAGGAGCACTGCAGTGGCATTTGAAATTAAGTAAATCATTTCAGGAAACTGCCCGAGTACCCAGCACTTCAAATATTGATGCTTCCGACATAGCAACCTAAGCATGTGATGACGGTGGCGTACATGCGCGTATGTATGTCTCTACTCATCCTACTCGTAGCCTGGCCTATCTCTACGCATTCGCTTCGTGCCGAGCCACAGGGAGAAATCCCGCCTTCTGAGACATCGCCGGGAATCGCCAAGGACAGGAGAAACCAATGCCTCTTCTTGCCTCGGTAGGGATCCGCGACGCACACGCTGCGGGCTGTTCGGCGACGTATATACGCCGGAGGATCAATGACAGATGTTCAACCGCATAGGCTATCTACCCTGCTTTAGACGACTGGATTCTATTACCTGTCTACTCTGCCTAGGAAATGTACTCCGTAGGGAGGGTAAGGGTAAGGTGGGAGAGTTTTTAAATTTGACATCAGTTACGTGATCACTTGAAGATCTACAGCTCTACCTTCCGCGGACTTAATGCCCGCATCCCAAATACACCATTGACCTCGGTGAGGTTTCCTTGCACAGAAGAGTACAAAGACAAGGTAGGGGCAGGGCAAGCAAGCTGGAGTGCGGAGGAGGTGACACCATCCTGGCAGTTTGGCAGCCCAGGCAGGTTTTGGTCGTTTCTGCACTGGCATCTCGGGTGCTTTAGAGTTCGAAGATGTGCAGGAGGGAGGAAACAGCGGAAGTCACTTTTCACTATCCGTACCTTACCTACTACGTACCCAGAGTGAGAGGCCAGGTGAAATGCTGGAATGACTGGACGCTGGAAGTCTTCAGCACGTTCCCTGGCATGGGGGTTGGGGGGTGGTAAGCTTGCCGGGCCCCAATCAGCGTCTTCTACGGCGTCACACCCCGTTACCCCCGTTGCGAGTTCCAGCGGGTGAATGGGCGGGAGGGCGACGACGTGAGACTTTGCAGGCACCGAGGTGAGGCGCGCTGCACCGAACTGCACTCCCAAGTTCCCACCACGTAAGGTACCTAGCTCTATCTCTATTATTCCTAACCCCGCTATTCTTCTCATCATTTCTGTCCCATTACTTTCTCGGCGTATTCTAGACTAAAGATATTGGATATAAGAAGTAATGATAGAAAAAATAGGAGTAGGAATAGTAGAAATATCCGTAGGGCCAAGGTACTTCGTGCTGAGGAACAAACTATCGTGTCACCCGCTTGGCTCTGTATCGAGAACCACCTTACTGTTACGTACCGAAAGTAATCAGCGGCCACCTACCTTACCTAGGTGGAGAGCCCACTCGTGTACCCCTCAAGTACACCAGATTGTCCGACGCTGGGTCCAGCGTCCCTCAATCAACAAATCATCAGCCAGACCCTCCCTCTTTCAGTGCTCCCATCCCCCCCAACTTACCCACCTGAATTGTGCAGCACTCCAGCTTCCTCGCAGCGATACGTTAGGAGAACCTTTACGATACATACCACCTTACTCTCTCACCCATGCGCCAAACCCCCGGGACCACACCTCTCTCGTTGGCTGGTCCACTCCCGTTGCTGCCCGTTCACTTCACCTCCATCCAAGCCCGTCCGTCTCTGCTCGTGTCCTGCCCGCTTCACTAATTCAACGTGCCGGTCCAAATTAACCTGGCGGGCTTCGTTTGTCTTACCCCCCCGTTCTATCGAACACCCTTTGTTCTTCATCTTTCTCTACGAAACACTCGGTATCTTCTTGCCTTTTCCAAAACCCTTCCTACCTCAACGTATACCTCCATATCGGAACAGCCGACACGCTCCATCCTAATCAATCGAATCCTCTGCGAATCTTCTATCGAACTGGAAGCAGCTACCATTCGGCATCGTCTCTTAACGCTTCTCCCGTGACGACATCATACCCTTCCACAATCGCACCAAGAGTCCCTCGCACCCACGTCCCATATATACACGATCTACGACCAACATACGTGTCTCCAAAGTCGTCATTTGACTCAATCTTGGTGTCGAGAATATTCGACCAAACACGCAACCTTCCAAAGCCATCGTCCTTGGGGCAGAGCCGCCTCTGTAGACCATCGTGCAAACCCAGCATACTATCACCACCGAATACTAGCTGCCGCAGTCGAATAACTCGACTGGACTCTGGAAGAAGAAAACTACTGCGATCCGAAAAGACGTCAAACTCGTGCCTGCTGCTGCTGCCGTTGACGACCTACCTGGTCTCACCGTGCGATGTGGCGGGGGAGGAGGACCTCGTGAACTGATATCGTAGGGATCGAGGTCGGAAGAGCCCATAACCTTCCTCGACCCGTCATTCGAACGCGCCTGGACTCGACAATAACCTCATGGGCGTGAGCAACATACCCGAAGGATTCCTTCTTCCAAAGGCTTTGTCGATACCCCCACTGACGCTCTAACTCGATCACCCTCTGATCTCAATACACTCGCTTGCCTTTGTCCTTCGCTCATACACTTTGCGAACCTACATCCCGAACGCCCTCTGATTCCGTTTGGTCCGAGCAATATACTGGGTTCCACACAACTGCGTTTGGGAATGGATCATCGGTTCCCCATCACCCGCGACGATCTCTTCAACATCCAGATGGATTTGAAGCAAATCCAACTGGTTCAGAGTAATCAGGGCGAAAGACTAATAAGACTCGAAAGGCGCCAGGAACAAGATGCGAGCGTCAAGTCCGTGTGGCAACAGCATCCTTTTCCTGGCGTCCTTGCCGGAACCCCTCAGCAAGGTAATTAGATTATCTACAGGTGTCGATGCGTTTTGCTAACGTTCCACTTCCCAGGGCCGACTCACGTCTCACCCAACGACATGTTTGATGATTTCGACGAGCAAGGTCAGCATTTGCTGAGCTCCCTTCACCTAGGACCTGCCGAGGAGGAGCCTACCCGTCGGGGTGCTGCCTCTCGAGCCAACAGCGTACGATTCGATGAGAGTGCCTTGCGGGGCGCAGCAGATTGGTCTAGTCAGAGCAATCGCCACTCTGGGGAATTTGGCCCTCCCCGACCGTCTAGCGGGTTGATGATGGAGCGATCATTGTCCCACAAGTCGGATGGACGTCATAGCTCTGCCGGCCACTCTGTTCACTCATTTCATTCTGTGGCATCAGGCAGAGCGAGCAGCTTGGGGCTGGACACCAACTTTATGGTCAGCAGCCATGAAGACGACTCTCCGATAGACATGCCGGAGCCTCCGCCAGGTCTCTTCTTCCTGGGTTCTGTACCGACCATCATCCGATGTTGGCTTACAACTAGCTTCGCCCACGATACAGTCTTGTACGCTGATCTTTGTACGGGCTCCCAGAAATCCGTCGTGGACTATTCTGTCCTCAAGGACCTCGATCTGTTGGATGAGATTCAACAAGACATGGATGGCACCTACAAAGTTCGACTTCCGGTATACCTCGTTGAAGCCACTGTTTCCGAACGCAGCAGCCGGTCATCGAGCCATGGGCATTCAATGCCCTGCCTCCTCGCAACTTTTGAAGTGTCTGGCATGGAGCAGTCTGAAGGCGCCGAGCCGAAAAGGGGCATTCAAATTTTCATTGGCAGCGACACCCTTAGAGCTCATCAGGCCGATATTCTCCTCTCCCAGAACCGCATGTGTCTCTACGGCAGCGAGCGCGAGAAGCTATCTGTTCCCTTTGTGCGCCCAGAGGACGAGGGCGCTTTCAAGCACATTAGCACAATCAATTTCATTCCTGAAAAGCCTCGCCTCAACGCCAACGCGGCGCCTTTTGTGTCTGGAGACCCACGACCTCAGGTCTCCACGACGCAAAGTGCATTGGAAAGCAGCCTGTCCAGCATGCAGCATGAAGATGCCGAGTCGCAGGGGCCCCTCTCGCCCATGGATAACCACTCTGTACCCAACAAGTCGATTGGAGCAAGCAACCTGTCTGAAAGTGGCGGGGAGAGTGAACGGCCTGGCAAGGATACCACCAGCGGGTCCGAATCAGGGGCAAAAGAGCACAATAGCACGGTCAGCGGAGAGGGCAGCCGGCGCGAGTCTGCGGGCGGCATCTGGGGTTCGTGGCGCCAGGGCACTTCCGCAAATGGGGCTGAGAACGGGCAACGGGACGCCAATGGCCCGCTAAGCGGATATCAGCCCGCCGGTCGTGGAAGCCGGAACATGAAGGTGTTGAAGCCCCTGAAATCGGGTTCATCATCGTCTGCCCGAACTGGAGCTGCCTACGAGCCGGCGCCAGCGCCCAGAACCAGCGGAGAACATCGACGAAAGAGCCAGGTCAGTGTAGCGGCAGAGGGCAACCCGCCCACAAACGTCCGCTGGGAACCCAAGAGGTCAGTCAGCAGCACCACGGTCAACAGCACAACGGAGGTGAAGGCCTCGCGCGAGGCGAAGAATGCGGGTCCAGCTTTGCCGCGGTCGGCGAACCCCATCGGTGGTGCCTCGGCTTTCTCCTGGATGAACCCAGCTGGCAAGGCAAAGCCTACGGCGACGGCGGAGTGATTGGAGGGGAGAGAACGCAAAGCCCCGGTGGCACTGGACGCGAAGATGGCCGAACATGGCTAGCGCAGTAATCTTCTTTTTCTTTGCTTTAACAAGACGACTCCCTCCAACATGAAGAGGTGAGGTGGCAGGCCTCCAAACAACGCGAGCAAGGCCGACTAGTAGGTAGCCATGTAGTGTCCCATACTAGATGGGTTTTACAGCACTGTGGCTTTAAGAGTCCGCCCAGCGGAAACCAAATAACAAAAATCCAAGAGTTCACAGAGTGTCCAATGTTTCTTTAAGGAACCTGCTACGCCAAACCTGGATCGGCAACTAGGACGCCCACAGCGTTAGCTGCATTGAGGATCTTCTTTGGTCCACCTCTGTGGGCCAAAAGCCTAGAAAGTGATATATTAGAGGTGACGCCGACTCTGCAGTTCTCCAACCTGCAGCTATCCAACCAGCCAGAAGATGATTGCTATTCCTGTAATGCAGGTACCTTGCGTTGAGTTGTTGGTTGCGGTCCGTCATGGGCAGGCCGCTGCGAGGTCATGTACATTGCTTGATTCTTCAATGCAAGTCTGCAGTGTCCTAAGGAGGCCCGGTCCGGCACTAAAATTACCCCACTTGGATGCGCCGGTTCCCCGCACTGCTCCAAGGCCGAGTGTGATGTGCCGAGTCTCTAAGCTCCGAGTCACGGAATGACTGAGACCTGGGTGAGTTTTTTCTCTTTTGATCCTCTTGATTCTCTTGATGATCTGATTCTTGTGTTCTTCCCCCCCGGGACATGTCGATTGCGAGAACTCTTCAGATACACCTGTCCTCTGCTCGACTATTCCAACCTCGACCGGCCCGGCTTCTACTCCGACCCCGCTTCCTCACGACCGCGAGCATGTCCGACCCCGCGAACCGTCGCCTGCAAAGGCCGGTCATTTTGTGCGTTTTGGATGGCCCTTTTCACCTGCCCCTAGACTCTTTCAAGACTCTGCTACGATACGATGGCCTGCTAACAAATGTGATGCCGGTGTACAGCGTCTGCGACCTCCAAGACAAGTTCCGCAACGCAATCTTCGAATTCGACAAGGTCGTAAAAACAACCTCCAAACTCCTCCGCGCCGCCGAAACCCTCAAGATCCCAGTCTTCACCACGACACAGAACCGCGCCCGCCTAGGCGACACCGTCACGGAACTCGCGCCCTTCCTCCGAGAATCAGACCTCGTTCGCCCGCCCGTGGATAAGACCAAGTTCAGCATGTGGGTTCCCGAGATTGCTGCGCAGTTTGAGGGGAAAGGCAGGCACGAGGTGCTGATTGTGGGGATCGAGTCGCATATCTGCGTGACGCAGACGGCGCTGGACTTGTTGGCCGAGGGTCACAAAGTGTATGTGTTGGCGGATGGGGTGAGTAGTTGTAATCGGGAGGAGGTGCCGATTGCGTTGGCGCGGTTGAGGGGGGAGGGGGTCGTTGTTACGACGAGCGAGAGTGTGATTTATGAGATGATGGGGGATGCGGCGCGGCCCGAGTTTAAGAGGATTGTTGGGTTGGTGAAGGAGACTGGAGGGGAAACGAGGGAGGTTTTGCAGGCTTTGGCGCCCAAGATTTAGAATTTCCGGGTAGGGATTTGGACTGGGTTGGCAAAGACTGGGTGGTTGGTTATAGATATATACATCTACGAAAGATTTCAGAGTCTTGTGGGGTTGATTCTAAGAAACAGGCTTTTCTATCTGCATGTCCCAGATTCATCGAGCCGGATTCGAGATTTGGGCTTCCCTCTCACTCAACATCAACAACCTCAACCTTGGCCCCTTGCAACCACGTCAAATCATCCTCAACAGTCACCCTCCTCACCCTCGCAAGCTCATCAATAAACGCAGGTACAAACGTCCCCGGCCCTTGCACATCCGCCCTCACAGCGGCCCACTCCGCCGCAATCTCAAAATGCAACAGCCCCGCAAGCACAGCAAGCAACTTATCCTCATCCGCCCACGCCGCCAACATGGCCGAGACAGTCGTGCCCAGAACACACCCCGTACCCGTTATCTGGCCCAGCAGCTCGTGTCCGTTGTCCACTGCCAGTGTGCGGTTGCCGTCCGAGAGGTAATCTGTCTTGCCCGTCATGAGCACTACGTTCCTCTCCCTCCTCGCGAGATCCCGTACAAGCTTGGCTTTTTGCGCGGCGGTAAGGGTAGATGAAGAATCAACCCCCTTTTGCTGTTTCGTCGCCCCCTCACCCCACACCGTCGCGATCTCCCCCTCGTTCCCCTTGATGAGATCCAGATACCCGCCCGCGAGAATCGTCTTGACGGCGTTCCGTCGAATCGACGTGGCGCCCGCGCCGACGGGGTCAAAGACCACAGGCCTGCGCGCGGCGTTATAGGCCGCTAGCGCCTTGAGGTAGTTTGCGATACCGTCGGGCGTGACGGTGCCCATGTTGATGACGAGACTTCCGCCCAGGCGCGCGAGGTCGGGCGCTTCTTCGCCGTAGTTTGCCATGATGGGGGAGGCGCCGACGGCGAGGGCGACGTTTGCGGCAAAGTTTTGGACGACTAGGTTTGTCATGTTGTGGGAGAGTGGGGAGGTTGTTGCTATGCGGGTGATTACGGAGGGGATTCGGGCGAGGAGCTGGGCGACGTCGGCGGAGGCACCGGAGGCGGAGGATGAAAGAGAGGTGATGCTTCGGTAGGACGAGCTTGTCTTCACGAGTTCGAGGAGGCTGCGCGACGCGGATTCCGGGTCTTGAGCGGCGACGATGGCGCTGACGAGGGCGACGCCGTCGAGGGCTGCGGGAGAGTGCGAGTCTGGGGTGGCGGACTGGTAGAGGACGCGCTGGATGTTGGAGGGGTTGAGGCCGCCGATGCAGACTGTCTTTACGCGGGGGAGGTGGCCTGCCGCGGCGAGTTTGGTGAGGATTATGCGGAGGCCTGCGGTGCCAATGATGTGTTTTGTGTTTTCTTTGCTGGAGGGGTGCGTTAGTAGATAAAGAAAAAGGAGTACGAAGTGAGTGGTTAGACGAGGCATATCATATTGGCTTGATAGAAATGGGAACCTGAGAGGGGCATGTGGTGAAAGGGACGTACGTTGATGTGGCAAAGACGGTGCCGATGCCTAGGTAATCTGCTCCATCTTCGCAGGCTTTGAGGGCTTCCTCGATAGTGCTAGCCGTGACGCCGATGATGGCGTCCGGGCCGAGAATCTTTCTTGCGGCAGTGAGTTCTGGTTGGATGTCAGTCATGTCCTTTCTTGAAATATACTGCCATCTTAGCAATAACGTATACAGAATAAAACGGAATGAGTCACTACAAGAAAAGAAAGCAAAATTCCAAAGTAACGAATCTCAAAAGTCGAAAGAAAAGATGGCATTCATAACTCACCCATATCATCCTGCCCGATATGCACGCCCTCACACCCAACAGCAAGCGCAACATCGACCCGATCGTTAATGAGTAGCGGCACGCCCGCGGCGCGGCAGACGGCGTGCAGCTTCCTGGCGTTGGCGACGAGCTCGCCCGTGTCGCTCGTCTTGTCGCGGTACTGCACGATGGTGACGCCGCCCCGGACGGCGGCCGCGACGACGGAAGACAGGTCGCGGTCGCCGAGGATGGCGGGGGTGGAGTCTGTGACGAGGTAGAGGGAGTAGTCTACTGTTGGTTTCGGCATCGTGGCTGGTGTTGATGGGGGGGGGGCTAAGTATGTGTGAGGCGAATCGAGAAGGGTGTATTCCCTGAAGAGAGAGAGAGAGGAGAGCCAGAGGTCGAATTATTGCCGGGTGAGGGAATATTGGACCGGAGGTGGGATGACTGGCGTTTGTTGGATCGGCGCCGGTTTTTTCAACGTGGAAGTGCGGATACTTGCGGCCGAGGACGGAACGGCCGCTTCTCCGATGGCGCCGATGGCTGCGGGACGCGGGTTGTGGTGGGGTTTGTCGGTGATGACATCAACTATTTGGCTCATTGCATAAGAATCGGCACTCACGATGTGGTCCATATCCCTATCAGTGTCACAATACATTCGTGGCACCTATCGATTTATTGATGCACTCGCCAACATCGACAAATCGAGAGATCTGTTAGAACGCATCGAGAAGACACAATCGTGATTACTGATCGATACTATCCTTTACGAACCTCTTCGTCATGTCAGTGTTTGCACAAGTGTTTGAGAGATTTCAGATCAGAATTTGCCATGCGTCCTAAGTTTATTACAACAAGAACAAAACCCGAGTAAACCAGCCAGACTCCTTATGAGAAACTCCAAAAAACATAATATCCTCATTTCTTAGCCTCCAAGTAGAGGATGATCCGTTCCCGTGTCTCCTTTTTAAGATCGGCAGTAGTGAGAGATGGTCCGTCGATACCAACCCGCACTCGTTGCCCCCCCCCTCCTCGGTATCCCTCTCTTCCTTGGTACCGTGCCAACAACCCCTCAAGAGGGTGCGAGGAGGAAGCTTTCTCTCCTTTCCATGTCATCATTCGTCACATTCGTATGCGTCAGTCCCTGTCGGTCCTCCGCCGGTGGTGGTGGTACACATCATCTCCCGTCTCCCATCTCCATCATCTGGCCCGTGGATATCAAGTAGCAGTCCAGTCCATGGCAGGAAACATACTCCCAACATCCCACGTCCCAGCATCCTCCCCCAACACGCCCGTCCAAAACGACGCATCCAGATCCCGAATCATGGCCTGCGTGCCGTCCGACAAGTTGGCAGGCAACTGAATCGGCTCTTGGATCGCCGGCTGCGACTTGAGCCCGCACAGCTCGCCTTTCACAATATCCTTGAAATACCGCAGCATCTCCGTCAACCTCAAAAACGGATCAACCACTTTCGGACCGGGCACGTCCGTCGCCGCCGCCGCCGCTGCCCCATCTTCCCCCCTCGCCGCCGCCGCATCCGCAGCCGCCCTCCTAAACTTCCCACTCCGATGTGCCACAAAAACCTCCAAGTGCGCCACCTGGCTCTCGACGACCCCGCCGAGGTCGAGGTGCTTCTGCACCAGAGGCAAATCCCACCCGGGCACCTGGTCGAGCGTCATGAGCTTTAGGCACACGATGAACACGTACAAAAAGTCCGAGGAGCTGAGGCAGGTGAAGCGCGGCTGTAAGCTGAGGTGGTTCCGCGGGAAGCGGATCTCGAGAAACGTCTTTGCGGCGCTGCAGCAGCCCCAGAGAAGCTCGAGGCGTTCCGTGAGGGAGATGAAGGACGCCGGGCCCCGGGCTTCGGGGATGCCGATTTCGTAGAGGAGGACTTGTGCTATGCTGATGTGGGCGAGGAGGCCGACTGCGTTTTTCGTCAGACATTCCATCTTAGGCACGCATGTCTTTCAATAGTTTCAGAGGGGGGATGGGGGGGTCTAACGTACCATTTTCCTTGAGGTGCACCGGCAGCGACGTCTTGAAAATATCAAGCTGCTGCTGAAAAGATTGAACAACCATAGTCAAGGGCAGTTGCAGCGACTGGAAGCTCGTGCTCTCCGTCCCGAGCGTGAGGGAGATTGTCTGCGCGAGCTGCTGGATCTTGAAGAGGTGGACCAGGAGCGCGTCGCTGGGGTACTCTGCCGCCTCCTCGATCTGTCGGCAGCAGGACTCGAGGTACGTTGTGTTCATGAAGGCGTCTGGCCGCTTGTTCGTCGTGAAGACGCTTTTCCTAGTGGTCAGCCCAGTCCATCTCTCCCGTTCCAAGTTCATGGAGTGACTTACAGCGTATTCAGATAATAACACCCAGCAAAAGCCCTCATCAGCTCCAACTGCGCCGAAATCTCCTCCTGCGTCTGTACCTTTCTCGCCTCACTCTCAGGCTTTTGAAAGCTGATACGGATGCCGCTCCCCTTGCCGCCGCGCTCGCCCAGCTGCATGGGACTATCCTTGAACCCCAAACTCACACACATCGACCTCGCCAAAAACAACAGATTCGTCAGCTGATAGCTGTTGATGTTGTAGTGATACCAGGCAATCAGGAGCTGCAACCCTTGCAACACATCCAGACTCTTCTTGGGCTTCATAAACGCAGCCTGCACGATATCCTGCAACAGCTCCTCCCCCAACAGAACCTGCTTCGTTGCATCCAAATGGCACGCCGTCATCATGATACCCTTCCACAGGAACGGCCTCTCCGCCGCCAGCTGCGTAGGGCCCATGTGCGGCGGCACAATCACAAAGGGGTACAGCTCCTGCATTTCGTCCATGAACAACTTGAGAACCGTACTCTGCTCGTTGTTGAGCGGCCAAGGCGACTCGTTCGCTGTCGTCGATCCCATCCCTACGCCGCCGTTGTTATCGGCCTGGCTGCTCCCAACAGTATGGTGATCATCCGCCGTAGACGCGCTCGGCGCAGGCGACGTATCAGACCACCCAGCTTCACCCCCAACGACGACCTCCTCCGGCGGGAACAGGTGATCGCAGTTGATCGGGATCTTGGCCGACGCCGGCGCAATGCTGCCGCTGGGCGGGAGGGGGGAGTTTGCGCTCCCGACGACGGTCCCGTTGGCGACGGTGGTCGCGACTTCTGCGGTGCTGCTGTTGCTGTTCCTGCCACCAACACCACCACCACCGCTGCCCTGCTGCTGCTGCGTCGTTGCACCCGCGCTCAACTGCGTAGTCAACTCATCCAGCCTCTTCTCCAGCTCAGAGACTTTGGTAGGCTTGGGTTCCTTCTTCGCCCTGGGCGGCGCAGGGATCTGCGAGCCGCACGGCTTGCGGAGCCTGTGGCATCTAGTTCATACAGTCAGAGTCTCTCGTTCTCGTAATGCGAATGGGGGTAAAAGAGAGCTCATTCTCGCCAATGGTGCGAATACGAGAGAAACAGCATACCGTTCGCACTTGTTACTTCCGTCCGGCCCCGAGATACACCTCGCCTTGGCCTTGGCGCAGGTCGTACAGGCTCGCGGGCCTTTATTTCTATGGTCAATGTCCATTCTGATCTGTCTTTCCTCAACTTGATCTCATAGAGGGCGAAAAGGTGTAGTGAGGAGAAATCAATCAGGCACCAGCTGAAGTAAACGTAGAGTAGGATATGAAACAAACACCCTTTTCTTTACAGGATTTTCAGAAATTCGCGTCGTAATCCTTCATTTGAGCTTGTCTGCCTTTCATGACATGACGGATCTCCTGAGTTGCGTGTAAGTCAAGGTGGGACACCCACCCCCAGTTGGCAGTGACGGGGACTTCGGACCCCCTCTCCCAACCAATGGCATAGGCCTTTTCGAACGGAGACGGAGCAACTCTGCGTGCCCGCCTCCGTCGGAGTTGCTGAGTCAGAAGACTGGACGGGCAAGCCACGCCTGAAAAGTCCGCTTCTGTGGTGGTGGCACTTCGAATCCGGTAGAAATGTATGGCCTCCCCGTGGCACACACCTCCTACTGCCTTACCTTACATAAAGCGTTGAGCCTACACCTCACACCGCGGCACCCCATCCCATCCCATCTCCTTCCCCCAGCTCTTAATCGGCGGGCACCGCGGAGACCCGTCCAAGGTAACCGTAGGCGGTGCCGGGTTTACATCGGGCTGCGCTTTCCTCGCCGACCGCGGCAAGACCGCATTCGCATAACTTTGCGATACCGAAAATGTCAGCCATGCATGAAGTATCCTGGGCCCGTTGAACTTCTTCAGATGGCCCTAGTGAGGTTGCAACACATGACAACGTATATCAACTTTATCGACATGCATCACAATGTCACGTATAGACCGGAAAACTTGGGAGTGATGAATAAATGTGTCAATAAATGACATTCATATTGTTAAATAGTTGGTTATTGCGACCAACACTGAGATCAGAATCCGTCATATAGACGAAGACATGGAAACTCAAATCGAAAGAGAACAGTTGGGGCCACGGGGCATGGGTTAAAATCACACAAAACACTTGTTGATCGCTCCAAAGAACGTGGTTTAGGTCCGATGAGCTCCCCTCTTTTCAGATATCAACGTAACATGGTTGGAGCTAGATTCAAAAAGAACCCAGACCAGTAGAACGTGAAAAAATCAAATGGCAGAGCTCACGGCCTGACCAGTCGTCGCCTTGGACTCACGCTCCAGCAGGGCTTCAACGAAGCCGTTGCTAATGTTTCCCGCGGCCTTGATCTCCTTCGCAGCCTGCTCGATGCCAAGCTGGTTGTCGGTCCACAGGGGCTCCTCGGGCGCGGCCTCAGCCTCCCCGACGCCAATGAAGCCGCCCTCGGCAGCCCACTCCGAGGTGCGCTTGATGCCGAGCTTGGTCCAGATCTCGTCGAGCGCCTGGACCAGCTGGTCGCGGTATTCCTTCTTGTGCCCGGGGGTGGGCGTGACGCGCAGTCTCTCCTGCCCGACGGGGACCGTGGGGTAGTTAATGGACTGCACGTAGATCTGGTAGTCCTGGAGCAACATGTCCGACGCCTGCTTAGCGAGCTCGGCATTGCCAACCAGGATGGGGATGATGTGGGAGGGGTTGGGGATGACGGGAATGTCGCGGTCGTTCAGAGCCTCCTTGACAGCGCGGGTGTGGAGCTGCTGAAGGCGACGGTCGCCGTCGTACTCCATCTGGTACTCAATGGCCGTCTTTGCGCCGGCCATGGTCGCGGGTGGGAGTGACGTGGTGAAGATGAATCCAGGGGCGAGGGAGCGGATCATGTCGACGAGCTTGGAGCTGCCCGCAATGTAGCCACCAACACATCCGTATGCCTTTCCGAGGGTACCAGTGATGATGTCGATGCGATCCATGATGCTGCCCTTGGGGCGGCCCTGCTGATGCGCTTCAAAGTCCAAGTGCTCTGCGACACCAGCGCCGTGCGGGCCGTACATGCCGACAGCATGAACCTCGTCGAGGAACGTGATGGCGCCGTACTTCTCAGCCAAGTCGCAAATCTCCTCAATGGGTCCAATCGATCCACACATGCTGTAAACGGACTCGAACGCAATCAGCTTGGGAACATGAAGCGGCAGCGACGCCAACTTGGCCTCGAGATCTGCAACATCGTTGTGCTTGAAGACAATCTTCTTGGTTCCAGAATGACGGATACCCTGAATCATGGACGCATGGTTCAGACTATCCGACAGAATGACACACTCGGGCATCTTGCTACCCAGAGTCGCCAAAGTAGCGTCGTTCGCCACATAGCATGAGCTGAAGACGAGAGCGGCCTCCTTGGCATGCAGTTTGGCAATCGTGCCCTCCAACTCGACCGCGTGCTTGTTGTGTCCAGAGATATTTCTCGTGCCACCAGCGCCGGCGCCGTACTCGTCCAGGGTTTCGTGCATCGACTTGAGGACGTTGGAATTGCGGCCCATTCCGAGGTAGTCGTTGGCGCACCAGACGGTCACCTTCTCCTCCTTTCCAGCCATATGAGCACGGGGGAATTCCTTGGCGAGACGGTTGATATTGTTGAAGTAGCGGTAGGACTTGTCCTTATGCTTCTTCTCCAGCTCGGCGTTGTAGTAGGCCTCGTAGTTGAACTTGGCCTTGGAGGCGTCCGAATTGCCCATGCCGACATTGGAGGCAGAGTTCTGTCGAGCAGCGGGGATACCAGGAGGGGCTTGGGCTACGTCAATGGTCAGCCGAGGAGATTCTTTCCTCTCTCACGATGGTCATTTCCATACCTTTGTTGAGCAAGGGAGCATCAACAGCCCGGGCATCCTTGCTTCGGCTGGTGTGGATGTTGGCGCGGCCAGGCTTGGAGTCGGTGCTCAAGGCGCGGATACCAGCAACAGAAGAGTTTCCCATCTTGGCCGGGCGTCCATGGCCGTACTGGGCAGACTGGACAGTCAAAGCCTTGCCCATGACGGGGCAGCGGTGGGCGAGGAGCTGCAACTTGGACATGGTTCCGCCACAAGGAGAGACGGCCGTCGTCTGGGGCGCCGCCTGGATGGCGTGGGGACGAGCCGAGGTGGACAGCGCGCGCAGTTTGGCGGGCGAGGCCGACTTCAGGAAGGGGCACATGGCCTTGGATTGACGAAGGGCAGCCTCCATGGTGTTATTTTTGAAGGCTGGCAGTTGTAAATCGTACAGTCGTTTTCGTGTTGTTGAGGTTTAGTTTGTTTCGGAGCAGAGCGGTGCCACTCTGGATTTGTTGTGTGCGGTTTGTAGATTTCGGTGTGGCGACTCAAAGTACGCGCGATGTGGATGTGAGTGAGGTCAGCGAGTTCGCCAGTGAAAAGTGATCAGCGCTGAGGGGCTGAACACAGGTCAATGGGCAGAAAGAAGCAGTTGACTCTTGTGATCGACAATTGGGACGGTATTCCTGCTGGTAAAGAGCAGAAATAGGAGAAGAAGGGGGGAAAGAGAGAGAGGTCTAGCAAGATGAGGAGAAAACGGGCAGGGGAAGCGAGAAAAACGAGCAGATTCCCGGACAAGTCCTTTATTTTAGTGTCTCCGGTGAAGAGTCGCCATGACACCAAATCCCCAAGGGCGCAGTGGAAGGCTTACGGTCTAGGTAGGTGGCAGGTACAGTGTACCTCGTGCCGACCGGCCGCCCCGCCATCTGGCTGAAGTTTGAACCCCAGCACCGCTGCACCACACCAACGGCATGCCGCACCAGCGACTCGGCACAGGGTGTGGTAGGTGCGGCCCTGCGCAGTTTGGGGCCTTTGGGCCTTTGGGACTCTTGTGAGTGGTGGACGGGATTCAGGCCTGGGCATGCCCGCCCCGAGATCCAATCCATTTTCCAGCTTGTCCTAGGTTCTAGGCGGTGGGTTGGTGGTGCTGCTGCAGGCGATTTCTCATCCTCAGCGTCCCTCGGGCCTAGGTGGCAGTGACGGTTGTCAACTTCGCCCGTACTCAGGTACATCGCACTCATGGGGCCGGGGTTGAAGTGTACGGCGTTGATGGTGGGACCCCTAAGACCGCAAAGTGGAGTCTCCGAATACCGAAAGTCGGCACTTGAACCAATCATTACTCGTCTATAGCCAATTTCTGATGACACCTGATTGGTAGACCAACTCGACACCGCTGCGCAAATGCGAAAGTGACCTGAGGTCAGATCCCTTTTGTCCCTTTTTATTTAATTCTCTTGGTAATACCACCCCAGTTTCGGTGTTTGCTGTTGTGGTTTTTTTTTTCCTCTCTCGCTCGAGTTCCGCGGAACTTATTTGCCTACCTAGTACGGATACTGACGAAAGGGCCAACGTCTTCTTTTTTCTTATGCCCACATGGCCTTTCTTCAGGACCCCTGCTCTTCTGGAAACACCGCTGTGGATCCTGCAAAATCAATCGTACGAACACTGCGCCGGTGTCTTCCGAGACCGAACATAACAGAAGCCGTTCCGTGTAGGTAATAGCTTCCGCTTCCGAAGAGCGGTATTTTTCCAAAGCCTATTCCCGCAATTACAATACTACTGTACTAGGGCACGAAACACAAAGAAAAGGCACCTGAGCTCGAAAGACACATGAAACCATCAAAGTCAAGTGTCTTGAGCGGCGAGGCAGACTTGGACCGGACTCAACTCCTATCCTCAATTGTTTCAGGCCTGCAGCTGTCGTTGCCTTAGTCACCTGTCACATCGCCAATGTCTCAACTGTACTCGGTTCCTCTCTGATATTGGTGCTGTCAGCGGAATATGGAGTATGGGTCCAGGAGGAGCCGTTAGGGTACGTGGTCATCATTCGCCGAGGTTACTCGCAGTCATTTCAGCTTGTTCCATCCGACATCATGAATACGAGGATACAGTCAGCCACAACTTCTAAGCAGTGAGACACGGAACTCTGCGGTCTCAACAAGTAGCCGGTCAACTATCACTGGTTGCATCTACCGCCTCGCCTGAATGCTGAGAAGTCTGATTACCCGGATGAGCCTTGAGCGAGATATCTAGGCGTACCAAACGGTATTCATTTGCATGCTATTTTTTTTTGGCATCAACTCAAATGACTCCTATGCCGCCCTTAGAAAGTCCTCCGCGAGAAATCAGAAAACCTCCAAGTGAACGCCTCCAAAAAGGGTATCATAAAGCCAGCCTTGCAATGTCGTCAAACGCCCATGCCTTCCAAGATGCCTGAAAATGCCCCCTTGCAGAAGAACAACACTAATACCTGTTGCAAACGCCTAACCTGCGCACTCACAAACCTTGCCCTGCCGGCGCCGATGACGAGGGCTCTAATGTCCGCCGTTGTTCCCCGAGTCTCCCTTCCTCCACCGCTCTGCTTGCCCATGTGGGAAGCCTAGGCGCACGCTGTCGCCTTATCCCCGCAACCTGCCCGAGCAAATCCAAATCGTCGTCGTTGTCGTCGTCTTCCTGGAAAGGATTCGCTCGGCGAACGTGTGGTAAAGGTTTGGTGGGTAAGTCGGAAACGATCTGCACATGCCGCTGATCAAGTCGTTAGCCGCAAAAGAGTTTGCTGAATAAGTGAGTACTGAAAGACGAGAAATGCAATCGCAGAGCAATGAAATGAGAAGCGGCGGGCTCATACTTTAGCCTCCTCAGCCGTGTCTTGACCCAGCTTGAGTCTTTCGCGGAACTGATGTTCCTGGAGCGCCTCCCACTCGTTCGAGAGGTTCTTGAGTCCTTCAGTCGATGCGTGCGCAAGCTCGGAGGGAGGAATATGCCCCGTAAGAACTGCAGCAGCGAATCTCGGATTACCCATCAAGCCGCACAGCTCCTTCAAATGCGAGTTATCAGGCAATTCTCCTTCCTTCATCTCTGATCTCACGAGCAATGTAGACCTTGCGATCCGGTCAGTCAGGACGACTTTGTCCTCCTTGATCGCATCAGCAACCGCCGAGTCCGTTATCGTATCGAGTGACTCGAGGATCTTGTCCCTGAACTGCTGCTCCCAATTGTATCCGGACCTCTTAGATTTCTTTACCGCAGGGGATGAGAGAGTTTTTTCCGCAGGCTGGGGAGAGCCTGGTGTCTGCTGAGCCCTGAAGAAGGTATTTGCACCAGCCATGGGCATAGGCATTGGGCCAGCTACTTGAGGCTGTGATGTTTGATTATGTTAGCGATGTTCACCAAAATCTGGACGTTAACTTTACCTCTACCGATATCTGCTCAGCAGGTTGCTCCCTAATCTGGGCATCAGGGCCGATAATCGCAGGCTGTGTTGACTGCGAGGGAGCGGTGGATTGTTGTGGTGCTGCAGCGTCCATCTGACTTCTCGGAGCACCAGGCACTGGCACAGGCACAGGCGTAATCTGTGGCGGCTTCATTGGATCTGTCAAGGTCTTCGGGATGCCTCCAGGTGGAGTAAATGCCTGGGATGTGTGGAAATTATGCATCTGAGAGAAGTTTGGAACAGGAATTGGTGTTTGACCGCTGCTCCTAACCACACCAAAGGTTCCTGTTTGTGGCATGAATGTTGTTGCACCCACCAAGGCTGGAGCGCCAAGTGTAGCGATTCGTGCCAGCTCCATTTCACGATACTTCTCTGGGTCGGTGTTGCGGATAGAATTCATGTATACCTGGTTCTTCACATCCTTCAAGTCCTCAGGCGTTAGAATTTCAGACGTATCTTCCTCTTCAAAGGTGTCCGTCATGACAATCGAGCGTATGCCCTGGGACATGACTGGGTGGGTCAAAAGGCGGTCGAGAACAGTATCCTTGCCGGCGAATGGACTGAGGTCATCCTGATCGGGCTCCCAGCGAGCTTTGGCGTACTCGTTGTCTTTCTTGGACCATCTTTTCGGGTTTTCGCTGTCCACAACCCGTGATGCCAGTTGGGTCTTGAATACAGATCTGTTGTGGAGCGCTTGTTCGTATGTCCCGCCAGAGATGAATTTGTAGACATATACCGGCTTTCGTTGGCCAATACGGTATGCTCGACCGACCGCTTGCTGCTCGTGAATGGGATTGTACTTGAAGTCGAAGATGACCACGCGGCTGGCGCCGTGAATGTTCAGGCCAACCCCACCAGCTGTCGTTGAAATCAAGTAGACTTGGTTTTCGCCACTGTTGAAGTTTTTGACTTGTTGCTGCCTCTTATGGATTGGGGTACTGCCATCCAGCCGAGAGTATCTTCTCCGCTGTTGTCTGAACAGATTATCCAGATAATCCAGGGTCGGGATTGATTGTGAAAAGACAAGTACTTTCTCCCTCATTTCCTTGCACTTGTCCAGAATGGCGACGAGAAGCTGCACTTTCCAAGACAAGGCAGGCGAAGGTACATCCTTCTCTCGCTGCAAGATTTTCAGGCCCTCGCTAATGATTGTGCTTGACAGAGTCAGGGTAGCCGGTTCCTTACTTAGCAATGCCGCACGCTCCTGCGTGAGTCTCTTCTGCCAGCAACGAGGGTGATTGACGATGAGGCCAAAGTTGATGTTGGCACCCAGAGTCTTGGCGCTTGCAACATTCGCGTCATTGTTGAGAGCTGCGGAGAAAGCGTCGTAGAGCTTGGCCTGGAGGGGTGTCACGGGAACAGTGAGTATGAATTCCATCTTTGGCGGAAGGTCGTTCTTGAGGCAGGACTTGATTGTTGCTCTGTTTGTCTTGGGCGCTACAGTAGCCTCCAAAACAGCAAGCTGTTTCTTTGCCTTTCGGTATTGACTTCCAGTGCTGTCCTCGTAAAGACCAGACTGTATCGGTTCGGCATAATAGTCCTTGAACTCTGTCAGTGGACCCAGATAATTGGGAGCGACCCAGTTGATCATGCAATAGAATTCTATCACATTGTTTGCCAAAGGAGAACCGGTCAGTGCGATTCGTCGTTGAGTCTTGAACTTGGCGGCTGCGATAGCTATCATCGACTCGGGGTTCTTCATTTTGTGAGCCTCATCCGCAACAACGAGGTTAGGGCTTTCTGTGAGGATTTGTGCAATCGACTTGGCCTCCAGGGGCTTGAACGTCTCGTCCTCTGGGGGAACGGCCAATTTCTTGAACATGTCGTAGCCAATAATCATCACGCCGCCGGTCCTGTCCCAGTCACGGATCATTGGGGCTCTCTCCAGTGCATTGACGACGGATTCCATTTTGTAGAAGTGACCAAGAACCCCATCGGGAGCCCACATCAACAGCTCATCCATCCAGTTGTCGACAAGTAAGGCCGGACAAAGTACCAGAGTCTTGGACTGCCTCAGGTCCTCTGGAATCTGTGACAGAATAGACTCGTCTCTCGATTGCGCAGCCTCGGCGACAGCAACAAGTAACGTGATGACCTGCATAGTCTTGCCGAGTCCCATTGTGTGAGCGAGGAGACATCCCTGCCGCACCTTGGCGTCGTAGACAATCTGGTTCCACAGGAAACGGACCCCTTCAATCTGGTGGTCCTTGATACGTTGACCAATGTCGCTATTAATGTAGATCAGGCCTTCGTCATCTCCCTTGGTTTCGTTGATAATAAGACGTGACTTGTCGCTCGAGATGGTGTCAGATGCTGCTAACTTCTTGCGCAATTCCTTCCGCCGCTGCTCCTGCTCTTCTTTTCGGCGTCGGTCGCTTTCGCGGAGATCTATGGCGGTCTGATCCATGGCTACCAAAGTCTTCCGTTTCTTAGACGGAGAGTCTTCAATATCGTCGTCGGTGAAATTTCCCAAAGACTCTTCACTATCAAGGCTTCCACGGCGGCCGGAGCTGCTTATTTGGGTACCCTCAGGGAAGTTGGGCATTATAGCAGTTTTGACGAAATCACAGAAATCTTCAAACTGATCTACCTTCCCCTTTATCTTCCTGGCCTTGACTTTGTTGCTGAGCCTTCTGGTGATGGTATTCGCTGCTGCCGGCTTACAGAGTGCAAAGACTCTGAACAAGCGGGCAATGACGGTGCCAAGCTCGACTGCGCTCTCTTGGCTGTGACTCTCCGGCAACTCTTCTAGTGCTGTGATCACAAGATCCGTCCAGATATCAGCGGGAGCCATGCTTTGGATAATGCGAAAGAAGGCCACTCTCCATCGCGAGGTTAGCCGCGAGATGACACAAATCAAAAGTCGCCTGCTGTCTCCTTGCTTTCTCCATATAGTCGGTGCCATGTCCCCAATCTTTCCACATTGGTCATATGGAGTGTCTAACTGTTCCTGAGTAGGCGGTGGCTGCTCGTCAATTTCGCTTTCGGGAGCTGGCGTTGTGGCTGCCGTAGTCCTTGGATTCTCAGGTGTGACTAGAGAGATGAAATTCCTCTTAGGAGGCGCAAGCTCATTCTCAGGCTCGGAGTCAAACATTGTTAAGTCGATGATGCCATCGTCGGATTTCATGTTGACGAGAGCGTCGGCTGGCGACTCGCCCTTAAGCAATCGCGGAGATTGGGGTTCCTTGATTGAGACCTCTTCAGGGTCATCCAGATTCATTGGACTTCCTGGATGAGAGGCGCTCGCCACAGGCGAGATGGCGTTACTCATATCGTCAACCACCAAACCGTCGTCGTCAACCACAAAGTTGTCGTCATCGTCTACCACGAAGTCATTGTCGTCATCGTCGCCGCTGGTGATAAGATCGCCATCTTCGTCAGAGAGATCGGGCCGCGGGGCTGCAATTGGCCGTTGCTTGGGCATCGTCAGTGGTTGGATAGGTTCGGGTCCTCGCAAGGTATCGAGAAGCCACTTTTCAGCTCGCCGATCCTCGATACTGGACTCGAGGCATCGTGCTTGTCTGCGCAGCTGGTCTTCAGCCGGCCATTCATTCAGTTTGATCTCTCGACAGAGCTTCTCTATGCGGTTATTGAGAGCCTCAAGTCGAGATGTAGCGTTCGCTATTTGTCGGACGAGACCAGTACGCCGGGCCTTGTTCCAGATGGTGTTGGCCTTCCACTCTTTTTTGAGCAGCTTTCTCTCGTCCCAAGAGGCCTCAATCCGCTGTATTTCCTCCTCTAGCACACGTTGGACATCATGCGAAGTCAGGTGATGAGACTTAAGTTTCATCTCTTGCCTTTTCTCCTCTTCCTCTTCCTCAATCGCGTCTCTTGTCTCTGTGTCGTAACCTTCGCCGTCATCGGAGTCTCCGAATACCGGAAGGAGCTCATCTTCCTCTTCAGGCTCCACAAAAGGAGATACTCCATTGCGCAATAACGTCAGAGACTTATCATTCGTGCGCAGGAGTCGTCGCAATGCTCGGTGGACTTGGCGACTGTGTCCAGCGGCTACCAAACCCTGAGCAACGAAGTAAAATGTATTGCTACCCTCATCTGCGGAGCTTCCACCAGGTACAAGACTTGATTGAGGGACTTGACGGCCGATAATGAGCGCATCAGGTCCAAAGTACGCCCCCAGAGGATCGTATCTTGAGACAAGCTCTTGGTCCACTCGCCGAGTATTCCCATGGGATCTGCTGGAAGCCGCATGCGATGAAGAAGGTCGTATGCTAGTTGAGGCGAGCTCCCGAGAGAAAGCATCATCGTTTATTTTCGGGACCGCCGGTGGTATCTTCTCGCGGCTTCTGCTAGGGGTCGCATTCGATAAAGGTGGCTGAGTACTCGCTGTCGCAGCTACCCGAGTGACGACGTCGTCAGCTGCTGTACTGGCAGGTATGTTGCCAATTCCGGTCACAGTCGCGGTGATCAAAGTTGGCGCCATCTTCCTCTTCTTCTGAGGTGGTTCGCTCGTCTGCTGCTCTTTATCTTCAACGACGGATGCCAATGTATCTTGATCCGCGGTGCCACGCATCGTGACGTCTTCCGTTTTGGTAATCGTCGCGGGGTCCTCCGCAGTACTAGAATCCAGGGCTGCGCGTTCCGGTTCGCCGTTGACATGCAGCTCCAGCGAGCTTTCTTGGGTGTCTGCCTCCTCTTTGACCATTTCGACCTTCTGATGGCGATACCCGCGGCTTTTAGACTTGAGATAGTTGATGGCTTTGACAATCGTCATTTTGTGAACGATCTTGACGATTCCTAAATCCCTGAGCAGACCGTCAAGAAGCGGCATGACATCTTCGTAGGTGAGAAGCGTCTCGCCGTCAATGTCATGCTCACGTAGTGCTTTTGCGAGGACCGCCGAGTTTGGTCTCTTGTTCGCAAGTCTCGGATGCCATGGCCGACTTTCAGCAATGCATAGCTCATGCACCAGCTGTTCGACGTCCCAGTTGAAGGGATCATCCTCATTACCCTCCATGGTAGCTGCCGCTTAGAACATGAGAATAGCTAGAGAACGAAGAGATGATTAGCAATGGACAGAAGAAGATTAGTAATTGAGAACACAGAGTCCTCAGGCATGGGTAATGAGACCAAGTCTGGCGAGTGAATGAGCTTGAACCGGTTTGTGTATGAAGGCAAATTGTGAGAGAAAGGGGCGGGAAGCTGAAGAGTAGCTGCAGTAATTTGAAGTGACCAAGAAAGTAATGGACCACCGATAAAAAATGATGTATGCAAAATACCAGGGTCGTATTTGGTGAGAGGACCAAATAGCGATAATCGCGAAGCCAGACTTACGACGGAATTTGAGGCGGGCAAAAAAGCGCATGAGTGGTGCTGGATTCTTTGGCCGGATGGATCCAGTGCAATGGGAGAGGCAGAAAGCTGTGCAGACTACCTGCTACGAAAATTCGAGTTGTATCTCTGAAGCCTGGACGGTTCGAGGAGTCTCGACAAAAACGAGAATGTATTTGGTTCAGAGAATAAGCAGTCGACAATCGTGAAGAAAACCAGCCGTTGAGAATGGGCTTTCCAGTCGTATGGCGAAAACGAGAAAGATCGTGTAGAAAGTAAGTAGGGAGAAGACGAACCGAGTAAGCCTTGAGTCGGGCCGAGTGCAAGACGTCTGGAAATGGGTGGTTGTGATGGGAGAAATGTACCGAAATTGAGGATGCTGTAGGCATTGCCGCCGGGTTTCCTATGTCGAATTCACGACGCGCTGGTCTGGAGATGTCGCGGAAGTCGCAATGGACCTGCTTAAGCCCCACCTTCCCTGCTCAGTCAAGCAGGCCTGCAGGGTACCTCGCCTTAAACGCTTTGGATAAAGGCAATGTATCTTTAGGTATCTGTTAAGGGCGAATCCAAATAAGGTTAGGGGACCTGCAGTCAGCACGTGACCATGATTTCGGGTTTAAGATAAGGCAGCAGTTATCGGAGTGAGATGGAGGGGTAAATGGAAGGCGCAAAACAGACCTGCCAGCTACCGACCCCGCCATCTTCTCGTTCGTAATTCGTAAGATGTCTTGCCTTGAGAGAACTCATGGAGAAGAAGTTTCTGGATTAGTAGAGTCAGATCCGATCACCAATATTTGGATTTCACGGTCACATAGTTGAACAGACCCTTGAATCCTCATAGAGCCTGGAGTCCCCCTTCTTTGCTTGAAAGTCCTCCCCACTTAGACTGATCACGTCTTGTGTGCATCGTACCTACCAGCTGAAGCTACAGTGAGGGTACCAGCCATTTGAAATCCAGACCAGAAGTTCATGGTGGGGCAGCCGATTTCTCGTCGCTCCCCCGCCAGACATCCCTTATTGATATTAACACTCGCTTCCCATCCGGTAATATCTCACTCTCACAAGTTCTCAGCACACTCGACAGTTGGTTCGAGTCACTTGCTGTTTCAAATCGAGGACAAATCTGTCGTCTATTTCCAACAAAGGGTCTTTCCAAAACAGTTTGTTACTGTTTCTGGCCCCATCCACTTAGCGCTGTCCAACAATTATTAATCACCAAGGCGTACAACAACACCGAACCATCCCTTTGGACTGTAGCAAACTGCTGTGATTGCTGCCGAAGCTCTAGACTCGGTCTCTTTCAGAAAACTTCATGAGCAGTATGACAACTCCGACGCTGACGAGGGAGCAGTACCCTCCCCGGCTTTCCCAGTCGGAGCAAGACGCTCTCGTACAGACCGTCAAGGACTGGGCCATCGCCAATGGCTTGTCGGTCCGGCCGCCTCCTGCGGTCGTGACGCCGGAATCGGATCCCAAAGGCATCCTTGCGGTCAACGTGCCCGTTACGCTATTCCCGAGCCCTTTCCCCAAGGGATGCTTTGAGCAGGCGAGATCCGTGCAAAAGACGTATAATGAGCTATATGCCGCCATCAGCAGGGACGAGGAGTTTTTGAGTGCCATGGTGGATGAGTATGTTTCTACTCCCTCTTGACACTTGGTCACGCACCAAGTATAGCATGCAAAACTATAGAGATTGCATCTGACAACGTATAGGGTCAAGGGAGGTGACGACTTCATCGGCAAGCTGTGGGATACCCATATGCGAGTAAAGAAGGAGGGGTATGCTCAAGTATGTAATTTACCCATGCGTTAGGTACTGAGACTAATCATGCGCAGAGCCTCTCCTTGGGATTGTTCAGATCAGACTATCTTGTCCACCAGGATACCTCTTCAGGTGAACCTAAACGCCAAGTCAAACAGGTCGAGTTCAACACGATAGCTTCATCCTTTGGCGGCCTTTCATCTCGGACCTCACTCCTCCATAAGTAATCTTACACGTCTCGTAAGGAGATAAGCTCAGGAGACTGACGCCACCCACAGTTTCCTTTCCGTGGCAGAGTACCCTCTCCTGGATCGTCCCATCGAGTCCGGGTCCCTCGACCTGCCCGAGAACAAGAGCGTCCAAGGCCTCTCCGGCGGCATCCGCGCCGCCTACGACGCCTACGGCCCATCGGAGCTCGGCCACAAGAAATGCGTCATCTTCGTCGTCCAGGGCGGCGAGAGGAACATCTTTGACCAGCGCCACGTCGAGTACGCCCTCGTCAACGCCGCCGATCCCGTCACCGTCTTCCGCGTCCCGTTCTCCGAGCTCCTGCAGCACACCACTGTCGCCGACACCCCGAAGCGCCAGCTGCTCTACAAGCTGCCCCGGGACCCGACCAAGGTATTCGAGGTCGCCGTCGCGTACCTGCGCTGCTGGTACGACCCGTCCGACTACCCGGACGAGAGCATCTGGGAGGCCCGCTACCACCTCGAGAGGTCGTCTGCCATCAAGTGCCCCACAGTCCTGACCCAGCTGGCCGGCAGCAAGAAGATCCAGCAGGTCCTGGCTACGCCGAGACCAGGAACCTCGCCCTCGGTCCTCGGCCGCTTCATCCCCGACGACGCGCCCACCACGGCTGCGGTGTTTGAGACATTCACCAACATCTTCCCAATGGACGCCTCCGAGGCCGGGCTCAAGGCGCGCAAGATCGCGCAGGACCCGGAGCTGTGCAAGAGCTACGTCCTCAAGCCGCAGAGGGAGGGCGGCGGCAACAACCACTACCGCGAGGATATCCCCGAGTTCCTGAAGAAGACGCCCGAGACGCACTGGGGCTCGTACATCCTGATGGAGCTGATCACGCCGCCCAAGCAGGATAACGTCATCCTCCGCAACGGCAACCTCGAAGAAGGCGGCGTCATCTGCGAGCTTGGTATCTACGGCACTACGGTGTGGGATCAGGGCACCGGCAAGGTGGTTCACAACGAGGAGGCGGGCTATCTGCTCCGTACCAAGGGCGATACTAGCAATGAGGGCGGTGTCGCTGCGGGCTTTGGATGTATGGACAGCTGTACGCTCGTCTGAGAAGAGCACATGTGGCGATTGAGAGTTTTATAGAGCCGTTGAAGTTCCCACGCATGACACGCATAACCTGAGTGACCGTTCAAATCAAAAGAAGCTGAGCAGCAAGAGCAGACGTGACGCAGAACCGCGAACGAGGGCGCAAGTGAGAGGAGCAACCTATGGTATCAATTATCGTCCTAAAAAAAAGAGTTTTGGTACAGCACGCCTCAACCAGCCCATTTATCAGGTCATTGTACACAAAAAGAAAAACATGAAAATCTCGATAAGAGTGGAGAGAGAGAGAGAGAGAGAGAGAGAGAGAGAGAGAGAGAGAGAGAGCGCAGGCCAGTTCCGGTCAACACAATCGTCTTTCGTTCGTTTCGTATATGGTACTCGGTTGATCGTATTGTATAGGCACTGAAAAGCCGAAAGTCTTTTTACTCGCTGGCCTCGCCGCCGTTCTGAGGACGTTTAAGGACGTCAATGGAGCCTGTGGGGTTTCCCATGTCAGGACAAAATCCAATCTCCTACTCGAAGACAAAACTGCGGTGGGATGGTATATTGGGTAAGATGACGAAGAATACGTACGTTGGACAACGCTCAGGGAGCTGCGGTTCTTGCCCTCGGCATCTTGGTAGGCGCGCATGGAAGCATCGCCCTCGATGTAGACCAGAGTTCTATTCCACGTAAGAACAACACGTTAGCAAAACTCTTTGCTACAAGCTTTCATCCTCTCCCTCTCGCCCTCCAAGCTCATCATTGTGGAGTGTATGTGTGCATTGCGTACCCCTTGGGCAAGCTCTGAAGGAAATCCCGACGGGGACCCTCGGGCTCGAAGCTCGTGACGCGGAACCAGCTGGTCTGGCGGTTATCTTTGGGCCCGCTGTTGCTCGCGACGGCGTATCTGACAATCTCGCGGCCGGTGCTGGTTGGGACGACCTCGGGGGCGTCGGCGAGGTTGCCGACGATGGTGATGCGGGCGAGGTTGTTGGGCCGGGTGGTGGTGAATGCGCGGGCGGCGGCGGTCATGCGCGGGGCGACGGCGGCGCGGCGGAAGAGGGCGGAGGCGGACATTTTTTTTTTGTTGGTTGTGGGTTGTGTGTTTCTGAATGAGCGTCGAGAAGGTGAGGCGGAGGAGGAAGAAAGAGGTGGTGTTGATGTGTTGAAATTGACGAGATAGGTATTCGTTTGGGGGGGGGGAAGCTGAAGTGCCGGTGTGGGAGCTGTCGATTTCGTTCGCGGTGGGCGCGTTCCATCGACGCGCCAGGGGGGGTACAACGCATACGGCAGCTTGCTGCGCTGTAAAGTGGCTCGTGCGTAAGGCCGTCCCTTGAGTTTTCGAATTGACCCCTGAAATTGGACTTCCTCCCAGTCACCCAGTGTACCTTATATATTCCTATACCGAGGTCAGATCACCGGGTTTAGTCGCTTAGCGGAAGCTACCAATGGTGGGGGATCCGTTGTGTTGTTCGTCTTTCACATCATCTGGCCGATTTCATCATTCTTCAAGACGTCCAAGTTTTCTACCTTACGATAATTGACCCTATAGAAAGTCGTGTTATTTTTCCTTGAAGTAGTTCTTGTCTCTAGCCGAAGACCTTGATTGCTTAAGCCAACTTAGCTGAATGAGGGCTCTGCTCTCCATGATCTAGAACGGGAACATCGTGCTCAGGTACCTGATCTCATAAAGTGGCCGGTCACTCGTGCGTGATCTATGTCAGAACAGTGACGATGAAGTGAAAGGTCATACACAAGAAATAAATGAAAAAAAGGGGGGAGAGTTCACCACCGGTGTGGCTACATCTCTCGGTGCTCGTGCTGGGATTCGAAATCGGAGCCTGTCGTCGAGTAGGCTATTTGGGCGGAGATGCTAATTATTGACCATAAACTACTCCACCACCCAGCCAGTTTGACCCGACCCGTCGACCTAGACGGGCGCCTGCTGGCTGGTGACTGGAACGGAGTTGAGGGGGGATATATAGGGCTTGCCTTCCTATGTATATCCAGGTCGGCAGGAAACTTATCAGACGGTGGGTTGGGTAGGTGCCTCAGGTAGGTCCGCCTTTGGGTACCACGTGTCGTAAACCTGAGCTGGTCAGGTAACGGACACAATTCAGCCAAGCGGTTCCCTTGAGCCCACGCAAGAGCTCTTTAGTCGCGGCCATGGGCAAGGATAAGGATAGGCTGACGCAGGTTGAAGGGTGTCATTGCGAGGTCGTCGCATTGAAGAGAGGAACGGAGATCTGTATAACGAAGAAGATAAATTTTTGAAGCACGTCAGGTATCTAATCATATTACTGGGGTCTCCCGAGCCTGGCTGCTCCTACTCCATCATCCCACGTACAGACGGCTTCCCCTAATTTCAGGATCGCTCCCATTTCGCACATTCTGGCATAAAAAGCATATAGGTCACCGAAAAAGTGAAACTGGAAACAACGCGTAAGAAATCATTTGCTTCACATTTCGTGACTGTCCCAACCAAGGGATCCTAAAACTCCGCGCCATGCCTTGGTATAAGGTAATAGTAGTAGTAGGGGGTGGGGATTGGGAAAACAGTAAAATAACCCCGGGTAGTAGTAAATGGATATCGAGTGCCTCGTTAAGAAGAGAGGCTACAGTCGTATAAGCTCATGTCGGTTCGTCCCACAGGCCGCGGCCGATCCGTGATTAGAAAGAGTGTACGATGAAATACGAAGTCGAAGGGAAGAATATAGTGTGGCAGAGGACAGACAGAAGAGTCGCCTTGCTAGATTATGATGCCATTTCGGCGGTTGCCGGCTCCATTGGCAGGCTTCCAGATCTAGAGCCGCCAGGTGTGCTAGGAGCAGGCGCGATTTCTGGATCTGGAATTTGTATGTCAAGCTTTTCCCCGAGTTAGTACGGAATTGCCCAAGGATCTGGTGAGTTGAACTTACTGTCATGTACCCCGTCTTTCTCAGTGAGATGATTCGTGGGGCCATTGAGCTGTCTTCGTTGCCGATAGTCTTTTCCATCTCATTGTTCCACTGGTCAATCCAGCGTTCCAGGCGCTTCAGCCGAGCTTTGACACCAGTAAACCCCAAATCATCCCACAACCAGCCCGTGACGAGTCCTAGCATGCTATCGACCACGTTTCTCCAGTTGTATGGGCTGAATATCGGAATGAGTTCGCCGTTGAGCTTGTCGATAATCCTCCGAAACTCTTGTTCTGACAAGCCGGCCGGGTCCAAAATCTCAGGGTACAAGTTGGAGAACGTCGGAGCCAAGTCTCCCTCAATCAACCAGTCTCGGCGTATGCGAATGATTCGAGTGTTGTGGTACTCTGGCGAGTCGAGAGGAACGTGAGGGTTCATGTGTGGGAAACAGGGGTGTTGTGGTCCCCATTCTTCGCCCAGGTCTGGCGGCAGTTCCTCTCCCATAATCGACGAGTTGGAAGATGAAATAGCCGACCCAATACCCATGCCATCGCCGGCCGACACATTCGAGTTGCGTGGCAGCACATCTGGCCCGCGCTCCAAGTCCTTCGAAGCCCCCCGCCCCTGATTCTCAGCGCCTTGGTCCATGATTGCCTTTCCTTTCCCTTTGTCGTTGAGCGTGATGGCAAAATCTCGTACAACTGGGTCAGAAATGCTTTGCCCACGTCTCCTCAAGCCAGTCACTCGAGTCTCGACAGGAGGTTCTGCGGGTGCTTCTTCTTCCTCGTTGGCGGGATGTGCGTCAGGATCCAAGAATGTTGGCGAAGGATCAGCGGACCTTCGTCCGTCGTATGAATGGCGCACTGATGGTGGTAGGCTGATGCGATGCTCAGCACCACTCCCGCTGCGATCGATTTGGAGGCTGTTTCGATTCGACGTCGGATGTCGCGTCTGGCGCTGCTCCGGAAGAGTCAGCAGCGGATAGTCACCTGCGCCAATCCCGAGAGGATCGGCAGGGTCGACGGATAACGGATCGAGAGTCGGATGCGAAAGAGGGACGGCGGGAGGAGGCGGTGTCGAAGGGCGTCGTTTGCGGACAGGCTTATCGGGAAGGCGTGGTGTAGAGTTGGTTGGATTCCAGAGACGAGCAGCGGAAAGGTGAGGAAGTCGACGGGCCGCAGAAGATGCGGCACGATTGCGAAAGGGAGACTGCAGGAAGTACTCTTTGGGGTCGTATTGGTGTAGCAGGGATGGAGTGCGAGCTTGGGGTAGGGCGGCGGCGTGGGCGGCTACTGGAGTTTGCAAGACTGGCGAAGCGCCGGGGTATGTGGGCTGCTGCGAAAGCGTTGTGATGCGAGGATTTGCGGATGCATCTACGGTGGCCGGTGACGGAGACTTGTTTCTCGCGTGTGAAGCCGTGGGGAGAATGGTTCGACGAAGACCGCCGTGAGGACGACGGCCTTACGGGGCACGGTGGAGAACGGGTCTTTTGGTTGTCGAGGAATTTGCAGCAGCGCCTGGGCCAGGCTCGTAGAAGTCGCCAGGGCCTCTTTAAGCGGCAGCGGCAGAAACGGCAGCGGTGATATCGACAACGAACGGAGTGATTGAATTGGTCGCCGGGTCGGAGGGGAGGTTGACGGGATGGTATTGGGGAAAAGTCGTCCAAGGAAAGCGTCGCACAGGAACAACGGGTGCAGCAACAGCAGCAATAATCGCAGGTGCAAAACGATTAGGTTTGCAGCTAGATATGTGGAGACCCGGACAAAGAAATGCGAAGGCGACGACGTGCAGAGCGTGGCTCGGACTGCAGCTTTGGCTTTCGCTTGAACGGTGGTGGTTGTTTTAATGCAAGCGTGGGCAAAGCGTCCAATGGTGAATGGCAGAAGGAGAAGCGGAGGAAGAGCGTGATTGGTAGCAAGCTTGAAGGCCGTGGTGGTTGCGGATGTGGATGCCCGTGTGGATGCAACGGTGGTGGTGAGGGCGACGACGAGGGTCGTGCTGGATTTGAACCGAGGAGGAAAAGATGTGGTGGGCGCGGCGTTGGTGGTGATGGACGGCAATGGACAATTGCAGCAAATGCAGCAAATGCAGGTGGTGGTGAATAATGTGAATAATTGCGCCCGAATGAGAGTGCAGGTCGTCCAGACCGGGAGGTTGCAGCTAGGCCTAGGCGGCGACTGTGAGGCGGCCGTGGAGTCGTGAAAAGTGGAGAGAGTGTTCAGGGGGGAGGAGATGGCCGAGATTGGGTTAGACGTGGAGGCTCTTGCTCTCAGTCCCAGCATTTTGGGAAGCCGCTCGTTGGTGGGAAGCAGGGGGGGAGGGGATCCTTCCTTGAAGTTCCCTCCACTAGGCCCCGAGAAGCCCGCCCACTCTTGCTCTGAGCAATTGCCAGTGAGCAGGAGCAGGAGCAGGAGCAGCACTTTCTCTGCCCGGATGGATGGGAAGGTCCACGGGTACCTTACTGTGCAGGTATGGGAAGGAACGGATAGGAAAGTCGGGCTAGGTAGGCTCTAGCTCCTTCCTGCTGCTCGTTGGGTGCCGCAATACGCAGGAACAGATGGCAGGATCGTCCTTTCTCTGTGACTCTGCGTCGTGGTTCCTGGCTCCTGCTGCTCGAATTGTTTGGTTCGGATCCAGTTGGCCCGGGATGAACGTTCCTGCAGCTCAATGCCCACCTCACTTCAATATCCAGCTGCACTTCACACACTTGTTGCTGTCGTTGGTACCGTCCAATCGCCGTGCATTCGATATGGTCGATTTGTTTTCTTGTTCGTCGTCTCTTCTTGATACTACTTTGTCGTCCAAGCTACGCCGACGTCTGTTCACTCATCCGCCAGTATTCCGAGGATCTCTTCCACAAGAGGCAGAAACAGCAGCCGACTGCGTCAGTGTCGTCGTCGTTGCCCAACTTCTCTCGTGCTGTGGAACAAGCAGTAGGGCTGTTTGTCGTCGGCGGCGGAAACTGTCGCAGAAGGGATCGAGGGTTGAAGAAAGATAGTCGATGAATTTCGAAACCAAAGTCTTCTGTCAGGCTTTGCAGGCGGAGTGGCGCAGGATATAACGACAATCAGTGGCCCTACGAGGCGGTTCCTGTTACAGATACAGGACTCGAGGATTCCGCCGGTGCTTCAACCGTCGTTTTGTGGAGGGTCTTGGGTCAAGAGTCTCGCACCAACAGCGAAAAAGGAAAAAGAAAATCCAGACACGACACGACACGAGATCCCAACACCAACAGCCCGTCCCCAGCCCGTCAATATATGACGACGGCCTGCCTCGTACACAGCTCCCACCTGACTTCGATGACCTCCAGCCTGGCAGGTGCCTCCCTGTCTTCCCAGCCAACGTCCAAGGTGCTTTAAATTGTCTATTTTCGATCCTGCAGAGATTTCTAGCCAGGCGCGCCTTTGTCCTAACGGCGACACTGCACTCAATCAATCTTGGATCCGGGTGACGCACTCTAAACCTCCAGGACCCATCAAACCATCCTGGTTGTCCTTGTTCGCCGAGGCCACCAAAAACCAGGGTTCAGACCGGGTTGTCCGCGTCGGCAGACACCAATTTGCGCCTTGCTGTCTAGCCCAATGCCACATTGCGGCGCAACTGTGAAAATGGATTCTGTGGCCCTGGCACGTCGAATCAACGCGACATCGGGATGAGGGAGACAACAGTCTGCCGTCCGACGCTCCGAGCTCCCATTTTATGCCTTCCTTACGATGCGGGCAATCCCATCCAACAAGACAAGAAGCCGGAAAGTCGACCCTTGCTTCGTAAGCAGCAGTGTGCCAACTGCCACGCCCTCAGTCTCTAGCAAACTTCCAACGGCAGACCAGTGCCGTCATATCGTCAATTGGTCTCGAGCCACCTCGTCACGCAGCCGTTGTCTTGTCTCTTCGCGATGATCAAGCAGCTTCCGTCGCACCCCGTCCGTCTGTGCGCAACGACTCTTCGACTTTGCCGATGTCAAACAACCCTAGCATGCGGTTTCTGGGCGAAGCCAGAAACGTCTATTGGACATTGCCGCGCTCCAGCGTCACAGTACTTTCCCTTCGTGTTGTATCAGCCTCTCCAACCGACCCAAGACATGCCAATATCACCAGGCAAATAAGCATTAAAAGGGAATGCCGATCTACGAGGCAGCCAAATTCGGATACTCAGAGATTCAATCGGTCCATCTTGAGAACGGCAGATTGGACTTCTATTAGAGAGTTCAGGTTCGGAAAGTGGGGCGCCAATACTGCCAATCTGTTTACAAGCTTATAAACAAGCAACCTTGGTTGCGGTACGCCTGAAGGGCTAGCGATGCATTGCTGATCCCGGTTTAGTGGACAATTTGTGGGTGTTAACGGTGATCTTGCAGTTCCCGATAGAGCCGCCTTTCGCAATCTTCTTCTTGAATGCATTGCTTCACGGGACATGGTAACTAGAAGACAATCACATAACCCAGAACCAGCTCTTCACAGATAGCCCCAGCGATGCTTGTATAGGTATATTGGGAGGTTGGTAGAGACCTCTCATCGATAAGACTTTCGACGTTCCTCCGCCAGGCACTGCACAACTAAGATTGTGGGAATAAGAAACCACCATCTCACTCGCAAGCGGGAGAGACAGGCTTTTCAATTGTCTCGGCTTACCACTGAGCTGAAATGGGACGAGCGTGGTAGGTATGCCATTGAGTCCCTACCAAGAGATTCAACTGCTCCGCTCTCTAATTCATTGACAGTCTTGCGGTCCATCGCAGGGATGGTGTCACAGGAGAACTCAACCGGGGGAAAGGCTCCGACCACGCAGGTCATAAATATGATTTATCTAACAATTTCCTTCCAGCCAGGGGGATTTCACGGTTTTAGAGGATGCCTATATCGGTGGCTGGCAACATGTATCGACGAGACACGCGCAAAGACCAACATGGAGAATTGCGGGGTTCCGTCTGACACCCGTCTCTTAAGACATATTTCAGCCAGCCTTCGTCTCTTTTTGTGCAACCGCGCCTCTTGAGGTGCTTTGCCGAATCCAAATCTGTTACTAAATCGATCTGCCTTTTGTGTTTCTCGTCAGGGGAACTGATCGTGCCTCGCTTGGCTCAGTTGGATTGGTTCTGACGACGTCGAATCATACATCTCGATTTGGCAGTGCCACGCATTCGAGGGATAAAGTGCATGCGGCACTCAGTGGTCTCGGCTCGCTCGAAACAATCCGCCGGCAGCTACATGTTTACTTGTCTGTCTTTAAACTTGCGGGGCCGAGATTCAACATATCTGGGACCAGAATGCGATGGCTCGTCACGAGAACGGGAAAGGGCTGGATCATGGATGGCTCCTGGCAATGACAAACCTCGGCGACGTGGTCGAACCACATGCTCGCATGCTCGGCCAAGATTAACGGTGCAGCAATCATCTGGATACATCAGCACAAACAGGGAGGCTTTGCTCCTTGTTCCTGGAGGGTATGTGATGCGGCAAGAAGTAGACGATGGCACAGACAACAGCGAAGGTCCCGTGGCACACGCGGCTCCCAGCATCAATCCATGACGAAGTGGTCGCAACGTCTGTTCGCTAGCCGTTTCTCCGGGGCATGGCCATAGCAGACAGAGTGCCGGCACCAATTACGGGTGATCAAATGGGAAGATTGTGCTGTTTCCTCCCATCCGGCTACCGCCGACTGCAAGCAATATGCGAATCGGAGCGGAGGCAAGTATCAAGTGGTTGCAGGTGTACCACAAGTGCTACTAGGATAACCCGCACTTTCAGTTTGTTGGGGCAGCAGGATGGAAGACAAACAGAGCTTCACAAAAGTCTGCTGGTTTTGCCGATCCCTGGTGACTGGTCGTCGACGCAACCCAGAATGTTATGCGATGTAGACGAGGAATATTGGTTGTGGCCGAGGCATAGTTGGTGAGTTTGAGAAGACGTTCGTCTGTTGATGCCTGTCCTGCTCATGGTATGCGAACGTGGGCCAGATTGGTGCGGCGAAATGACGAGTCGGATCAAGAGGACTATGGTGGCAGACCAGATAAGGTTACAAGGTGAAATTGGCATCGGCAGATGACGGGCAGTCTAGTCTCTGGGTGACGTTTTTATCTTTGACCTCCCACCAACGAAGGTGACGGGAATATCGATATCGATGCCCTACGGTACTTCTGAGTATGTATCCGTAGACGAGCAGAGCACGCCGAAGAGGCGAAGTGGTGGGATGGGATGGCCGTTTCACGTACCGCTAGACTACGGTGATGGGCCGAGGCGATGCCAGACAAGGGCAGTAGCCTTTCGGTTCTAATTATCGCATTGCTGACATTTGCAGTGCATCTCAACAGACATGTGCAACGGAACCATCAAGAAGATGCAATGCGTTGTCGCACGAGCGCACGCGATGTATGCCCTTTGAGTGGATGAGGTTGAAGTTGTAAGTGCAAGACGTCCCTCCCTTCCCTCACCCCCGGCCCAGTTCCGGCGTCCACTGTGGATCTAAACAGGGTCCTCAGGGCTGGATGCGGATAGGGATGTGATGCGGGCAGAGCGGGAGCGGGGGAATGGGGGAGGGGACCAGCGGATAGGTTGCATCACTGCATCATCATCCCTGTCGTCAGTATCCATCAGCGTGAGCGACCTGCTTTTCAAGCCAGAAGCAGAGATGTATCTTCTCGAGCTAGGAATAGCTCTGTAATAAGTAGTAACTACCTCAGACAACTTGACGACTTTCTTGTTGCTTCCAGGCTCGATGTAGGTATGTATTCGCAAAAGGCACCACCAATCTTACTTGGCCAAGCCCCGATACTGCTACCTTGGGATGGTGACATCAAGAGACACGTCGGCCAGCTGCGAGAGCAAGTACCTTTCCTGTCATTCCTCTGTCAGACGTGCAGTTATATCCATCAGCTTAAGTACTTCCCGCCTTAGCTATCTTGGAGTAGCTTAATAGGTACCTTAGCAGCCTGCCGTGCATCCGTCCGGATCTTGAAGGTACCTTACCTTACCTTACCTTACCTTCCTTACCTCATGTTCCCTTCCCACGAGACAAGTTGCCAGTCTAATTAAGCCCAGTCCATCTCGCAACACCTCCATCTTTCATTCGTCTTCCGACATCTCCTCTTCCTTTCTCTCTCTCTCTCTCTCCCTCTCTCTCTCTCTGCTCAAACCTCCTCATTCTCTTCCCACTTCTATGCCCATCGTCCCCGATCCCCGTCCCTCCATTCCACTTTGCGACACCCGCGACGCCGAGCAGGGACACGGTACCTCGGCCACTCGTTCCAACTTCCGACTCAGAAAAGTCGCCGGACGTTTCCTCCCCGCCCAATCACCTCACGGTACCTTGCCTAGCTAAGGCGAGGCAGGGACGATCCAAGTCGCCACCAAAAGCCCAGAGACTAAAACCACCTTACGTCCATTCCCATTCCCTCCAGCGACATACCAACCAACGCCAGCCGAATCCTCAGCTCGTGTGGCGCTTCACTTCTCGCCCTTTTCGCCCTTGGTACAAACTACCTACTCCAATATACACACCACTGATCCGACTGTCTCTGTCGCACGTCCACACCACACGCATTCGCTCACTCGCACATGCTGCAGTGTCTACACGCCTACTGCGTACTGCGAGACACGCAGCTCCTCATTTGTGCCTAGCGCCCATTCTTCCCTCTCTCCGCCCCTCTCTCTCCTTTCCTCCTTTTCCTTTCCCTCTCCTTTCCTTGGCTCAAAAACGCGTCTTGGAAGAGGATTTTCCCCAGGCTTTTCCCCCAAAGACGTGGCTTGTGTCGGATGAGGAGCCTTCAAAACCCCTTGACTGCCTGTCCCAAGCTCGGACTTGCACGTCTCGCATCGACCTTCCAGTAATCAACAATTTGAGAAATAATAGAAAAGGCCGCCAGAAGAAACAATAGGAACCGAATTCTACGATATTACGTTTAACGATTCGAGCTGATTTCTCCCGCACTGCCCATCATGTCGGACGAGAACGGCTCACGAAGTCCGACTTCGCCCCTTACGACGACGAGCAATACCAGTAGGAAGCAGACCATATCATCGCCAGGAACGACAGCTTCACCAGTGCCCTCGGGACACTCCTTTAAACGCGCCGTGACTGTAGACGAGACATCTCAGATGCGGCGGCGGCCACCTTTCAGCCATATTCCAACAGAAAACTCATTCGCCGAGAGAGGCCTTGGGAGGAGGAGAAGTTCGACCTTGTCAGATTACAGCTTTGGTGATGCGAGAGACTTTCTGAACCCCAGACCTGGTGATGGTGCATCATCAACTTCGGCAGACGACATGTCCAACTGGGCCTCGATTCCTTTGGCATTTGCACTTTTACCGGCGGTCGGCGGTCTGCTCTTCAAGAATGGCAGCGCCGTTGTGACGGACGTCATGTTGCTTGGCTTGTCGGCCGTGTTCCTGCACTGGTCCGTGACACATCCATGGTAAGTCCAACGCTCTACTGTCCGGTACATCGTGACCGGCTCGTTTTTTGGAGGAGAATAGAACCATTCAGGCACTAACACCAGTCACCAGGAATTGGTATCACTCGGCGCAAGCAGTGCGAGTAAGAGCAGAGATCAGCTCGAGCGCTGTGATCGACGATGAGAGCGAGACGGAGCAGGCGGTCGGAAGCCCTTCACCAGCAGCATCAACGGCTAATGGCCATACGACCAACGGAAGCGTCGACGAAGTGTCTGAAGTACCCACCACGCCTACATCTTTTGTCCAGGAACGAGTACGTCGTAAGACGACGACGCCAAGAACCAAAAAGGAAGACGCATTGGCTGAGCTATGGATACACGAGATCCTGGCCTTGGTATCATGCTTTATGTTTCCCATGCTGGGCGCGTATTTGCTGCATGCCATCCGCGCGCAGCTCAGTCGACCGTCGGAGGGATTGGTTTCTAACTACAACTTAACGATTTTTTTGTTGGCTGCAGAGGTACGACCGCTTTCGCACCTCATGAAGCTCGTGCAGTGCAGGACCATCCAGCTGCAGCGGGATGTCCATGTAAACCCGTACAAGGACGACGGCGCCACGTCAGATCAGATGAGGGTGCTCATGGCACGGTTGGAAATGCTGGAGTCACGGCCTGAACCAACACCGATGAAGCACAACGGGAACTCGGACAATTCGAAAATCAAGTTAGAGGCCGCCATTGCCCGCGATGTTCGCAACGCCATCCAACCCGATCTGGATGCGCTGAACCGGGCTGTGCGGCGATACGAGAAGAAGGCGACGGTACTTGCCTTCCAGACAGAATCACGGTTCGCGGCAGTCGATACCCGCTTGAACGATGCCATTGCGTTGGCGGCTGCAGCGGCGAAGAACAGTGTAGCCAGGCCGGGCTTCATGCAGTGGCTTGTTGAGTCCGTGTGGGCCATCATTACGATGCCCTTCTTTGCGGTGGTCGCTCTGCTAGTGCTCCCCTTCAAGACGGTTAGAGGGTTGCTTAAGCGGAAGAAGAAGTCCCTTCCTGAGAGGACGTCCAAGTCCGGTCGAAATGGGAAGGCCATGGGTCACGGGAGAATGGCGGCAGACAGACAGCCGAGCCGCGTATCAAAGAGATGAGGAGGGTATAGGGGTGCCCGGTCAGGGCAAAGCGCGAGAGGGGTTAGAGACCCCTAGGTGATTCTCTTCACAACCAGAAAAAAGGCTCGGGGTTTAGGCAAAGATACCACCCCTGGGATAAGAGGAATGGGCTTTGGAACGAGCCGGCGTTGTAATATGGTTTTCGGAATCAGTCCAGAGTACACTGGTTTCGATATACTCGGAGAAACATCACCTACACTGTACTGTTAAGTGTCGAATTATTCTTCTCGTCACACCTTTCTGCGTGAAAAGGTATCTGCTATGGATTTCTGACAAACGCCCGAGTGACCAAACTAAGTATCAGTGGCCCAACGTCGTTTGGGAAGTGAACTCATAAACATATTTCATTGTAGTTGTCCTGATTTTGGCCAGTTGCACTACGTCCAATGCAAAGAGTATCGACTTCGGGAACGAGGGAGAGACTATTCAAGGATTATTGGGCCAAATAGGTTAATGATGGTAAGGACAAAAGGTTCAGCATATTCACCCCATCTGGATCACTCACAAGGCAGTTTCTCCCACGGGCAAACATCCTCGGCCCGTCTATCAGCGTCAGGCCAAGGGTTTGGTTGATAGAGTCAAGTTAAGCTCGCTAAGTAGCAGAAATATCAACTGGTAGATGGACCAGGAAACATGGAATCCAATTGACTACCTACTCTCAACGGGAAGCTCACCAAGACTCGGTTTGCGCGTGGGGAGCCAATATATAGAATGTTAGGAGATACTTTGATGATTATAGTGCCGCCTCCCGGAAAGGTTGTTTTTACAGAACGATAGGCATTTGTTTGGGTGCCGAGGGTCCATGGCTACTACTTGACCTTTCAGCCGACTTTGTGATCCTCAAACTGTGGATTTTTTTTTTTTGGGAACCTGGACTCCGTTTGGGAGATGATTGACGAAGGCGTACCAAGGGAATGGGCTGTGAAGCTCGTTAAGAAGGAACTGTTACCAAGATAGTGTCTATATATGGATGGCTCCTCGAGATCGTAAAGTGATTTTTATTTTTTTATTTTTTACCTCGAGAAGATTCTCTACACGAAGCTTGGTCTCTATCGATACTGGGGAGTGTATGTTTGTCTTCTACTCGGCTCGAGGATCGGTTGACTGGTCTCAGGGACACAGGCAGTGCTAACATTTGTAGTGATACCTGATGGAAGGGGAGAGGGTCAAGTATAAATACGTAGGCTGAAGGACGGACATAATGGTCCGGAGTAAATTTCCATCGACCGCTTCTGCCAAGGGAGGAAAGATCAAGCCCCCCCCCCCCCCCCGCTTGCAGAGTCGTTCTTTTACGTTCGTTCCCGTGTTCACAGTGGGTATTTCTTATAGATCACTGGTACGATCTACTGCATCGTGAAGTTAAAAATCGAAAAAAAGCCCAGAGAGAATATTCCCATGGACAGGGGGGGCTGTGTGACTCCATCAACGAGTGATCATGACCCGTCAATGTCGATCGAAGAGACGAAGCGGCAACTACATACTCTCGCCACCAATCGTCTCCGAGGCTTCGACGACACATATCGATTTCATCAGATACCTCGTCAATAGACTCTCGATTACATAGACGGAGGAGGTTGGGCAGAGACCCGATATGTATGCAAACAGTACAAAACACATCCGTGCCCATCCACGTGCGGTCACGTCAGCACGTCCTAGAAGGTTTCATGGAAGTTCTCTGCCTGGCCCGCCGGCGGCGGTCCAAGAGTATTTTGAGGGGTTTCTCCCATACGACAAAAAGCTGGGGAAGTCCAGAAGCCCCGGCTTGACTGCAGGCGCTTGGGTCGCGGGGGGAGCGTTGACAATGTCATTGTGGTCGTGGCCACGCGGAGACTTGCTTGATGCGCTTGAACGGAGGATGCGGGAAACGGATGTCGCAAACGAAACCATGGAAATGGTAAGTCAAGGGACCATGCGTGAGGTTTGCATCATGAGCTGACGAGGTCCGTCCAAGACACCTTGGGGCTAAAGATCCGTTCAAAGGACCAAAGAAGCCCGTCGTCTTTACTAGGCAGCTCCAGAACGATATCGATCCTCGTGGAGTCCCGGGTCAAAACGGCGCGTACCAAGGTGTCCGTCTGGGCGAGACGAAGTGTGTCGCTTACACAATATCCTTTCTCAAGAAGTTGAATCAGTTGCCTAGGTTTAGCCCAGACTCGATGGCCAGAATAAAACACGCCAGTAAACTGCTCTTAGTAGAACATGGATGGTGTTGGTTGGGTCCTTGTCAGTGCCGGGCTTGGAAAGGGAATAGAGCCTTGAACTAGGGAAGGCCTGTTCCCGGGTCACGGCATGAATATGCCCCTCCACACAACGTCGGACGAACCGTTCAGGGGAACCAGTTTAACCGGCCGGGCCATTCCACCAGCCGCCCCAGGAATTCATTCGTTATTCAATGAGGTTATCTCACGATGGTCGAAAATTTGCCATGCCAAGGGACGAACAAGAAGCCGGCTAGACTGTGGTTCACGGGAGTCCGCAGACACGGCGTCCGAACATGGGACGAATACACCCGTGATTTGTGTCGAACAGCAGCGGGAAGAAGTAAGGGTCCGGCGTTGGCGGTATGACTATGGCGTCACGGCGCCGAAATTATGGTGTTTCTTTTCTTGAGTTACACGAGCAGCTGCCGACTTGGATGTTCAGCCCGATATCTAAGATGGTACTCGGGATTTCGAGGAGAAAGACAAAATGATTAAGAAAGTAAACTCAGGATCGCCAGAATGGGGGAGGCTCATGCAGTGAGGCTTTGCTCGTATCAAAGCAAGCAGGGATGCCAGGACCCCTTTATGCGACGAGGCGCAGAACGTGGGGCAAGTATACCATCGGCAGTCGGGCAATTGAACAAGGGCTTCCAACAACTACCCCAAAAGCCGAGGAGAACAACGCTTTGTAAGCTTCCGCTGTTGCGTGACCTGCGCTCGCTGCCATCAAGCACATGGCAAGAGTCGATGCTAAGAGAAATTTCTTCTCCATTGGCTTGTTGGATCGGGCGAAGGAATGTGTGGACCCTTCAATTTCACAGGCGCTTGGCCCAGAGCGCCTCTTGAGGAATAGCGGCGCCGGCAGCGCGGTTTCGACCCAGATCAATCATCGAGTAGTGTGAATGACGGACGTGCTTTGCTTCCATCGAGACCTTGAGACTGTGGTGAGAAGGAAAATAGAACCAGTCTGGTTTGGTGCCAGTCAAAGTAGTCGGGAAGCCATTGTTTCCAGAGGCAAGCCTCGAATCAATGCCGAGGTGTCAAGTCGGTAGCAGACATCAACTGGCGAGATGAGAACAGAACAGTCGACGTCACAATGTTTGTGGTTGTGATCGTGGCCATGTCGACGCGCTTGCTAGCTGTTCCTTGTTTATCAGAGTCAAAATCAGACAACTGAGTCAAAGTGTCTTTCTTACTCCAAGACTCAAGGCTCAAGCAGACTCGGGGGCCCATCTTCCAACCCGTCATTGTCAACCAGGCCGTCTTCTGACAATGGATCTACATGTCCCAAATCCAGGCCCAATGCCGTGGAGAGTATCACTGGGCTGTCCATATGGGGGGATAAAAGTTTCGTCCAAAGCTTAAGTGGGTTCTGAGTGGGCTCGTTGGTCGGCAAGAGGGTTCAATATGTATTTGCGGCGTCCGTTGTGATTAAGGGAGAGCTGAGCAAGTGCTCCGGCATCATTGGAGGCACCCGCGCTTTGTGCGTGTGTGTGGAAGGCGTAAGTTATTGTAGGGTAAATTAGCACTGGTTGAGGAAAGGCACGGAAATCCAGAACCATAGTATGCAGGCCTAGACTACGCGCCCGCTGTCGGATCGCGCCAGGTTGTCATGGTTCGGGTTCGAAGTCGATGAGAATGCCACTCGTAATCTCGATCGGCTGGATAGATGTGTACATACGGAGAGCAGAGGCAGCAAAAATCTGAGAGAAAAACCAGCTGAAGGACGATCAATGGAGACAAAATACTGGGCCAACTGTCAGGTCTATTGCTGAGCAAGCGCGTCTTCGGAAGTTATTGACGCATAGTCTGCCATCGCAAGCATGGGTCTTCCGTGGTCTAGTGGTGCCAGTCTAGCAAGATGCTGTGAGGAATCGAGGTGGGGGGTTTTGTGGTTCGATGATATCAAGGATGAGCGATGTTGTGGACGTGATGGTGAAGTGAGACGAAGGTTCCCTTTCATTGTTGCGAAGATTGCAAGATTCAGTGTCGACCTGATACTGCCGGTCACTACCTTAGCTTACCTAAGGTAGGTAGGTACCTAAACCTACCTTGATACGTGGCAGTACGTAGTTACGTATCTACCGTACGATATTTCAAAGTGCAAGTGCTCGTCGATGTCTTTTCTCTCTCTTGCCTTTCTTGCCTTCCTTGCCTTCCTTCATCCTCGTCTTCCAGGTTCCTTCCCTTCCATCCTCCCTTGAATGCACCGTTAAGCTAAGGCAGGAACTGACCTAAGACGGGATGGGCTAGTGGATCTGGAGAAGGCTTAGCGTAGGTGGCCCCTGCTTTTTTGGCCCTGGTCATCAAAAAAGCGCCCGGCGGGGGTACGTACTTGGAACTTTGGACCTTGGGAGATCGTCCTCGTCCCGCTGCGTCGGTGCAACTCTTTCATTTCGCGTCCATCACGACTTTTCCTACCCAAGCAAGCCAAGGTCTTCAAGGTCTCCACGTCTCGTTTGGCCGGAGACGTGCAGGTGCAGGTTGCAGCTGCAGCAAAGGAATGGATTGCAATGGTTGGCTGCAGCTCACACCATTGTGTTCTATTACCACCTCACGCAGACGAACACTGACCTAATACAGCAAGACAAGCCAATGTTCGTCCTGCGCGGCACCGCGGCTACCGGCCTTGTCTTGCCTTGGGTGCGCCACCGATCTTGCGGCGGACCTGACTTAGGTTGCAATAATCTCCTTTTCCCCCTCTACGGTGCACTTATTCGTGCTTGGAGACGCGAGGTTCAGCTGATGAACGACCTCGGCCGAACCACCGCCACTGCCGGCCATCCAACGTTGTCGGGAAAAAGCAATTCATTGCATTACCTACAGCAATACGGTTGACCTACACGTCCGCATCTGGACACGGATTCATGCGGGTGGCAGAAGACTATTGGAAATCCCCAACTCGACGCTCCCATTTTGGCAGTGCAGACGACGTGGCTACGGGAAAAGCAGTAAAGGTTACCGCCGTGATTTCCACATCATCATGATGCGTACGAACCATTACGCTGCCACATATGGATGGATCCTGTATGGCTGGCCCATGGGTCAGACAGAATCTGGCTGCGAATGGGGATCCGGTATCCAAGATGCAAAACCATGCCCTGTCCATGCCAGCTCACTCTGCGCTGCGATGTGCTGTGTACGGAGTACTACACGTAGCGCTCGGCCAGTGCAAATCGTTCGCGCGCCCGTCTCGGGCATTTCTATCCGTCCCTCTCTCTTTTTGTCATCTCATCCAATTCACCATCTCATCCCTCCCGTCCATCCATCTATCCAATCCGTCCGCATTCCTTGCTCACCTCACAGCCAACTCAAGCCCCACGGGCCCCTCCACCCCTCCCTCAGAGGCTGCCCCCCTCCATCTCGTCGGGCTGTTGTTCCTCGCTGTTCCTGATTGTCTTATTCCCATCCGAGTCAAACGCTAAAGCCCGGTATGCCGGGGTCATCCCCTGTCCCTGTAATTTGGGATGGATGGACGCGCCTTAACTTCCGACGACTGCTTACCTACGACCAACTTCCAGGTACCAACAGCTTCCTCGTCACAACATTTCTCAATTCGAATTTTCTTTGGCTACATTTGCGTTTGCTGCATTCTGCTGCCCTTCAGATCGCCCTTGGAACCTGTGACATTCACATAGACCCGGCAAGAAGACCGGGGTTCTTGTTGTCTGCCGCAAGGCCTGGCCAGGCCGCGGCGTCGTAAGAAAACTAGTTGTCCACGTACCGTCTCGACGCCATGGACCCTCGATTTGGCCTTCCTGGCCGTCTTCTGGCCGAGAGCCGCAGGTCACTCGCTTGTATCCGATGCTGCCAAGAGGGACCTCGCCCTCTCGGTTGGCCACCCTCACTTTGCCTGCCTGCGTTTCTTTTCTCAGAACGTCCGTGGGATTCATCTCCCGTACCCGCGCGCCGTCCTGTTTGCACTTCCTCTTTCGATCCTATGCCGCTACGGTTCTTGTCATCCCAGCTAGGCTGGAAGCTCCTCGCCGCGAAATGGTTGTAGAGCATGCAAGGCAGCTTCAATCTTGGTCTGATCTCACTGTTACCTATTAGATGGTGGCTAGAAAGGAAGCCCTTCACAGTCTTTGACCATCTCGAAGGGTTCCATGCGTTGCCTCAGTCCCGGGTCTATTCCGTCATGTGAGAAGGATTGCACACTTTGCTGTGACGAGTCCATCGTAGCTGATGCCATCCGCGTGTCTTCGTGCACCAATGATGCCCTGCTCGGTGTTACCAGCCGGGTCCGTACCTCTCCCATGGATCTTCCCCCTCCGGCATTAACACTCTCCTCCTTGTTGTATATAGTTTGGTCACCTCCAGGTCTCGACTCCACCCCATGACATTTGGGCTGTTCCCTGCCCCTGTCTGTACCCTTTTTTTCTTCTTTTCCTTCCCCTCCCCTTCTCTGCTGTCAGCCCTGGAGCTGTCTTGTCTTAATCCCCCACTGGTCTCTGGGGTTCGAGTCGATGCTGGCTGACCATTGTTCGTTCATCTAATAATACCGTCTCTCTCCCAGCTATCCCCTTCAGCTCGCGCGTGTCTTCCACCGACTCTTTTCTCTTTGCCGGCATCCCCTCTTCTCTTCTCCTCACGTTCCGAGTGCTCCTGGTGGATATCATCTATCGATGCTCGGAAACTGTCTCGATAACACCAAACAGTAATACTGGAAAACTAATTTTGATTCAACACTTGGTGGCCAATTCGTCATCATGGCAAGGTGGAATCGCCTAATCACTTGGGGCCTTCTCTTAATCTTCCTTCAAGTGGCTGTTGCTCAAGCCTTCGTACCCGCGAGACGTCAAGAGAGCGGTACTACAACAGCAGCCATTGCCTCTTCTACTTTATCACGAAGCGCACAAGATGCTGAAACTACCACATCACCGGCCTCTTCAACAAGGACAACGGCAGTCGCTACTACCGAGTCGTCTTCTGTTTCTGCCACGCTCTCTAGTCCCCCAATCATCCCAACGAGCGGCAGTACCTCTGGCAACTCAAGTCTTGACAACTGTAAGTGGACTTGTGGTAACACATTCAATACTCAGGTCAACTTTAAGAAAAGGCTGACATTTGTTGCAGCTACCATAACGGAAGGAGAGCTACCTATTGAGCCAAAGGTTACACCAGGTTGGGCCGTAGCTGGCGTCATCTTGCTCTGCACTGGGGTCATTTACAACTTGATTGGCATCAAAAACACAATCTTGCATAATGCCTTCTCCGTTGCGTACGTCGTCAGCTTGGGTATCACAGTCTTGGTCGTTTACGTCATGGTCATCCCAGTGTCCAATGGATCCCAAGGAGCGTATGTCGTCGCAGCAGTCCTACCGGCCGCTGCAGTCGGCGTCCTCGCTTCCTGGTTCTTCAAGGAAATTACGGAATGCCTCGGATGTGCTCTTGGCGGGTTCTGCCTGTCAATGTGGCTGCTTTGCCTCCACGAGGGCGGCCTGCTCACGGGGATTGGCAAAGTCATTTTCATCATTGCCTTCTCCCTAGTGGGCTTCGCATCGTACTTCACCCGATGGACCCGGGATTGGGCGCTCATGTCTACAATTGCCTTCAGTGGTGCTACGGCAACTGTCCTCGGAATCGATTGCTTTAGCCGGGCCGGCCTGAAGGAATTCTGGGCGTACATCTGGGATCTGAACGACAACCTGTTTCCCCAAGACACCAACACATACCCGCTGACCAAGGGCATTCGCGTTGAGGTCGCCGCTGTAATTGTAATTTTCATCATCGGCATTATTTCTCAAAAGAGGCTGTGGAACGTCATCAAAGATCGACGGACGAAGCGGGAAGAGGAGTTGGCCGAGGCTCAGCGTGCCCGTGATGACGAAGAGGCCAACATTGGAAGGGAGCTTGAGGCTCGCACCGCTTTGGAGCGACAAGCGTGGGAAAGAGTACACGGAGATTACGTACCGGACAGCGATGACCACGACTCCGGCTTTGCTCGTGATAGCGAGAGCGAGAAGGCTATTCGATACAGTCAGAGCACCGCTACCCCTCGACCACGCGCCCCTCCCGTGGCAGAAATGCAAGGATCAGATGTTCCTCCTACTGTTCCCCCAAAGCCAGAATCTCCAGGTTTGATGGTCTCTGAAAAGGAGAAAGACGTCGTCGTAACAGTACGCGTCGCTCCGGATGAGACTCAAACAGGAGCCGTTGCTGCGGACAATGCTATTGGCCAGACGGAAGAAGTCCCCGACGACACCGATGTTGTCCAGAGCGTACAAGAGGTGGCACCAGTTCCTGAAGTGGTACCTCTGCCATTCAGATTCCCAGATGAGGAGGCTCTGGCCAGAGACAGGGAGGAACGATCTACTATTGCAACCTTTGCCGATGATGACGAGGAGGTTCAGGCAGGCGTCGGCAGCAAGCGGAGTTCCTTTGCGAAGCGTCTTTCCCAAAGCTCGGTACAGCTGATGCGGAGGGTTTCCCAGCGAACATCGAAGTCGCATCGTAAGGACGATGGCGATGAGGAGCTGGCGGTTCTTCAGCGGCCAAGGGATGACGACGCCGTTTCACTTGCAGCAACCGTTGACACTCAGAGCGACAGCGGCGCCGGAACTGTGAACGGTGAGCATCGGCGCAGTATTGAGATCAACGCACAACTATCTGGAGAGCAAAAGTCAATCACTAAGCCGGACACTACTACATCAGCATCGGCATCTCGACGAAGCGTCACCGATGGGGATTCTGTTAGACCGGTGTCAGCTATGACAGCTGTCACTGACGTGCCAGTTCAGTCTCTGGCCAAGGATGTCACTTCTGCTGCTATTGAAGAGAGGGCACCGGAGAAGACCACTTTAGTTGGTGATGTCGCCCGGGAAGACAGGTCACTCAAGCAGTCAGAGTCGAACGAGAGTCAACAACCCCCCGCCCCTTCTCAGCAAGCCAAGTCAACAGCCTCGCTTCATTCCACGCCCCTGAATCTTACCCAAGAGCGTCTGCCACCCAGCTTCTCCAACGTTGCGCTTCACTATCGCACAAACGAATGGGCTAAGCACCTGGGCCACGCGGACGTACCCGAGCCCGAGACCTTGAAGGTTGGAGACGATAGACCGCAGACCCGAGAGGCACCAGCTCCTGTGCACGTCGAGGAGCTTCAGCAGACCGCCTTATCCGCCACGCCCGCGCCTGCACCGGCTCCTTCGAGATCGCCCGCTCCTGTCGCGACACCTCCGCCGGCCTTGACCCGACCCAAGTCAACTCAGTCGCCGAACCGCGGCCACTCAAGGAACAACTCCTATCAGTCACATCGCCGTGCATCGAGCAAAACACAGTTCGAACCGATTGCTGAAGAAGAACAACAGGCGCTCTCTCTCGCTGCAAGCACCAAGAGCGGCGCCCCTGGCATCGCTCCCTCAGCAACAAGCCCAGCTGCCTTTATTCCCCCGCCGCCACCACCCGGTATCATGTCTTACGACAGCCCTCAGAGCTTGATCGCACAAAGAAGCGTCGCTCTGCGTAATAAGACATACGGAATCTTGACTGGCGCCAACAACATGCCCGAGATCCCCGCCGCGTCCAACAGAACACACAGCGAATCCGGTTCCATGTACAACTACCCCGTCTACCCACCGCAGATGCCGCCAGCCTCTCTGGACGACCTCCCATTGAGCCAACGCAAGGAATTAATCCGTCGCCAGAGCAGCATCGGCACGATGCGATCCTCCCTCGAAGGCTCCAGATCAGCCAGCGGCTCCTACGTACCCAGCATGTCCGCCGAGAACGTCGCCTTCGATTCCCACCAGCCCATGCGCTACTCCAACGTCCCCTCGCAAGATGCGCGCGACGCCAGGCTCGCCAGCTTCCGTGACTCTGTCCGCGCCGATCTGCGCGCCGGCACTGCGTCCCCCGCGCCCGCCGCCAACGGCCGCGATATGACGCTGAGCATGTACCGCTCGCCGAGCGCATCGAATTTGGCAGCCAGCCAGGCTGCCGCGCGGGAGGCTGAGGTGCAGAGGAATATCGATCTGCAGCGGAGCTTCATGATGAGCCAGAAGGAGGCGGAGGCGAAGCGCAAGGAGAAGGCGAGGATCGATAAGGAGAGGTCGGATCAGGCTTTCACACGGAGCATGCAGAGTGGAGAGATGTTTGAGTTGCATCGTGAGGCGATGCGTAGGATGCAAAACCAAGCTAGGAATGCTTGAGGGTGGTTGCATGGCTTTTGATACTTTCTTATTCTTTCTTTACTTCCTCTTACACAACATTGGTAGATACCCTGGTTTGGAGAAATATGGTTACGTTACAGAGGTTGGGGGGAAACATTGGGAAAACAGCACGTCGGAAAATGGGTCAAGGATACAGCATGATTAAGAAGATGGGAAATTACTTCTCTAGATGACGGGATATGAGGTTAGGAGATGGGAGATGGTGTATGACGGACGAGAAAGAGACTGAGGCGGGACAACATTACCGCTGTTATTAGTCGTAAACGTAATGAGTAAACCAATTTATTAAAAAATCTATTCACGCCTCGTGGTCTCCAGGATCCGGATCTATTTTGCTCCATCGTATTAGAGGTATCGAGCTTTGGAACTAATGACTCTGGGGGAACCCGGGCAACCGGGGAAAGGAAAAAGGATGCTCTTCGAGTACCGTTAGATGGGCGTACCCAAAGCCGCGGAGCCGAGATGAAAGAAAAGTCCGGCCGAGAGTAAAGAGTTCCCACGTGTTTCTGTCTTTCTATACTTCGGCCAAATCGGCACGGCACCGATGCGGAGAACCCCGAAGTTTCTTGAACCTCGAGTGTCTCGCTATTCTAGATTTCTCACGGAACCATTACAATGCCTGTTCAGAAGCTTCAATCCACTCGATCCGTTCAAGCAGTTGTATCCGATCCAGAAACTAAGTAATCACACACCGAGGCGAAACCTTCCTATGCAGTACACCTCTAGCTTGACCTTCTTACCTTCAGACGATACCGATGTCGGGATTCTCGCCGCGCCGCGCCCGGGTATAACCCGGCCCCACACTCGCGACGCGAAAACCAACTACTCAAACGACTGACCTGGGCGTTGGCGTCATCCATTCTCTTTTTCGCAATCACCTAATCGTATCTGCGGAGGAAGACTTGTCCGGGGTTATGTGTGTGCGACGGCCAAACGTTTGGCTTGCCGTACATGAAAGGGAATCGCAACCCGTACGAATGTTTGGGATATGAAGTCGGTTTAACCTTAATCCAATACAACTTGACCCTCTCGATCTAAAGTCTTGGCATATTTACCGCAAGCCAAACGGCCTTCTTTATCTCGATAAGTCAATCGGTTAAAAGATCCGGAGGTCTCCCGGTTTCCGCCGCCGCTCGAATACCGACTACGTTAGGGAACTCCACCCTTTTTTGCGCGCCGTCCGTCACACGACGCCTCCGATGTCTCATTCGGCCTGAACCGGCGAGAGCGTATTTTGAGTGACCATGGCCGGCTCCGTGGACGCCCGCGACGAGAGCGCGAAGCTTCAGTCCGCATCCGCGCCGATGTCGACGTGGGCGCGCATCCGGAGTAACGCAGTCAAGATTTTCAAGCTTGTCTTGGCGCAGTGGCTCGTTATCGGGTTCGCTCTCAGTTGTGTGTTTGCGTACTTTTTCCCGAGTAAGTTGGAATCGATGAGTCTCTTTCATGTGATGTGGGGAGTGAGTGAGAGAGGGAAGGGAAGAGCGAGGATGAAAGCGAAGCTGAGCACTTGACTAACGAACTGAACTCAAGATGTCGCGGCTAGAGGTGGACCGATCAGGTCAGAGTACACCATCATCTACGGCGGCATCGCCATCATCTTCCTAGTCAGCGGCCTGCAGCTCTCGCACGCGAAGCTGAGGCAGAACGTGGCCAACTGGCGGCTGCATATTATTGTTCAGGGGATCAGCTTTATTGTCATTCCTGTAATACTACTAAGTAAGTAAAGTCAACTCCCTAACAAGTTCTTCACACGTCCAAGGGGGAGGGGCTTAGTTCAGAGACGATGTACCTCGGGAACGCAGTGCTAACTCTCAAAAACCAAAAGTCATCGTCCACATCATCATAGCAGCGGGCAGCCTCCGCACCCAAGCCCTCTCAACCCCCATCATAGTAGGCATGGTTGTCGCCTCCTGCCTCCCGACAACAATCGCCTCCAATGTCGTAATGACCCGCGCCTCGGGTGGCGACGACGCCGCTGCCATCATCGAGGTCGTCATCGGCAACGTGCTGGGGAGTTTCATCTCTCCTGGTCTGATTTACGGCTTCATTCCAAAAACGCCAGAGTTTGCAGACTGGCAGCCCGCGAACCCGAGTACCCTGGGCGCCATGTACGCCAACGTGTTGAAGCAGTTGGGTTTGAGCGTGTTGTTGCCGTTGGCTGTGGGACAGGTTGTGAGGTGGTTTTGGGAGAAGAAGGTCGATTGGGCGTTGAGGACGTTTTATCTTGCTAAAGTATCGACGTTTTGTCTGATTCTGCTTGTTTGGTGAGTTTGTCATTCCCCCTTTTCCATAACCTTCCCTCCGTGGCCCTTTGAGACTAATACTCGTCAATAGGACAACCTTCTCAGCAGCCTTCAAAACAGGCGCTCTCTACGTAACCCCCCACCCCTCCATCATCTTCAACGTCTTCATGAACGTCGCCCTCTACGCCCTCTTCACCCTAATCTGCTTCTACGCCGCCCGCCCCCCTCTCGCCCTCTGCAACGCAGTCAACCCCCGTCTATCCGACTCCCGCCCCCTGCAGTCCCGCTGGGTCCCCAACTTCCTCCGGCGTGCCCTGACGGTCCGTCAGCTGCCGAGGGAGCAGATGATTGCCGTCTGCTTCTGCGGCGCGGCCAAGACGACGTCGTTGGGGATCCCGTTGGCGACAGCCATGTGGACGCAGTCGGATGATTTGACGAGGGCGCTGATTCAGATTCCGGTGTTGTTGTACACGATTGAGCAGGTGTTTATGGCGCAGATTCTGGTGTATGTGTTTAAGTGGTATTTGAGGCGGGCTGCCAAGGCTGAGGGGGATGGAACGGGGGATGGAACGGGGGATGAGGAGGGGGTAGTGTTGGGTCTGGCGGTGTGAGTGTGGCTGGGGGACGGGGAGAAGAGGAGGATCGATCGTCTGGTAAGTCGATCGGTGAGAGGGATGATGAGAAGAAGGGCGGCAGAGGCACTGAGCAACATGGTGCGGTGCCTGTCAAGACCATTTATGAAGCATGATTAGTGTCTATCAAATAGCGGGTGGCATGTTGGGCATAATGCAGGCGTCTTACAAACGTGTAGATATGGTTCGTCGATTACTCCTGGTATCGAACCACGAGCCAATCAACCGGCAGTCCTGGTTAAATCAACTGCACCTTGAATGTAGTGCCACGAAAAGATGCCTTACCATGCCACATCATCCTTCTCTACTCTTTTTTGGATCGCAAGGCGGCCTCAAGGCAGAACTGCTCTCAATGGTCGGCCTCCTTGAAACATATAGGTACCTGGGTGTCAAGTCAGACGCGCGCCCGCAAGAGATTTCTTTCTTCAAATCCACGCCTTCGAACCCTCAACTTTTGTGGCAACCTGCCCCGAGTCTCCCTATCGTCATGGACACCGCCGGTTCGAAGTGTCCCGAGAACCTGCTTTTGCGGGATGCTTGGGCGTAGGCGCTCCGAATATGATTAACCAGTCGTTTTCTACTGGCACATACCCGATTAATGCCAGTCTTATCCCGGGCATGTTGTAGACGCAGCAGGATATTCCATCGAATTCGTTCAGTATGCATATCGGCTCCGTCTGGTTACAAATCGGAGGATCACTGATATTCGGCGGATACGATCAAAATCGACTGGCTGGCGAGGTGCTCGCGTCAGACGGGGATTACACTGATAACCCCATCACCTTGAGAGACATCAGCATCGAAGTTATCCAGGGCGTATCACCTTTCAACTTCACAGTACAAGACAGTCTCCGCCAGGACGGCCTCCTCGCTGCTGGAAATAACTCGATCCAGAACGGACTCCTCGTGTCAATCGACGGCTGTGCTCCCTACATCACCCTCCCGAAATCAACATGCGATAACATCGTCTCACACCTCCCAGTGACATACGACACACATCTCGGATTGTATTTATGGGATACGGAATCGGCAGCGTATACACGAATCGTCTCCTCGGCGTCAACACTATCCTTCACCTTCCTCTCCGGCACCAACACCGAGCCCCTAACGATCCGCGTGCCTTTCCTCCATCTCAACCTCACACTATCAGAGCCTCTTACAGAAAAGCCAACGCCGTACTTCCCGTGCTTCAACAGCGGGTCTGGTAGATACGCCCTGGGAAGGGCATTCCTACAGGACGCTTTCCTCGGCGCCAACTGGGGCCAGTCCAAGTGGTGGCTCGGCCAAGCCCCGGGTCCCAACATTCAGCTTTCCTCCAGCGTCGTTGCTATTGAAGAAGCTGATACGGTGATCAAGACAGGGGAAAATGACTGGGAGGAGTCGTGGAAAGGGGTATGGAAAGTTCTGGGACCGGACAATGATAGTGGGACAAGCCCGACCGAGTCCCCGGCTGATAATCGCCAACCAACATCCGCACCCGCAACCACCATCTCGACCGGAGCTATAGCTGGTATAGCTATTGGCGGTGCGGCTGTGCTTGTTACATTTGGCCTGGGAATCTTTTCCTGGCGTCGTCGAAGCCGAAAGAGAGGGAGGGAATCAACAAAGGAAAGGGAGCCACCACAGCATAAACATGACGGCTCACAATATGATTCTCGACCTCCTCCACAGACGGAGCCAGTGGAGGTGTACGGATCGATTCCAACATATAAAGGGAGAAACAAAAACGGAAAGCAATTAAACTCGCTCGAAGATCCTCGCGCCGACCGCGTTGAGCTGCCTTAGACAGATGGACGGAAATGTAGACAGGAGGAAGAAAGACGAAGTTCAGCGTCTCTGTCGGTGTTTAATCTATAGAACCATAATACGATACCCTTTATTTCATGTTGCGGACACGAAAAGAGCTTTCGACTAGAATCCACATTCAAAGAGAGAAACGAGTAAAGCCGAGTCGGTATGAGTCGTGGCGTGTTATCATGTCTGCGAGCCACAATGAACCAAAGTCTGGTTCGGCAGTTTTCTATGGCTTACAAACGCTGCCTCAACCGCTGGTTGACAAGCCACGTGAATCTCGAGTGTCGCTACTTCATGCATGAGGCTTTCAAGCGAGGTGTGACCATATGAAGTTTAGCCGGTAGTCACAATGTAAGCCAAGGAAGCGCTTCCGAGATGACCCTCATGTTAAGTGATTCCTGGTTCACTTCACAGACAACATCGGACTCAAGCACTTCTTATTTCGGTAATTTATATCCAAACTACATGGTGGATCGTAACAAAAGAATCTTCATACATCATCATGAGCAGTTTGGTGCTCTCTGTACATTTTCAAAAATGATATGCATATCCAATCTTGATGGATACCTTCGACCTCCTCTTCCTACGCGTCAACAGTCAAACGTGGTGAAGTATGCCTAAGCCTTCTGGATGAGACTGTCAAAGAGGGGCTTGAGGCTCTTGGCACTCTTCTTGGGGTATCTCTTCTGGTCGTTCTCATAGTCGACAAAGGTGACGCCGAAACGAGTCTCGTAGCCCTCGGCCCACTCGAAGTTGTCCATGAGGGACCATGCCATGTAGCCCTTGACGTTGACACCGTCCTTCTCGTGGGCGTCGGCCATGGCCTTGACGTAGCCGTCAAAGTACTTGACACGGAAGTCATCCTCGAGGATCTGCTCAAGGGGCATATCGTTCTCGCCCTTGAGGGAAGTACCATTCTCTGTGACGTAGATGGGCGGGTAGCCGTAGCGCTTGGAGAGCCAGACAAGGAGGTTATGGAAGCCCTGGGGGTTGGGGCGCAGCCAGAAAGATTGGGTCTCTTCGCCAATGTTCTCGCCGCTCTTGGATTCGAAGAGACACTCAAGGTTGCCGAGGAAGTCATCTTCCTCAGGAGTGGTGGTCTTGTGCTTGATGTAGTTGGCCGTGTAATGGTTCATGCCGTAGAAGTCATTGGATCCCTTGACAAGGGCGAGCTCTTCGGGCGTGAACTCGGGCAGGCGGTCGCCAAGCTGCTTGAGCATGGAGTCAGGGTACTTGCCAAAGTAGATTGGGTCAGCGAACCAGGAGATGGCGAACTCGATCTTGCGGTCAGAGGCCTCTACATCCTCAGGGTCCTCAGGGTCCCAGGGGTAGGTGGCATCACCGTTCAGAGTGATACCGATCTGGCCACCGTTGGTTGGCTTGAACTCCTCGCGGTAGACCTTGACTGCGCGACCGTGGGCGACAAGAAGGTTGTGGCCAACAATCCAGGGCTCGCGGGAGGAGTCACCGATGGCGGACTTGCTGCGATCCGAGGTGTGACCGGGGGCGAAGAAGCCACTGCTGTAGCCGAGGATGGAGGAGCACCAAGGTTCGTTGAAGGTGATCCAGTTCTTGCACTTAGGAATGGCCTTGAAGACGATGCGAGCATAGTGCTCAAAGTCAAGAGGGAACTCCTCACGGTTCAGGAGACCGCCGTAGCGCTTGTCGAGTCCATCGGGAAGATCCCAGTGGAAGAGGGTGATGAAGGGAGTGATGCCAGCTTCAAGGAGGTCGTCGACGAACTTGACGTAATGGTCAAGGCCGGCCTGGTTGATGGGGTCGTTGCGACCACCGACAGGGATGATTCTCGACCAGGCAAGGGAGAAGCGGTAGGTGTTTGCGCCAACGGACTTGAGCAGGGCGATGTCTTCGGCGGTGCGGTTGTAGGAATCGCAGGCGACGGCACCGGAGCTGCCATCGGCAATCTTGCCGGGAATGGCGCAGAAGGTGTCCCAGATGGAAGGACCACGGCCGTCTTTCTCAGCGGCACCCTCAACCTGGTAACTGTAGTGGTGGACAAATAGCGTCAGCAGGGGTCTCGCATGTCGTGTCGTTGCGGTCACTAAATGAGGGGAGAGGGGGAAAGATGAGAGAGTGGGGGCAAGTCGGAGGGGAAGTGGAAATTTGCAGGCGGGACGGGAAAGACGGAGGGAGGAGGGCGAAGTGTGGTGGGAGAATGCTTGTAAGTCGTCCGAATCGGGATGTCGGCGGGAGAAGGCGCGAATATGCATGGTGATAACAACCAGGGCTCTGGGGATGGGCCGAGCCGGATTGACGATGGGATGAAATACGTACGATGCGGTGGCAAAGCCCCAAAGGAAGTCGTTGGGAAGAGACATGATGGGCGGATTTGTAGAGTAATCTGCTAGGTACTGTAGAAAGAATTGGTATTACGAATCTCAGAGTTGGCGGTGCTCAGCGAGACACCTACACTAAGACTGACGGATGGAGGGGGTTTCGATGGGCTTGACGGTGGGATGATGATGGGTCGGCCAAGAGTAGATGGATAACCCCGACAAAAGACGAACCACCCGATAACAAGTAGCTAAAAGAGGTCAAGAGTAGAGTTGAGATGTAGAAGGAGGCGACGGAGAGAGGAGGGAGCAAAAGGGAATCGTACAGACGGGAATTGAGGTGCTGCCACGATACTTATAAGATGCAAAATAAAGACGGAAGGAAGCAAAGCGGCGCAATTAAAATGGCATTGTGACCTTGGGATGGACGGGGGGGTACTTGAACGTCCTGGTAGGTTTAGGCAAAAGTGAAGGTAGCCAGATACAAGGATTACTTGAGTATAATAAACTAAGGTAGACAGGGAAGAGAAAAAGATGGGACAAACACCCGCATCGTGTCAAGGTATCCGTACCAGGTGTGCAGGTATGTAGTGAGGTACAGACCACATCAGACAATGACATGGGATGAGTGGACGTGGTATCAGGTAGCGCCTTGGTCAATCTGGTACTCAGGACGTCTCCAATGTCGGACCGTCGACACCGAGAAGCTAAGACCAGAACATGGCCCGAAGATGGATGGTGTTGGCGTTGGCATTGGAGGCATGGGGTCGGAGGCGTGATCTGACAAGTTGTCTTCTTTGCCCGCCGGTACCGTCTACTTCAAGTGGTGTATCTCGTCACTGGGTAAGATGGCGCGGGGATTTTCTCATGGTAGAATGTGCATAGAATACCGAAAAGAAGCGCATCGTCATGTTCCATTCGCTAGAGTTGGCAGAGGCCACGGAAAGGAAGGTACCTATGTCAACGGCAGCTGCCGCCAGTAAAGTGACCTTGTGCAACCTTGATGTACATGTGCAGTTGTGCAGAGGCAAGGTAAGGTAGGCACGTTCTCATCACGATGCCTCCTTCCGAAGATTTGGAAGCAAACCAGGCAGGCACGGCAGGTAACGACTTCCTATGTTCCTTGGGGTTTCTTCGACCCGACACCCAACAGGGGGAAGTGCATCTGCGCCTAGGCCAGGGGCGCCTTCCATTACCCCGCCGTGGGGTCCCCTTTTTCCCAAGTGCCCCCCATTTCTCTCCTCTCCGCCGCTTCCCAGAGTTCTAGAGAGCACACGACGGCCCGTCTATCCGTCAAAACATGACCTTTCTTCTGCCCAGCTCGTCTTACCAGCGCCATCTCCCACCAGCCTCCAAGAGCCAACTCGAAACACGAACAAACCTCGATCCCTCACCTGACGATCTCCGAACCCATATGATTGGGCACTTGTCTCTATTCGGCACAAGCGCCAGCATGAATTCGCTACAGCTTCTGCAGCCCACGCACGACGTTGTTGTCTTTACATATCACACACATTCTCTACAGATTGCGTAAAACACACTTGTCTCGATACACATGCGCGCAACTGGATGGGCGGCGGCATGCATATCGCCAAACGTTGTCGCCAAAACTCCGGTGACGGCTCAATTCCGCCGGCCGCTAGCGCAATCCGCTCTGACCCCAATGTCTGATTGCCTCGTCAGGGTCGGCTGGTAGCAGACATGCTCGATGCCTGCTCTGCAAAGTCTCGTCCTACGCAATCGCGTCGCATAGGGCGACCGACCATGGCCACGGGGAATCCTCCCGAGGTCTCCTCGACACCCAGACGACGGGTAGCCAGCCGCTACCACCACGATGTCACTTACTTTGGCCACACTCAGTCCAAATCGTCAAAGTACCCCCGGCCCCGCAAAGTAGACCCCGTCGCTTTCGGTGAGCGGACGCCGGACGGGAGAGCCTCCCTCCCACCTCTATCTACATCCGGCTCGTCCAGTGTCACTCCAATAAGCTTCTCCAACTCCGGCTATCGTCCCATAATCTCCGCACCGTCCAGCTCGTTCGTTCCCAGCTTCATAACAAGACTCTAATATAGACGGCATCTCAACTTCAGAACACCTGGCATTACCTCGAGGCCTCTTCCGGGATTTTTGGCTCCATCCGATGCTTCTCTCAAGCAGCTGATGGATGTACAGATACCACTTCACGAACAGCCACGCCCTGTTCGAATTCCAATTCCGCCCCTCCAAGCCCGCCAGCCCCCGTGTAAGCACCTTAGTCTGCGCGATTACAACCTAAACCGCCGTATCACATGAAGAACCACCGATCTATCGTTTCTGCGCGGAGCCCAGCATCTTTCACGGTCGTCAAGGCGATGATGCAACGTTTTGGGTCTACTCGTTTTCGGTTGACAAAGCCGTCTGGCCGGCTGGCGGAGCCTTCGCCTGGAGCCAACCAAGCCTTCGGCTCAGACACCGGAAGCTCAAACGACACAAACACACACAACTACCGGAAAATCATCGGAGATTTTATAACACTTATTCTCTGCTCAGGCATGTGCATACATGGTCGCGTCTACAGCTATCCCAAGATATCTTCACCTTTACTATTATCATCGTTGATACTGCGTTCGATACAGTGTATGCCTGCCCATCTCTTCGAACCGTATCCCAACTCCTACCATATCCGCCATGGAGCACACTCTCTCATATGTGTAAATTGGGAAGACCGTCTTTTGAACTGCTACACTTTTGCGCCAAATTCCAAGACCAACGTGACAAAGTCCGCGCCAGAAGCATAGCTATTGTTTTGGAGACCCTATCCAGAGCCTCACCGAGGTGTACGGAAGCCGGGACGAAGGTGAGCCGGCCCAGCTCGAGACGGCCCTGGACTCATTACGACCTACCCTGCTGCTGCAATGCACGGCATGGGCAAGGCTCAATGCATGCCGTCAACAGCCGCATCCTCATCCTCTCGGTCGTTCATTTTGCGTTTTCCCGGATGATTCGTCGTCATATTAACATCGCCATCCGCTGCTGGGGCCACGTTGGTAGCGTCGTCTCCCTCGGTCCACTCTACAATCTCCCATTCAACCCTAATTTTCCCGTCTTTGCTATGATCAACAACCTGGCTGTGACGCAGGTTGCCCAAACGGGTCCCCTCGATCATGCCCTCGAACCAAGGTACGCCCTGGGTTTCTCTCCCAATTACCGTGGTTGTTGTCGGAGTAGCGGGCTGTTCTTCCGGCTCTTCAAACTCTGGAATCAGCCCCAAATCTTCCAGATCTCGTAGGTCTTCGCCTCGCAGGCTCGCAAGGGTCAGATGGATGAACTCCGCCTCGGTAGGGGGTCTCTCGGTCCAGTAGGACAGCGGCGTGCCGCAGAAGCCGCAAAAGTTTCGTCTCGAGGGGTGGTGGTTGGAGGGTGATTCGAAAACGCGGCGGATCGCGGAGTGCCTTTCGTCCGGGTAGAAGGCGTGGGTTGAGCTATGATACCACGAGAGTGGCACTCGGATCATGGCGGCTAGTGGGGTTGCGAGAGGAACTCCTGCACATCAGACCATGGGTTAGCGGAGCTCCCGCTCTCGAAGAGGTGAGGCATGGTCGGCTGTATGCACGGCGGGATTGTTTGAGAGTGCTCGCCCATGGATATCACGACAAATTGGCGAGACCAAGCGACTTACTGTGCATTGAGTCTGTATGGAAGAGCACCTGCGCTTTCTCGGTCGTGCCTTGCGGGACCTCGATGATGTAACTATTGCGCCCGCACTGGCAACCGCCACGCAACGGTCGTTGGAAGCTACCTTCGCTCATGGTCGTCGTCTTTTGCAATCGGGTCAAGTATTTGAAATGACGGTGATGAGGTACTGAATTGGGGGGGATTAAAAGGCTAGAGTCAAGCGCTCGCAAGTCAAAAGAACAGAGACATTTGTCGATGTTTTTGTTTATTTGGCGATCTTTACCCCAAGCTGCAAGCAGGCAGGTCACTGCTTCACTGCCCCTCCAGTGTGCAGTGCGAGGTGGGATGGCCCAGGATGGGCATCGAAGATTCCAGGTGAAGCTGGCACCTGTCCTGGCCGCCCTGGAATGGTTCCACCGCCCACTTCGCAAGTTTATGCGCCAGTGCCACCAACCCGCCGCGCCCGAATAAGGTCCCGGTTCGGGTCTCGGCGAACCTTCCGCGCTGTCCCGGCCGCTGGGCGATGCTCTTGCGTGGGGCACTTGTAGTCACCTCGTGTACATGTCGGCGCTTCTGCTGCGTGTTGCTTCTGCTGTGCATTCTTACTTATGTCATCTGTCAATGAACAACGAGAAGAAACCTGGTATGATTTGTAGACAGGCCAGGTACGAAACATTCGTGATCTAAAGAGCCCATCGATCATATTCCGCCAAAGTAGTCTGCAATAATACACACTGCTTTCCGACTTCCAGGTTTGATCACCTCAAACGCAAGCCAGGTCGATACATCAGTATTCGCAAGTAGAGTACCTAGCCAACCCACTGTCAACTCACGTTCTTGGGAAACAGCGCCCCCTCAGCCCCCAAATCCAACCCATCCAACATCCCCATCTCAACCCCATCAAGCCGGAACCAAAACACGTCTTCATTCTCCTTAATCCTGCTCGCGCCGCCGCTCTTGGGAAGCGGTACGAATCCGTGCTGGAGAGACCAGCGGATCAGCACCTGCGCCGGCGTGACCTCTGTGACCCCCGTAGCCGTCATCCCAGCTTGAGTCGTCTCTGTCGTCTCCCGGTCCTGCGGATCATCGTTACGATCGTTCGTCTTCCCCACCCGTCCGGATCTCGATATGTTTCCGTTTCGTATACGCCGCCGAACCCGCTCCACAACCTCTCTCAGCACCGGATCCGCCCACCGTCGGCCCCGCGCGAGCGGACTGTATGCTTGTATGAAGATGCCGTTGAGTTGGCAGTAGGCGACTAGGTCGCGCTGTTGACACCATGGATGAAGCTATTCCCACGCTCATTAGCATCCTCTATAAACCTTGCTTTGCACACTGCTAGGTGCCTTACTACGGTATGCCTGTCAACGCCGCGAAGAAAGAACGAAACTCACCTCAATTTGATTCACACACGGCAACCCCCCCTCGCAACCCTTCATCTCCTCCAACGCTGCAATCCCAAAATTACTCACCCCAATCGCCCTCGCTCTACCCTCCCTCACCAGCCTCCCAAGCATGCTCCAAAGATCTCTCCATCGCGCAACGGGACGATGTATGAGGATCAAGTCAACATACCCTCCATCCTCCCCCTCCCCAGCAACTCTCATCACACTCCCCAAAACACTCTCATACATGCTCTCCCCGCCACCCTCCCACCTCCCAACCTTGGTCGTCAAAAACAAATCTTCCCTGGTGACCCCTCCAGCGGATATCTCCACATCTGAATCCCGCTGCCGTCGCAAAAACACCCCAACAGCCCTCCTAACCTCCTCCTCATTCCCATACAGCTGCGCGGTATCGACGTGTCTGTACCCGGCCTCCAACCCCGCCAGACAGGCCACGAAGCACTCCTCCCCTCTGAGCTGGTAGACGCCGAGGCCGAGGCGGGGCATCATTGCCAGTGAGCCCGGTAGCTGGACGGGCTCCTCCATGGTATTGTACAGGTATGGCGATTCCGCTGTAAGCTGATGGGGCCGGCTGCGAGGAGGAAAGCAACAAACAGTTGGGAGTTGAGACATCAAGAACAATCGCCTGCGTGGTCGTAGAGGATGTGCAAAGTTGACTCACTGGCGTTGAGGCAAGCTTGCATGGACCCCACTTGCCTACGGCAAGGTGCTTTGAGTAACACCACCAGGTAAATAGTTCACGCGATACTAGTTGCCAACGCAGTTGGAGATTGGTCGTGATGCAAAATACTCGCGGGGTCTCTTCCAAAAAAATTATTAACCTCTTTTTGCTTCGGCTCCGCGACGCCCTGTCGGTCAGCGTCGAAGTAGATAATCGTAGTGTTACATTTCATCCGACACCCAAATAAAAACGCCCAGCAGCCTCTCCACCCAACCGATAGAGACACCCAGAACTCGGAAGAGCACATTCAACCAGTCTTCTTCTTCTTCTTGGGCCTCTCCTCTTCCTCCTCTTCGTCATCCTCGCCATCATCGCCACCGTCGTCATTATCCACGTCACTCTCCTGGCTGCCTGAGCCAGAACTCTCGTGGTCACTGTCAAACTCTTCGGCAACGTCACTCTCACTCTCAGCGTTGAAGTCCTCGTCAACACTCTCTTCGTCCTCGTCGGCTGAGCCACGGTCCGCCTTGGCGGCGCCGACAACCTCCTCTTCCGAGTCGTCCATGGCTTGGTCGCGCATGGCTGCGGCAATGAGGTTGGTCTCCTCATCGATTTCGTTCTTAACACGCAACCCCTTGAGTCTGAAGAATTCCTCGAGCCCCTTGAGGTCCTCGCGGTTGATGTTGCTGAATTGTGACGAGCCAGCGCCGTTCTTCATTTGCACGGTGATATCAAAAGTTGACAGCGCAGAGACGGCACCGCCGACACGAGAGAATGTGATTGATGCTGTTTGCTCGTAGGCGATGTACGTCGCAGGTTTGGGCACAAACATGAACGCCTTCTCCAAGCAGTACAGGAAGCCTTCGCTGGCCTTGATCGAGCACTTGATGCCGAATTGGTTGCGGTGACTGGATGAATGTTAGCACAGGTTCTCTCGCAAGGATGTCGAGACACATACGTCTGGAAGTCCTTGGCGGGCGTTGTGATCTTCTTGTTGGCAAGTCCTCGGAAGATGTAGGTGATGACTTGGTGAAGAGGCTGCTCGTAGTGAGGCTGGAGTCTGTCCTTGTACCGCTCGTCTATTTGCTCCTCGGTGAGATTAAGATCGATCGTCACCTCCTCGTCCTTCTTGAACTGCATGACGATGAACGGGTATCTTGTCTGACCCTGGCGCAGAGGCGGGTCCAGGCCAACACAAAGCAGCACATGGGTCTCGTCTGGCTTGGGAAGCACCATAAACTTCTTGATGGCATCGTACTGGATCTTGTAGTCATAAGTCTTACCACGGAGGCGGAAAGACGCGTCGTACATGTCGATATCGAAACGACCTCTGTTGCGGTGTCAGAAGCAGTTAAGTCACGGGTAACCGTAGCGATGTGCACATACCTGGGTGTGAGATGGAGAATATCCAGAAACGTAGCGATAGTATCGCCTGCGGTCTCGCCAATCTCGGCCTTCTCCATCAGGGTATCGTAGAACAGGGTGACTGCATTCTTCTCCTCCTCACCGCCGGCGTCGCTACCAGCCTCATCGCCCTCCACTTCCTTTTTGACAGTTCCGGGGATGTAAAACCGCATCTCGACGAGCTGGTCCTTGCCGGCACCCGCCTTCTTGCCCTTGCCGCGCGCACCGCCCAGGTGGCCATTGGTGCCAGTATCGTTCTTGTCCGTGGGAGCTGAGAATTCGACCGCAACCTCGTTACGACCCGCTAAATTGGTGTTTGAGATTTCGGAGTAGGGAATTTCGAACGCAGGGCGGTTCTGGACGTTGAAAGACAGCTCGGCCTTTCCAAAGTCGGCCTTACCCCAGTTCCATCCCCTGAGGGCGTGCTCCCTGTTCTCGAGGGCGGTGCTGTACCAGTTCTTGAAGAGCTTGGCAAGACGCTCGTAGTCCTTCACACCAGACGAAACGTCAGCATTTCATCCTTGTGTCGTCGACCGTCTTGCGCGCAGGTCATTACCTCTTGTTGGAACCCATCAAGCTGGATGATGCGCGAGTCTCGGTTAAGAATCTTGATCTCGTAGCCCTTGGCAGCTCGACTCCACTGCGCCGAAGCAATTGTGCTGTGATCGAGAGTGAAGGTGTCGCCGCCGCCAGATGGCTTCCAGCCGAGACCGCTCTCTGCAAATCTGCACTTGCCGCTCTCCTTGGAGAGGTCTAAGTAGATGCCGTCGAAACTCTCTCTGGGAGGGGGCATCTCGTTAGCTATCGCGCGATGGGGATGTCGAAGACGAAGCAATGGCGCGTGATTTTGGGATGGATGTATCATAAAAGATGCATGGTTTCTCGGTCATTCGACAGGCGTGGGAACCTGCGCGAAAGAAGGAGCGGGTGATGGGCACTCACATAGCTGCCATGATTGCTGGCGAGAGGTCGAAATGTTGAGGAAAGTATCGGCTGGTGTAGTCGCAAGACTGTCGCAGAGAAGGTTCCACTCGAGGCGAAATATTTGAGGTAGTGACGTATGACTCGAATTGCTGATGCTCGAGATGAGTAGGTGGGAGGGATGAAGATGGCGGTGCTTGGAGGAAGTCCCGCTGATGTCGGTGATAAAATTTCGGGCGTTGGCACCTCGCGCTGCACTTTCCTTGTCGCGCAAGGCTACAGCACGGTGGCACAGCGACGACGCGACTTTCGATTAAGTGCAGTGGGCCCTTTCCTGCATTGCTGGCTGAGCTTTCTTTCACCCCACGGCGCGGGTCTATGCGCTTCTCTGTGAAGTCTGCTTACCTAACGTCTACAAGATCCAATACGGTCTAGCGCAATTACCCCGACTTGCCTGGGACGGGAGCTTGAACCTGGTGGGGAGCAACACACTTGCCAAGTGTGGGGTAATTTCCTACCGAGGACAGCCGGGCTTAAGCAGGAGCTGAGAGCTGGAGCTGTCGGGATCGGTCCGTCAAAGTGTCTCAAAAAAGCTGGACAATTGGGGTATGCCAGCAAGGACAGCTAGGCCAGGCTCGGGGATCGGGTAAGTGGAAGGGGATTGTGGCCGGTACATAGCAAGAATGGTTGGCTCTCAATCGCAGCATCGAAGCCCTCTTCCTCTCACTCACCATTTCTTCCTCACTTACCTGTATGTGCCTGTAAATACCAACCTCCAAGCGATTCCAGATTCAGCACGCAGAATCTGCCAATTCGACCTTTATCGCTGCTTTTCATCTCCTAGTTTTGTAGGATAAGCTCGTCCAGTCAACCCTGGCCATGTCGAGCCCGCCGTCTCGTCTCAAGAACATCCTGGGACACCTCCTCTCATCCTCCACTACCAAGAAAGATGAGCCCCTTCCGAACCACCACATACACCAGCTCTCACCAACCTTCTTTCTGGAGCGTGCCGCTGCGATAGAGCCCGATGCTGAAGCCATCTTCCATGTGACAGCCAACGGCCGAACCCTGCGACGGTCTTACATAGAGTTCGCAGACAGAGCGCGCGGCCTTGCTTACTACCTGAAGAAGCACGGCTTCAAGAGGGTGGGCATCCTCGCGCCCAACACGCCCGCCTTTCTTGAGTCCATCTTTGGCATTGCCGCCGCTGGTGGGGTTAATGTGGGCGTCAACTACAGATTGAAGCCGGATGACATCACCTACATATTCGACTTTGCCGAGGTCGACTCAATCATCGTCGACCAGGAGTTCATCCACCTGCTTGATGAATTCAAGGAGAAGCACCCCAAGGTTCCCTTGATCATTGACACTGATACCGACTACACGGAGGGCGCTTTGAGTGGCCCCTTTGATGATGCCGTCTTAGAGGGCCTGCAGTATGATCAACAACATGGTCAGGGCTGGGCCGGCCTCCACTCACAGTCTGGTAATGAGGATGATATGCTTGCGATTCCGTTCACCTCAGGAACTACGAGTAGGCCCAAGGGCGTAGTCTACACACATAGGGGTGCCTATCTGGCTGGTAAGTGACACATGAACCATTTTCAAACCACTTGCCCGACCATTTAGCCGTGCTGATCACATTCTACGGTAGCTGTTGGAAATGTCATCGAATCAGGACTGAACTACCATACTGGCCGTTGCAAATATGTAAGTCATGAGTAAGACCAGCTCATGCTTGCCGTACACCGCTGACTGTCGATTTCTACCACGTAGCTATGGACTTTACCCATGTAAGTAAATCAGGATAGGTTGCCAATGATCGATTGCTAACTATTACAAGGTTCCACGCCGTCGGTTGGACGTAAGAAGCCCTACGCTCTAGTCTGAAGGCTCTTCGGTCTTACTTAAACCTACTGACATGACACAGATTCCCTTGGGCGGTAACGGCTGTCCGTGGAACGCATGTGTGCTTGCGAAAGATCGACTATCCTCTCATCTGGAAATTGCTCAAAGAAGAAGGCATCACACACTTCAACGTAAGTGACTCCTATCCAAGTCATAGAGAAAGTAGTCAGCTGACACAGTGTTTCGCCCGCAGGCAGCTCCAACAGTCAATACTCTATTGTGCTCAGCGAACGAGGCCGAAAAGTTGCCCCAAGAAGTGCGGGTGACTGTAGCTGCCAGTCCTCCAAGTGCGCACTTGTTCGAACAGATGGTATGTGACGCTCCGTCCGGCTGCCGAGAGTCGTCGCATCAGTGCTGACGTGGTTAGACAAACCTCAACCTCTTCCCTGTCCATGTCTATGGCATGACTGAGACCTATGGCCCCATCACCAAAGGGTACCACATGCCATCATGGGAGACCCTCCCAACAAACGAGAAATACGCCAAAATGGCTCGCCAGGGCCATGGCTTCGTCACGAGTCTTCCCATTCGAATTATCAAGACGGACCAGCCGGAGGGCATTCTTATTGATGTTGCCAAGGACGGCAAAGAAATCGGCGAGATTGTATTCTTGGGGAATATCTGCGCCAAGGAGTATTTCAAGGATGCCGAAGCTACCAAGAAGTTGTTCGACGGCGGTGCGCTGCACTCTGGGGATCTCGCCGTCTGGCATCCCGACGGGTCGGCTCAGATTCTCGATAGAGCAAAGGACATCATCATTTCAGGTACGCATCAACCTGTCGAGCTGATGCTTTTCATCGTACTAACGAGGGACTAGGTGGCGAGAATATTTCTTCGGTGGCTCTGGAGGGCATGCTCGTACAACACCCTGATCTTCTGGAAGCGGCCGTGGTAGCGGTGCCTGATTCACACTGGGGCGAGCGTCCTAAAGCCTACGTGACTGTCAAAGAAGGCAAGAGCTTGAAAGGGGAAGACCTGATTTCGTGGGCAAAGCACCAAAGCAACATCTCCAAGTTCATGGTGCCTCGGGAGGTTGAAGTTGTGGACGAGCTTCCAAAGACCAGCACTGGCAAGCTGAAGAAGAATGTCTTGAGAGAATGGGCCAAGGGAAAGAGGGAGTAGACAAGATGAAGAAGAGTGATGTTGGTCTTTCATGTCAGACGCAGCAGCTAGAGACGGTAGACTGAGGGAAGACGGAAAGGGATATGAAGGAGAAGTTTAGCTCTGTCGAGCAAAATAGAAGCAAGATCATGATCACGCGCCACTACCTACACACGATTATACCATGTGCCTTTGCGTAAGGTGGTTCGTCTAGATGGAAGGTTACCTCAAATTAAGACCATTCCAAATGCGGACGGCAGCCAGCCCTGACCCGAAGCCACCTGCAACGGTCAACGGTCAACGGCTAACGGTCCTAACGGCCGAGGCGCCATCCCGCAGCCTCCGTTTCGAGATGCCTAAGATCTTAGTCTGTCATACTGTGACGAACGTCGTGCATGCACATGTACCGAACCAAACCAAGTAGACAGTCTTCTTCCTTATCCCTGAACCCTGTATCCTGCGGCAATATACCAGTAAGAGAACAAGGACGGTAGACACCGGTTGGGTAACTGCCTGAGGTAGGGAAGGAGGAACAGGGGTTCATGTTTTGACAGGACGGGGGAGGAGCGGAACGGAACCTTCAACACCATCGTGCCTGACCGTAAGATGATGTGCCCAAGTACTCCGTACCTTCAGGAAAGATACGGTAGGTGCATCTTACCTTCCTTCAGGGAAGGTTGTCTGTCTCACCTGTTGTTGCCTACATTGTCTTAGGGCAAGGGGCAACCCACAACATCTCCCACAGCAGGCAAGACTGACTGAGGCAGGTAAGGTACCTTAGACTCCTAACGGTACAGAATACTCGAGAAGTAACTCGAACCTCGCTTAGACAAGCTTCCATAAACACACGCACGGGGATCAGGAGAATAGGTCACATGGTCTGCTTCTGAACTTTGAGAGCAAACGTTGAAGCACCAGACAACGGTCGATTTCGCGATGCCCGAGAGGGAGAGTGACCAGACACACCAGACCCCTGGACTAGGAAACAGAAAAGAACGACGCGATGCGTCTGTCGTCGAGCAAAAGACATCCGAGGTTCCGTGAGGCGAGGCAACGGGAACACACCATGAGGTATCCCCTGAAGAGCAAATGGGGAGCTTGACGGAACCAGTCGGCCAGCTTGAGTTGACCAATACGGGGCCTAGTCAGATTCTGTCCAGTACGGATCACATCAGAGTCCCTCATCGACCGTAGGGCAGCGGTCTCAGCCCCCGATGTCATCGGGTCCGTCCTCGAGCTGTGAGTGAGGCACTGGCCCCCCCAACCCGCCCATTTTGAGGATGAGATTTGGCGGGACAACACCCGGAAACAGTAAAGGACATCCTAGGGTTCGCTATGCCTGACACAACGAGTTTACTCCCAATGTTCATTACCTGATGACGCTGCTGCTGTTCACCCCGGAGGGAAGGCTTCTTTCCATCGGGACCCGAGATCATCAGGCTCTTGGCTGCATCCTCACCGACAGATGTAGATCAAGATTTACCCCCTTATCCCACAAGCATTCCCTTGTGGCTACGGAAGAATGGGAGAAAACGCCAGAGGAGCGATACCCCAGCTTCACGGTCGTCCAGCCCAGCCACAGATTATCACCGATGTTGCTGGCTTTGAGGTCCTCCCCTCTCGAAGTCGAACAAAGGCGTCATACAATGACTTGACCAACGAGGAAAGTGGAAAGAAGATTCTTCTGACGCTTGTCAGTCCACTTCCAACCTTGGCACGTGTTGCCAACTAACCGCCCCTGATACGAGCATCCGAGATTCAGGACCACTTGAGTCAGACCTCCACTAGTTTCCGTCAAGTAATGATCTCTTTCCACCACCAACAGAGAACCAACAGACCTCCTCTCTCTTTCATTCTCGGTATCTGTCAGTATGCTCCTCGAGAGAGGGGGCAGCAGCTTTCCGGGCCTGGTGAAACCAAAAGCCAAGTCAAGCAGAATAACTTTTCCGGACGAGAATGCAGAGTACGCAGACACGACCTGAACAGCTGCATCATGCAGGCCACTGTGGGTATAGCTGCTTCTATAACCAAGAGAGATTGGGCGCGCGGGCAAGGCCCTGCTCAGGATTGGGTGACAGAATCCATGTAGGCGCTGCACATACCTTTGGGGGCCTTCCGCGCGCCCCATGCCGTCTATGGCAGCCAGCAATCGCGGATCCGTTCGAGCGGTCTGGGGACTGCGTTATCCGAAGCCGAGCTCACATGGAAATTGCCCTATCGAATATTAATCTGTCGCGTCGGATCCTCATAAAGTCCACCTAAACCCCTCCCTGAGAAATCCAAGTCTCAAAGGCACCATCCATCAACAATGTCAATGATGAGACTGCGAATGTGATAGCTGACAGACCTTTGAGGACGCGGAAAGCCCATTCAGGCAGCGAGTTACTAGACTTGCTTCAGTCGGTAAGTCGAGTCGCATAAGCAGTCGACTATGAGATGAGACAAGGAAAGAAGAGAGGGGAAACGAGAAGAAACAGAAAGGAGATGAGAGAGGGCCTACGACTCGACTCGACTCAAGATGGGTATGGGCTCAGTACGAAGAGTGGCCCGACGGAAAGAGAAGATGGGGGATGAGAGGATACTCAGCACCCCCGGACAAGCCACGGCTAGCTTGCCGTACAAATAAGAAGATGAGAAGAGACTGACTGCCCTGTCCAGATAGATAGATCGAGATCTCAAGAGGAACAACAAACGACATCGACGACAGGTCATTTATAAATTGGTCTGCCACCAACACGACTAGGCGAAGCAGAGCAAAGAGGCAACGTCGTCCGGAACTCGTTCGGTGTGTCCTGCATACCCTGCGCCGCAGCAGCAAAGATTTTCTGGCGACAGCCCTGGAGTGGAGTGACTCTGGCATATAGCCAGGCCACCCCGATCCCCCCGATTGCCGGCGTCTTGGGCGCCGGCCGCATTGCAACGCGCTTCCCGCCGCCGTACGTACGACACCCGTGTCTAACTTTGAACACTACGACAGAGTCGATTCACTTGAGCAGCTGTCGCGGTCGGCTGACTCTATCGGAACCCTAGTCCTGGGAAGGTGTGGTCCGCCTAGGGACCAAAGTCACTCCACGGGGACGGTATACGGGTGAATCCCGCGCCACAAGTTGTCTCCCGATTGCCCACTGTTCTTGGGCAATCCCTGGGAAGGCCGTGGCGTCCGCTCCGGAACTACTGGCCAGACGCTCGTCTGGCTCTTTCTAACGGAGGCCTGCGTCCACTGGGATTGTCTGGCCGCACGCCTAGTCCGGAGTCTCCCAAGCGTGGCTGGTTTGCTCTTCCTCGCCCGATCTTGGCCATTCGTGGATAGGCGGCCTTTTCCCTCGGTCCCGGGATTGGCAAGCAGATACGGGAACAAGGTCGAAGATTCGAAAAAGCAAACAAAACCTGTATAAATCACCAACGGCTTTGCGTTGCTTTGGGGCCGGACGGTGGGATTTAGAAAGGGGGTTCTCCAATCGAACCAAGACCCCTCGCCACCCCCGGCAAGACGATACGATGGCGCACACGCCAAACGACAACACTCCCTTCTACGAGTATCTCGTGGATGACCCGGAAGTAAGTATCTCACCCGGCGTTGCATTCCACTTTTCTCCGTTCGGTGCTTTCCTCCCCAGAGCGCGGCCTCCCAGGGGCTCCCTTTTCTTGCGGTCAAGTCTCGAATCAAACGACCAGCTCATTCTGCGTTACACCCTTCTCCGTCTGCCGACCTGAGCGGCATATGAATGTAACAAGACAAGCGCTGGACCAAGCGATCGAAGGCGCGAGTGAGTACATGATGCCACGCGGGTAGCACCGAGCTGGGCCAGATCCTTTCCTCCCCCCATGGGCCTCCGCAATGAGGAGTCAAGCCACGATCCAGGAACCATGCAAGACTCCCAACACTTTCTTGTCTGTCGGTGGTCGCCTCCGATGCTTGAGATTGGATGTGGATGGGAGGCGGCGGAGTATCAGAGAAGCTGAACGTCTGTGTGCCACCCGGAATGGGGCAATGGCAAGGTGGTGTTCTCTGAACAAGCGTTCGGCAAACTGATGAGACAGACGGCGACGAGGCGCAAAAGAGTAGAGACCGCCGTGTTCACGAGGATTACAGGTCCTTTCGCCAAAGAAGAAAAAAATTAAAGAGAGAGAAAAAGTCTGACCATTATTTCTATCAGCAGATGATAGCTTCGACGCCGTTGTCCCCGCACTTCTCTCCCGAAGTTTTCGGAGGGGCTTTCGACGTCGGCGACCGCCAACACCACGCCACTCGGCCCGGTAATCAGACCACCCTGCTGAGTCCAGGCCACAATCGGCCCAACGCCATTCATGAATCGACCACAGCGACACCAATTAATCAGGTCCAGGCCATTGCAGGTATTCCTGGATTGTCCATACCCGTATCCGTACCGACGGCGCAATTCCCGCAAATTCACAATCTCGGAGGACTACAGCACCTGGATCAGCAACACCAGCAAAACCACCCTCAGCTCCATACTTCAGCCCTGGGTCTGGGTCTCGGACTGGGTACTCTGGGGTTGACACATGCAGAGGGCAACCAGGGTCTTCAGCACCAATTCGGTCCAGCGGCTGCGCCTGCGCCTAATATTGCTGCTGATCAACAGGGGACGTCGTCGTCGTCGCATCTCCATTCGCAGGGCCATCAAAGAACACCCGCCCACGCCGCCGCATGGTTTCCGCCCGGATATGGAGTCCCGGCGTACCACGACAACCCGCAACAGCAGCATGTCGATGCAACGTCTTCCTCCACAGCAGCAGCAGGTGTCAACCCACCCGTCACTCTTTCTGCAGCGGTCGGTCTGAGTACTGATGGCAGAAGCCAGAGTATTGGTGTTGGAGGTGGTGGTCACTTATTCGATTTCGGATTCGCAGCACCACCGCTGACACTACCACCAACGAGTGAGCAGTCGTTCCTGGGCGGCGGAGTCTATGCCGACATCACGCCACTTTCCACCACGGTAGCTGTAACAGCTCACCCGCAACCACCCACGACCACTTTTGATTTCCATGCTTCGCCATGGCGGCCTCGGCTTCAAGACAGCAGCTCCGTCACACTGACACCAAACATTGCAGCCGTCGCTGCGGTCGAATTGAACCACGACGTCCGCAAGCACAGCAAAAGCAGCATGGAGACCGATAGCGACGTCAAGGACCCTTCGTGGGATGACGATGATAACGAGCCCCAAGATAAAAGGGCCGGAGCTGGAGCAATGAAGACATCGTCGTCGTCGTCGTCGCCTGGGACCCGGAAGCCGCAGCGAAAGGGCAAGCGCCGTGCCGTAGCCGATCCCGGAGCTGGCGGCATCGACAACGATGACGAACCCACCAGCCCCGCGGGCCGAACAAGCGTCAGCGGCCGATCGGTCAAGTCGGTATCCGTCGCCTCATCCGCCGGATCGAGCACCAAGAACGCACCGGCACCCCGACTGCGCAGTGCATCCCGCACCTCGAAAAACGCACTGCAAAAGCCGACTGAGTCCCTCGAAGAACGCCGAACGCGCGCATCTCATAACCTAGTCGAGAAGCAGTACCGCAACCGACTGAACGCTCAATTTGAGGGTCTTCTCAATGCCCTACCAGAGCAGGTCCGTGGCCCGGCCGGCGCCGGAGACGGCGACGAATCGGACCCGCAGGCGGCGGCAGCGGCAAATGAGGAAAGGCGGGTCAGCAAGGCCGAGGTGCTGGACATGGCCCGCCGCCACATCCAGAACCTGGAGCGGGAGCGGGAGACGCTCCACCGCGAAAGGGGGGAGCTGCTGCGCAATCTGGAGACGATGGAGCGGGAGGCGGCGGCGAATGGCGGCGGGGGTGGCCGGTTGGATGAGTTCCTCGACGTTGAGGGTGTTCCGGACGAGAGAGACGAGCCGTCGTCGTCGTCGTCGTCGTGGAGGAACGCTTGAAGTGCATTGTTGTTGATCGTCGACACCCGCGCGAGCCACCCTGCCTGCCGCGAGCCTATTCTCTGATGATGGTGGTGGTGGTGGTGGTGGTCACAGTGGTGGTGTTGGGTGTGAAGCCAATGCAGAGCACTTCTGGAAAGGGGGGAGCGCGTGAGCTCAAAATCTCGGAGGCAAGGGTGCCGGGGGTGGTGGGGGGAAAAGGGTTCTTTCGGAATGTCGCCGACCGTCCGATGACATGCCGTGCGCGGGGTGGAAAACGTCAAGCTGTCCATTGGCCGTGGCGGTGTTGTCGTTGGGTCCCCGTCTCAGATATCGACACCGGCCGGCAGAAGGGGTGCCATCCCGCTTCACGACCGACGGGTCCAGGGTTTTCTTTTTCCTCTCGTTTCTCTTCTTCTCCCCTTGGTCCCCATCGAGTTTTGCTTTTGGTGTCAGGGTTTCTTTAATGTTTTTTTCTCCGCGGACAAATTATGATGGCGGATGAAATCAGTTTCATAAAGGCGGGAAGAGTCAGGCTTGATTGGATGCAGAGGATGTGTACCGGGATATCGACTGCCCGCATGCCGGGGACGTAGGAGGGGAGGATAGACTAGATTGTGGATCGAAGTAGTTGATGAGGGAGGTAACTCGGAAGCAGTGGATGAGAGGCAAGTACAGGCGAGACTCGGGAGGGTATCGCGAGGGAGAGGTGGCTGCAAAGATGTCATGGGTGGGAGGGGAGAGGGCGGTGGGTGCTGTGCATATCTGTTGGTATGCATGTACATTGACGATGGATAGAGGGAGGATGGACAAGGTGCCTCCGCAAGGATGGAGTAAGGAAAGTAAGGGTGTGGTGGGTAGGGTGAGAATGTGTCTTCCCGTCAGGACGAAGGGACTTGTAAATGACGGTGATTCTGGTTTCTAGGACCAATCTTTTCAAACTGCAAAAAATATGGGAAGGCTTAGTCATTTAGGATAAGGGGTATAGTTGGTTCATTTGGACAGACGAACAGTATATAGAGAGCGAAATGTCAATATCATGACTTTTTGGAATTTGAGGCCTGGCTTGCTGACTGCAGCCGTCCCTTCTTTCGTAGAGGTGGTGAACCTGTATTATGCCGTTCGTCTCCTTTGTTTGGTACGCATTTAAGCGTCCTAGCCATCCGAAGTCTTGACATGTCGACGTGTTCGTCATGCAGAGTACACAATGCGGGACGAGTCTAGACCCAGCCCATTCCGTTCTCACTCCTCCGCATCGAAGCTACCAAGGCAAGGTAATCAGTCTACTGCCGATGCATAATGCATATCACCAACTACCTTACGCCAACCACACACACCATGTCAACCAACAGCCTCTGCCGTGCCCGACCTGGTGGTTGCAAGATGTACATGCATCCCCCCCCCCCCCCCCCCCCCCCCCCCCCCAAAATATCCAACTTTTCATGCGTCACAAGGTTCGTCCTCTAGTGAGGAAAACCTCGGCACATTTGATGAGTTGATCGCGTGAACCGGTTTAATGGTGTGTTTGCTATCCTCAACCCCGCCTTTTCGCGGCTTGATGTGTAGGTACCTATGCCAGGTAAACCGATCCGTATGGCAATCATCAGCCGCAACGACCTCGGACCACATCGGTGTTCACCATCATCACGTAGTCACTGGGGAGGCATGGTTCGAAAGCAGAGCCAATGGGACAAGTAATGGAGTCTCTTTTTCGGTTTGAAATTCTGTTCGGAGCGACAAAAATTGGCTTCCGAACCGCGATGAAATAACCTCCTTTTGGTCAACCCACACTTCCAGTTGGGTGGGAAACATCTCTCTCTCTCTCTCTCTGCGTCCTCTCCAGGGACGCAAGGTGATTCTTCTCGTGATCGCACAGATGCTCAAGCTCCCAATGGCGCGCTCCCTCCCGCAGCCCTTTCCTCCCAAATTCTTTTACAGGTGTTTTTTGCTTTTCTGTTTCCCATTTGCCCTTTTTCACAGGGTTTGTCATAATCCATCAAATCATAACCCCGGAGGAGGCAAGAAACCCTTCCGGTGGGGGGTTCTAGTGCTCGCGCCCTCTCTTTTTTTTTGGTACAACAAAATAACAGTATCAGTAGTAGCGGTAATGCTGGTGGTGGTGGTAGTATAGTAGAGTCATCCTTTGGAGCGGACTATAGATATAAGGAAACTGATCGTGTGTGTACGTTGCGCTGGCGAGCGTGTGAGTTTGAGTGTAGCGAGTGATAGTTGGTGGTCGGAATCGGGGAATGACCAAAGCCGGATTTTGGTCTATGTTGATTTGAAATGATGAGAGCCTAGATTGAAGAAAAAAACTCCTCCGAGATATGCCAAGAAAGTCTATACGAATCACGACCGTCTTGAAACGCCGTGATATGTCGAGAAACAAACAATAAGGTGTAGAAGGTTTGGTAGTGTAGTGCGTCACTCCGGCATCCACTAGAGAGGAAACGCGCGAGCGTGCGCGCGCGCCCGTGTGGGTGTGTCTATGGAACAAGATGTATATGAAATGTGTGTTGTGAGGTCGTAATGTGGTGTCGTGGGCCGGAAGATGTATTCAGTGGCGAGCAGTCGTTCAGATACGGCTGCCGGCATAGATTGGCGGGAAAAGGGCGTACTGCCCAGGCGGGGGCGGGGCGCTCAGGGTTTGCGCACGTTGGCGTCGGTGCTGCTTCGCCGGCTCCTTCGTCTTGGCAAGCGGGAGAGAGTCCTGGGACAAGCTGGCGTCGATGCATCCGGAGGCGGCACGGATATCGCCAGTAGAACGCGACATGGTCAGAACCTCCTCGGACTCGGGCAGCGGAGTCATGGTGGACTTTCGTGCTCTAGGCGATCCGAGATCCGCAAAGTCGTCGGCGCTGAAGGAACGTGAGTGGTCGCTACCCTCGAACTTGGGGTTCCATCCCTCAAAGGTCGTGCTCCCCGTGTACCTGGTGAGAGCCGTCCATGTCGAGTTGGTCGATGTGTGACGTGCCTCGGTCAGACTAGTTTGGCTGGACGAGTTGCTGCCGGTTGTTGAAGTGCTGACACGGTTTCTGGCGAACAGTCCAGGTGTTTCAATCGTCAGGACGGGCTCCTCGTCAAAGGCGAAGTGGCTGGTATCAAGTCTTGCCATATCCATGGGATACGCATCGGTGTCCGAGTCTGCCAACATTTGCTGGCGGAAGTCCGTTGGGATAAGAAGAGATGGCGAGAGGTTGAAGCCGTGAGATTCCTTGAAGCTCGAGGCCCGTGATGCTGTTCTCACGTGGAGATGGGAGGTGCCTCGGTAGTTCGTCTCCTTTCTGGGATGAGAGAAGTTGGACCTAACAGGCGGCACGGTAATGGTGGGCGTGATTGCTTCGTGTCCATTGACAGAAGTCTGACTAGCGGGGCTGAGTGCTGGGATATCGGAGTGTCCCATCGTCGATGCCGGCTTCAGACCGGCCGAGAGGGGTGCGACGAAGATGCCATCGTTATCAAAGGAAGTCTCTACAGAGTCCTCCCTCGCGATATCCAAAGAAGGCCGGTCCCACGCGTAGTCGCAATCGGCCTCAGCTTCATGTTCGTAGCAGTAGTCGATGTCGTCCTCCCAGCTGGCTCGGTGGGAAACAGATGCCGGTCCATCAACCTCTAAAGCTTCCTTCAGAGCATTCTGTGCGGCAAGCATGTCGAAGCTGCCAAGCGTGTCCGATGCGCCGCTTGATGGCCGTCTGAACTCATCCTCTGGCGTCTGAGGCACGCTCTGGCGCAGAGCAGGCACAGACTGGCTTCCTCGAAGCGACGAACGAGTGCTGGCCAAGCTCGCACCAGACTGCCGGGATAAAACAAATTGCTCCTCCTCTTCAGGTACATCAGGCAATGCCATCTCATAAGAAACTGTGGAGCTCGCTGTAAGTGGCCATGCAGCATCGTCGGGAGTGGTGATTGCATGAGAGAATCTCGGGTCCTCGAAAGGTTCTGCTTCTTCGGAAATTGTAGATTCAGTGAATTCGATTGGTGCCTCGAGAGTGCCTGGCAGGTGAAAGCCGCTGCTAGTCTGGGGGCGCTCAGGGAACATATCGATGGTAGCGAGCGAGTCTTCTGAAACGGTGTAATGCTTCATGATGCGGCTCGACGATCTGGGGGGAGGGACAGGCACAGGCGAGCCTGGCAGAGTAGGTGAGACAATCTCCTCGCTGATGGGTGAACGGGGCGGTCGTGGAGGTGCTGGGCGCGGCGGGCTTGAACGGAGTTGTTCCTGGGATCGTGTATGCTTGACCAACCGTCGAGGTGCAGAAGTCGGGCCTGTATGCCGGGCAATGGTAGATGGGCGATTCGAAAACATCTCTGGCTGAGTTTCGGACGTCATCGCGTTGTCCTGCTGCGTGTGCAACGCTTCGGATGAAAAGTTGGAAAAGTGCAAATCTTCGACGTCGATTCCCTTGAGCTGGCCGGTGGTCGGCCGTTGGCCAGCGCGGATGGCTGAGAATTCGGAGACCAGTTCGGCGCGGCTGCCCCGCTGGAGGTCCGGTAGGTGATCCTTCTTAGTGTGGGTGACATGTTGGAAGTTGTAGGGGCCCGATATTTGTAACTTGCGTCCCGACACTGGGTCTTCACCTAAGTCGTCCTGTCTTAGAGTTCTGCGGCGGCCGAAGATTGATGGGATGAAATGGTCCTTGTTTGTTGAAGCCGGGCCATCCAGGGCAAGCTCACCAGAGTATAAAGAACTTCCAGAGGAACTGTGGTTACCACTGCTTTCCCGCTTCATCTTAGCCCTGCGGCTGAAGATGGTTTTGCCAAAGAGCTGCACGCTCTCGGGGCGGTCTTTGGAAGGCATGCTGCTCGAAGTCGATCGGCCAGAAGAACGTCTTGACAAAGTAATGGTTTCCAGGGTGTGTTCCCACGATCGGTCCGAGTTGAGTGAGCGCAGCGAGGACGTCGAGCCAGAGGAGGTAGTTGTGTGGCTCTTGTGTTTGTCCAAGGCCGAGGCCCTCTGCATCTGCTTGCTCAAGGCACGAATCCTTTCCGGCGAAGGCGGTCCATCAAGAGCAGGCTCGAACAAATCTGTGATGATGTCGGGATGGTCTTGGGTTGAGAGAAGAGGAAGGGGAGGTTGTGAGCCGTTGACAGCAGACGGCGACGAGCCACCTTTGTTGCTGATGCTTGCCCTCTCTTTCCTCCGGGTTGGCTTGTAGGCCGAGTAGTACGGCAGTG